GGTACAGCAGCAAGTAAGTCCAGATTCCTACTCCAATTTTCTACACACACACACACACACTCACACACACTCACTCTCACACACACACACACACACACACACACACACACTCACACACACACACACACAAGTCCAGATTCCTACCTTTTTTTTTTTTTTTTTGTAAACTAAAGAAATGGCCCAAGGCCATGGCCTCCAAACTAGTACTTTCCTCTCGTACCGCTCTCTTCCCTCCCTTTCCCCCAATCCTCCCAGGCCCATCGCCAAGCTCCCAGCAGACATTCTAATCCCCATGGCAGCAGGAGTGGAGGCAATTACAAAGGCTCTGGCCCCTCTGGGCGTGCCCCCCTCCGACTTCACTCCTGCCCGCCTGCTCCTCGCCACACGCTGGAGAACCTTTTCACCTGCCCGGGCGGGCAGGCTGCTAGGGTACAAGCCGATTGTTTCAGTTGATGTGAGTCATTGGAGGGGGTTCAAGGTTTGGGGGTTAGGGCTTTTCGGGTCTGTCAGGTTGTTGAGCTGAATCGTAGGGTTATCGAGGTTGCTCGTTCCACTTGTCCCCATGTATGCCTGAAACGCCAGCGGTGAGCAAGATTATAAGATGTTTCAAACCTCACGTGATCTTCTTCCCCTTTCCCTTACCCCTGTACAGCGCACAATAGTGACCTACCCACACCTGCAGCGCAGCGCATTTGAGAAGGAGAAGGCAGCCGAGGCAGCCCATGTGCCCTCTTATGCTCTCATGTTCTCACACATACTCTTGTATGATCTTCCCCGTTTCCCATCATACAGGAAGGGCTGCAGCTCACGATAGCCTCCTACCCACACCTGCAGCGCAGCACATACGAGAAGGAAAAGGCAGCAGAGGAAGCAGCAGCACATATGTTCTCATATGCTTTTATGTTCATTTCCTCCCTTCCCCCATGCAGGAAGGCCTGCAGCGCACGATAGCATCCTACCCGCACCTGCAGCGCAGCACATACGAGAAGGAGAAGGCAGCCGAGGCAGCAGCAGCGCGGGCAGCCTTTCGAGAGCGCTCGTCCGTGCACAGAGCACTGGGAGGGGGGATGGTGGCGGATCTGCTGCTGTGGCAGGAACCGAAGATGTCTCTCATGGCCATGCTGCTCGCGTGGATGGTGCTGCGATGGGCTCTTGGGAGATTTGGCGGGACTCCTGTCGTTTCCCTGGCTGCGACTGCTGCCATGGGGTTCCTCCTGCACGCAGCTGTGCTGCACCGCGTGGCCCCCATCGCCAAGAGGTGAGACAGGGGGAAGAGTGGGGTGGGAAGTGAAGACGTGGCACGATGGGGCGGGCGGCTGGCGGACCTGCTGCTGTGGCAGGAACCGAAATTTCTTGCTGTTTGCCATGCTGCTCGCGTGGATAGTGCTGCGCTTGGCTATTGAAAGGGTGGGGGGGGCACCGGTGGTGTCGCTGGCTGCGACTGCTGCCATGGGGTTCATTATGCACGCTGCCGTGCTGCACCGCGTGGCTCCCATCGCCAAGAGGTGAGACAGTGGGATAGGAGAGCGCTGCTGACAGTGCTGCTGCCTGCTTCTGCATTCTTCAACAGCCCTGGATTCCAAGGTGCGTTCTGGATTCCAAGGTATGTCAACTGAACGTTTTCCTTCCTGCACCCTGCACCGCCTTCCCCCACCCTCCTCCCCACCTTCCCTCGTCTCTTCTCCATTCCACCCCCTACTTTCCCATAATCTGCTCTCCTCGTTTCAACCACAGGCTCCGCCTGCCCTTACCTGACATGGTTCGTTTTTTGAGTCAGCTCAAAGGGAGATTTCCATTTTTCCCCTGCGTCCCCATGGTCTGCTCTCCTCTGGTCGACCTCAGGTTCCGCCTGCCCTTACCTGACATGGCGGCTGTTGAGTGGCGCATTCCCGAGAAGCCAGTGGTGGACGCGAGCCAATGGGTGGCTGCCACGTGGAACGGCTCTGTTGCTGCTCTGCAGGAGAAGCTACTAGTGGAGAGGGACTGGGCCGCAGCTGGCAAGGTGGGTGGCGCTGGGGAATTGGCTGGGGGCTGGTTGGGTTTGGTTTGGGATTGGTTCGGGATAGGTTCGGGATTGGCCCGGGGTTGGTTCCGGGCTGGTCCGGGGTTGGCCCGGGGTTGGTCCGGGGTTGGTCCGGGGTTGGCCCGGGCTTGGTCCGGGGTTGGTCCGGGGCTGGTCCGGGGTTGGCCCGGGGTTGGCTCGGGGTTGGTCCGTGGTCCGGGGCTGGTCTGGGGTTGGTCTGGGGTTGGTTCGGGGTTGGTCCGGGATTGGTTGTGGGCTGGTGGAACGTTGTGCTGGGGAGGGAGGTGTTGAGCCTTTAGGGGCCGATGGGGGAGGGCTGTGGTGCAGCTCTGTGGCGGCTCTGCAAGAGAAGCTGCTAGTGGAGAGGGACTGGGCTGCTGCTGGCTAGGTGGGTGGGGTTGGGGGGTTGGTTGGGAGTTGTTGCGGGGTTGGTTGGGGGTTGGTTGGGGGTTGTCTAAAGGGAGGGAGGCAGCTGATACGCGCCGATGGGGAGGCATGTGGTGCGGCTCTGTGGCGTCTCTCCCGGAGAAGCTGCTAGTGGAGAGGGACTGGGATGACGCTGGCAAGGTTTGTGTGTGAGGAGGAGGCTCGTGTGTGAGGAGGAGGCTCTTGTGTGAGGAGGAGGCTCGTGTGTGAGGAGGAGGCTCGTGTGTGAGGAGGAGGCTCGTGTGTGAGGAGGAGGCTCGTGTGTGAGGAGGAGGCTCGTGTGTGAGGAGGAGGCTCGTGTGTGAGGAGGAGGCTCGTGTGTGAGGAGGAGGCTCGTGTGTGAGGAGGAGGCTCGTGTGTGAGGAGGAGGCTCGTGTGTGAGGAGGAGGCTCGTGTGTGAGGAGGAGGCTCGTGTGTGAGGAGGAGGCTCGTGTGTGAGGAGGAGGCTCGTGTGTGAGGAGGAGGCTCGTGTGTGAGGAGGAGGCTCGTGTGTGAGGAGGAGGCTCGTGTGTGAGGAGGAGGCTCGTTTGTGGCTCTGTGGTGGCTCTCCAGGAGAAGCTGCTAGTCGAGAGGGAGCCAGTCGCTGCTGGCAAGGTGGGTGATGCCGAGGCAGAGGGGTGACGCTGGGGGGCTGGTTGGGTGGGATATGGGAGGGTGAAGCACAGGGAGGCGAAGGAGCAGGAGGCTTGTCGGTGGTGGCTCTCCAGGAGAAGCTGCTAGTCGAGAGGGAGCCAGTCGCTGCTGGCAAGGTGGGTGATGCCGGGGGGTGGGGAAACCAGTCGAGTTTCAGGTGGTGAGAGAGGGGTGAGAGGCTGTTGAGGCGAGGGTTGGGGGGAAAGGAAGGCGCGGAGAGGTCGTTAGGGTAGGGCGAGGGGAGGCTGTTGATTTCACAGTTCATTTGTTAGCGACTTGCTCTAGTTCGTAAATGAATCTATTTGTGCGTTTGCTTGTTCTGTGCTATCTTGCCGTGGTTGCAGGTGTTGGCGGCACTGACTGCTCTTCAACTCCTCTCCTCTTTCATCACTGTCTACACGCTTTCCTTCCTGGGTATGCCTTAGCACTCACCCCACATGGTCACACACACACACACACACACACACACACACACACACACACACACACACACACACACACACACATACACATACACAAACACGCACAGATACACACACACACAGACACACACACACACACACACACACATACACACACACACACACGCACACACACACACACACACGCACACGCACACACACACACACACACACATACACATACACACACACACACACACACACACACACAGACACACACACACACACACACACACACATACACATACACACACACGCACAGATACACACATACAGATACACACGCACACCCACAGATACACACACACAGATACACACACTCACAGATACACACACACACACTCACAGATACACACACACACACTCACAGATACACACACACGCACACACGCACACACACACAGACGTGCACACACACACACACACACACACACAGACACACACACACACACACACACACACACACACACACACATACACATACACACACACGCACAGATACACACGCACACTCACAGACACACACACACACACACACACACACATACACATACACACACACGCACAGATACACACACACACACACACACACACACACACATACACATACACGCACAGATACACACATACACACACACATACACACACACACACACACACACACACACACTCACACACACACACACACACACACACAAACACACAGACGTGCACTCCCACATCATGCACTCTCTCTTCCCCATCAGTACACCTATCCCCTCGCCCTCCCCCCCTCGCCCTCTTCCCACAAGCCCCCACACTCCCCTCACTCTCGCCTCCCCTCCCCCCTCTCCTCCCTTTTTGCTCCTCTTCCTTCATCTTTCACCCATTTGCTCCTCATTGCCCGTGTGCTAACCTCCCCCATCCCCCATATCCTCTCCATGCCCCCTTCTCCCACACCAGCCCTGCTTGCAGTGTTTGTCATTCCCTCAGTGCTTGACAAGAGGCAAGGAAGCAACGCAATTCCTTCCACCAGCCAAGACAACCAAGCATCAAACTCGAGTATGGCCACATCATAGTAAATGTCTTACGGGCTGACACATATGGTCTGCTACAGGCTGTGCTGTTATGATCACAAAGCAGGCGTGTATTGTGATTTTGCTGAAGTTGCAAATCGGCTGCTGTTAGCCATTCTTACCGTAGTTGGTGTTGCTGTTAGTATGATCGTACACATTTTCTTACCATATATCACTCACACTTTCGTATGATGACAAACTGGGTCCCTGCATCCAGTTTGCTGCTGTAACCACGTTCATATGACTCGGTTTTTTCAGCCAGCAACTAACTAATCGCCAACAGAAAAGTTGAATAAAACTTAGCTATATACACTGTACATGACAAGCATATTGCATAATATACCCTACACTACACTACACTAAACTTCCAATCCCATTGCAGGCTCGACGTTCTCCTTATCATCACCAAGCATCCTCATCACTCTCCCCCTCTCTCACTTCCTCCGCCTCCACCAGTCCCCCCCCAATAGCATGCTTACTCCACTCCTCATCCCCTAGAAAACCGCTTGCTCCTCCCACATCTGCACCCCTTCTATAATTCCCCCTTGCAGCAGGCTCACCCACCTCCCACATTCCCTGCTCCCTCTCTCCACGCCCTTCCACCCCCGCATCCCACTCCCTCCTCTCTTGCATTTGCCTCAGCTCCTCCTCCCCCTCCTCCACCCGCCTCTCCTCCACTGCCCCCTCCACTGCTCCCTCCTCTGCTCTCCCACCCTCAGTCACAGCTCCCCTCTGCCTCCCCCCACGCCACTCCCACGCTCTCACTCGCTCCATCACCCCCCGGTCCCACCACCGCCGCCTCCCAGCTGACATCCTTCGTCTTCTCTGCATCACATCCACCTCACTGGTATCACCTTCCCTAGAATCACCTCTGATAATATCACCTCCAACAAAGTCGCCTGCAGCGCCCGTACTGTCTCCCCTTGTCTCCACCCCACCAGCTTCGTTATAGTCACCTGGCATAGCACCACCATCAATAAGAGCCCGGAACGCTTGCCATGCATACCCCTCCCCCTCTCCCTCCTCCCCACCATGCCCCATTCTCACCCCCTCCCTCCGTGTCTGATGTCCCTCAATCCCTCTCCTTCCCCTCTCCTCACTCCCTCGCCCTCCCATCCCCTCCCCCTGTCGGCCTTCCACCAGCTCGTAACCAACAGGCAGCAGGGAGGGCAGAGAGGCGCGGCAGTGGGAGGGGTCGAGGTGTGAGGGAGGTAAAGAGCAGGGCAGGGAAGAGCAGGGGAGAGTGCACGAGAGCACAGTGTGTCGGCGAGTAGGGAGGTCTCTGTCCCTCACAACCCGTGCCTTGCCCTTTGGAACACTCTCCCTTGCTTTTGAATCGCCTCCTTTCCCCCATCCTCCCTCACTCACACGCCCACTCCTGCTGCCACCAATGTAGTCCCTCCCACTGCTGCTCCCCCTGCCACTGTCACCCCCCATGCCACCACTGTCCCCTCCCCTACTCCTGCCCCTGCCAGTTGCAGCAGCTGTGCTGTAGCGCCTGCTGGTGCTAGACCTAGCAACAGCTGTAACAGTAGTAACTGCAGCGGGAACAGCAGTGGAAACAGCAGTAGCAGCAGCATCAGCAGCAGCAGAGTTTGGATTTAGGGTTTCGCCTGCCCCAACAGCAGCCTCTTGCCTGGATTCTCCAGATTTCTCCCCCAGGGCCGCCTCAGCTGCCGCAATCTCCCTATCCGCCATATCACCAACCGCCGCGACTGCAGCAATGGATGTCCCATCAGCAGACGCCTCGTTCACAGTTGCCACGTCAGCCAGAACCGGTTCCAGCACAGCAGCAGCACCCAACAGCTCAGCGCGACGGACCGCCATCACAGGAGCTCTATCCTTGCAGTCATCCGTCACAGCTGCAATAACTGGGTTCCCAGCTACACTCGCAGCGCCCGCTGCAGCCACGGCCTCTACAATCACATCCATCAGCTCACCCACCATATCCGCCTTCTCCGCTTCTAACCTCGTTATTATCACATCCCGCTCCTCCCGCTGCGCATCCAGCACCCGAGCCATGGCTTCCAAGCTCGTTACATACCCCTCCTTCTCCCGACGCGCCGCGTCTAGTTCTTCCTTCAGCAGATCGACCTCTGCCACGTGGCGCCTGCGCTCCGCAGCGAGTTGCCCCTCCGCCGCCCGCAGCGCCACCATCAGCTCGACCTCCCGCGCCCGCGGGCGCTCCGCGGAAGCCGCGGCGTTCTCGAGTGCGGCGGAAACCGCGCGCTCCTGGCCTTCCGCCAAGGCTTCGCGTTCCGCGCGCGCGGACTCTAGCGCGGCTTCCGCCTGCGACAGCGCCGCCTGCAGCTCCGCGACCTTCCGCTCAAGAAACCGCGCATACTCTGCCTCCTCGCTCTCCGCCGACTGAGCTTCTTCTGCGACTGGCGCGACGCGTGCGACTGGTGCGACTGGCGCGACGGGCCTGCGAGCGACGTCGCATTCGTCGTCCGATTCGTCGTAGTCCACGTCGTCGTCGTCGTCCAAGTAGACCTTCGCCTTCTGCCCCGTCAGCGGCGACCCGGTTGACCCTGCTGGCGCTGACGTGGCGACCGCCGACGTGGCAGAAGGCGACGACGGCGGAGAGCTGACGTGCCCACCAGAACCTCCGCCAACGGCGAGCCCCGCGAGATCGCACGAGCTGTTGACACGTGGCATCGACAGCACGGCGCGCGTCGTCGCCTCCGTCAGCTTGCGCTGCGTGTCCATCAGGAGCGACAGCGCCGCGTCCTTCTCCTTCATCAGCTCCTCGTTGATCGTGCGCGACTCGCTCAGCGACTCGGTGAGCAGCGCGATGCGGCTCGCCGCGACCAATAGCAGCTCCCCGTTGCTCAGCCCGCTCAGATCGGGCGGCAAACTGCCGTCCGCCGCCGATTTCGCCGCCGCCGACGCCTCATCGCACACGCCCGTTTCTCCCAGACTGCCGGCGACTTGACCGTCAACTGACTGACCGTCAGAAGGTGACGCAAGCACCGCAGTCTGAGACTCGGTAAGCGCTTCCGCGATAGTGAACAGCGAGCTGTCCGAGGGTCGCGGGGACGCGGGGAGAGAGGCGAGCGCGGGGAAAGCGAACGACGCCGCGGAGGAGAGGCGGGAACGCGCGGAAGACGCGGAGCTTCGTCCCCCTGAGGCGGAGGAGGAGGAAGAAGAGCCGCGCGGGCGGAAGGCGAACGATGACATGGACGAGCGACGCGCGCCGCCATGGTTGTTTCCATACGCGCCATCCGCGGCGTCTGCTCCCAAAGAGGAGAAGGCGAAGGAGTGGCGCGCGGGGCAGCCGACGAGAATGGACTCCGCTAACGCGCGGATCGCGCTGTCCCTACGCTCGCTCGCGGTCGCGCTACCAGCGGAGCCGGCGGCGGCGGCGGAGGAGGAGCGGCGCACGTGGTCGGTCGCGTCCAATTGCTCGCACTGTTGGCGCAAGACAAGAAAGGGAACGACACGGGCATGGCAAGGGAACGATGAGTGCGTGAAAGGCAGCGACGAACGCGTAAAGGCGTGGGGAATACGAGACCGGGAGATATACTTGCGGGTCAGCGGCAGTAGGATGCATGGGGATTTGGGATACACGTACCAAGAGAGACCGGCCGTCGATTCGCCTCGAGGAGCTGCAGGAATCGCGGTAGAAGTGCGACTCCGAAGCAGCAAACGCGGCGAACGCCTCAGCAAATCGCGAATCGACGACGACGCTCGTCGTGCCGCTCAGGGACGCGGCGCACACACTGTCGAGGGAAGACTGGGAGACACCTATTTTCAGCGTCGAAGGAAACTAGCAGAATACTGACCGACACACGCGTCGGCGTTAGTAAGTAGCAAGTACTGAAGGCTGACCGATCACGTTGAGCTCAAAGGCTGAGAAGCAGCGAGGACCGAAACTAGCAGGCTGAGAGGGTCGCTGATTTGAAGCAGAAGAAGAGAACCGAGTGTGTTAGAACGAAGTTCGAGCGTTGGCCTAAATAGGTCCCTAGAGTCAGCCTGTCATGCAGAGGAAGATTGCTAGTTGGTCCATCGGAGCGCGTCAGGTGGGTTTAGTTTGGTTTGGGGAAACAAAAACCAGGGATCCGGGAAGTCGGGGAGGTTTGGGCAATGAAAATCGCCCGTGTCCGTCTGCCGTACCTCCGCTCCTCGAGTCCCCCAAAACGAACCAGCAGAACAGCCTCCGACGCGGAAGGAAGAACCAGCCAAGCTGGGGGGGCGCGCGCAGGCATCCACAGTTTGGCTTGGTGGGACCGATCGGGGCGCGACAAGTGCGCCCTAGCTGGCGGGGGTCGAGCGGAATTTCAGCGCGCGAAATGGACGGGATGGGGCAGCTGGAAATGCGATCGTGCCTCGAAATCCTCGGAAACAATTCGCAACCACTGTTTACCCTGAATTTCGTTACGCCGCTGAATGGTTCATGCGGTCTGGAGAGAATAAGAAAACATGCTTATGCATGAGCTAAATAAGAATTAGATGCATACAGCATCATGTTTTGTTTGTGAATGGTGCAAACGATGATGCTGGACACAATCTGAACGAAACTCAAACTCTTGCCCACATGTTGGACACTTGAATCCTCCTGCAAAACAAGGATGAGAAATTAGGAAACAGAATGTAACAAATAATTTCTGTGAACACGTTAGAATTGTGAAGTTGTCGACATCAAATTTGTGCGAAAGTTACGTACGAGGTGCTTCCGGTCGAAAGTAGGCATGCTGCAGAGCCTCGCGCGCTGTTATCCGGTCCCCCTGTTTAAAAGTTATGATGGAAAGGAGGTGGTGTTACCAAAATACACACAGTCAAATGAACATGTTGTTGGAATAGAAATCAACCAGGCAACCATGCAAAGGCAAAAGGAAGAGGGCCATTGCAACAACAATACGCAAAAAAAGGCACCAGTAAAGAAGGGAGGAAACTGTTACTCTTACAGGGTACCATTGCAGCAGTCGCCTCAGCAGTCGCAGGGCCCAAATGCTGGGCAGCCTGATGAGGGAAGGATGGAAGGAATAACGTGGCACAGGGATGTGGGACAGGAAATGGCACTGAACATGGGGTATGCATATGGAGTGGAGCGAAAAAACGACAGGAGGGGCAAAGAGGAGTGGCACAGGGAAGTGGGTCAGGAAATGGCACTGAACATGGGGTAAGCAAACGGCGTGGAGAGAACAAGTGAAGGGTGAGAGGACACGGAGGAGTAACAACAAAGGGACGTGGGAAAGAGTCCATCCATGCAGTCAACAGGGAAGAAGATTGAGAAGGCACAGACTCTACTAGCCGCGTGTTGGTAGCTGGATTTGCTTGTAAGATGCATCGAGAGGTCTCGTGTGTCTTACCTTTTTTTGAGGCGAATCTCTCACCTTCAGGTGTGCGGTAGTGACTTCCAAATAGACTCAAAAGTTACTTTGCTGGTGACCAGTTTTTTTTTGTTTGTTTGTTTTTTTTTTTTGGTTAAAAAGCGAAGGGTCTTGTGCGCTCTTACCCTTTCTTGAGCGGGTCCCTGAGCTTCAGCTGTGCGGCAATGCTTGCTTCGCTGCACTCCCACGGCGCCACCACACTCCACCCCCCTGCACCGTCGCTGCTGCCACCACCACCACCACCACCACCACCACTGCTGCTGTCTGTGCCACTGCTGCCTCTGCTGTTGCTGCTGCCATGGTCATTAGAAGTGCTGCTCGTACCAGAAGCAGCACTACCACCATGCACCGGGCCATCGCCCTGTCTAACCTCGCTCTCCTCTCCAACCACACTGTACGCATCTCCCTCTTCCCCACTTCTGCTGTCGCTGCCGCTGCTGCTCTCAGCAGTGCGGCCTTTGTATCTGGCTGTGATGGATGCAGCCGATCCCTGGGGATGGGCACCCGCTACAACTGATCCCTGCGGATGGGCATGCTCCACATGCGGCTGGCGCAGCCTCAGTAAGTCACCCACACCCCTGCTCTTCTCGCCTCTTCCCCCTTCCACACCCTCCTCCCTCCTCACTTCCCCCTCCTCTTCTCCTGCTACAGGCGTCCCCTCCTCTTTATGTGCTACAGACGGCCTTTCCTTCTCCCCTGCTACAAACGGCTCATCCTTGTGTGCTGCTACAGATGGCTCCTCCTCCTCCCCTGGTGCAGAAGTCCCCTCGCTTGGCGGCGCTTCAAAGAGTGCAGGCGTGAAAATGCAGAGCTCCATCCATGCGCGCAAGCTGGGATGTGCGGGTGGGTGAGGGGAGTGGGGGGCATGAGGAAACGATTAGGTGATTGAGGCGCCTTAAAGTAGCCAGACCTGATCAGGCGTGAAAATGCAGAGCTCCATCCATGCGCGCAAGCTGGGGAGGAGGGAGTGAGGGGAGTGCGGGGAGTGAATTTTGAGAATTCTCAAAAACCAGGAGGGAGTGAGGGGAGTGAATTTTAAGAATTCTCAAAAACCAGGAGGGAGTGAGGGGAGCGAAGGGGGGTGAGAAAACGAGTTCTATGTTTAAATGCCTTCATGCCCCTGGATTTGAACACAGTGAGGTAATCAGGAGTGAAGATGCAGAGTTCCATCTACACTCGCAAGCTGGGACGAGCGGAGCAAGGGAATGGGGCGGTCAAGGGGACGGTAAAGGGGACGGTCAAGGGGACGGTCAAGGGGAGTGAAGGAGAAGAGGCGGCGTGAGCGCATAAAAAGGGTTTGAGGGGGCGCAGAAGGGGAGTGAGGTTGGAGAAGGAGTGTGCGGCCGTGGGTGGGAGGACCAGGACAAGAAGAAAGGGCAATACCTCACAGGGAAAAAAATTGCGATCGTACTGGAAGGAAGGATTTCGGATTCTCACAGGAAGGCAGTTCGCCGGGTGGACTGGGGCCATTGGGCTGCTTGCAGGGAGCGATCTAGCAGCGCCTGGTGGAGATGAAGGGGCAGGGGAGAGGGAGGGATGGGAGAGAGGAAACAATGGGATGGGGAGTTGGGTGTCACAGGGCTGTCACAGAAAGGCACTTCACCGGGTGGACTGAAGCCATTGGGCTGCTTGCAGTGAGCGATCTAGCAGCGCCTGAGAGAGGTACATGGGGTGGGGGGGAGGGGAGAGAGGGAGAGGGGTTAGAGGGGGAGAGGGGTAGCGGGGGAGAGGGAAGACGGAGAGGGAAATGCTGTAGCATTGTACTCGCTTTGGGTGTCAGTTTCCTGTGTGTGAGTATGTTGGTATGCGGGCTTTAAGGAAAGCATTCAAGGCCAAGGGCATTCCAAGAGGAGGGGCAGAAAGGAAGTATGTGATGGGGAGGGCTTAGCTTAGTGGGGGAAGGGGACGAACAGAGGAGGGTCTTTTGAGGCGCGTATGGAAATACCTGAGTGCGAGGCGGGAGGGACCAGACATGTGGCTTTTTTTAGAATTCTCAAAAAATTCTAAAAAACACACGAATGGAAGTACCTGAGTGCGAGGCGGGAGGTGTTTTGAGACGTCTCAAAACATCTCTTTTGAGGCGCGTATGGAAATACCTGAGTGCGAGGCGGGAGGGACCAGACATGTGGCGAGCCGAAGAGGAGTTCCAGCATTAGCACTCCCACACTCCACATGTCGTAGCTGTGCGGGTGGGGAGGAGGTAAAGGGGAAGGAGGAGGAGGAGTGAAAGAAGGGAAGGGAGCATAAGATGCATCATACATGTTGAAGAGGAGCGCCAGCATAAGCACTCCCACACTCCACATGTCGTAGCTGTGCGGGTGGGGAGGAGGTAAAGGGGAAGGAGGAGGAGGAGTGGAAGAAGGGAAGGGAGCATAAGATGCATCATACATGTTGAAGAGGAGCGCCAGCATAAGCACTCCCACACTCCACATGTCGCAGCTGTGCGGGTGGGGAGGAGGTAAAGGGGAAGGAGGAGGAGGAGTGGAAGAAGGGAAGGGAGCATAAGATGCATCATACATGTTGAAGAGGAGCGCCAGCATAAGCACTCCCACACTCCACATGTCGCAGCTGTGCGGGTGGGGAGGAGGTAAAGGGGAAGGAGGAGGAGGAGTGGAAGAAGGGAAGGGAGCATAAGATGCATCATACATGTTGAAGAGGAGCGCCAGCATAAGCACTCCCACACTCCACATGTCGTAGCTGTGCGGGTGGGGAGGAAGAGGGGGTGGGAAAGTGAATAAAGGATGAACAGATTATGTAGTATATGCTACAGTGAAGCTCCAGCATGAGCACTCCACATGTCGTGGCTGCATAGATTAGCGGATGAATGGGAGGGTCGGGCGGAGGATGGGAGAAGGGCGGGCGGAGGTTTGGAAGAGGTCAAACATATTGAACCGAAGGTCCGAAGCTCCGGGCATGAGCGCTCCAACGCTCCACATGTCATAGCTGCATGAGTTAAGAAGGTGCAGTACGGTTTTGAGACGCCTCAAATGTGTGCATGTGCGGTACACTAGAGAGGGAGAGAGAGAGAGTAGTAGGCTACAGTGTGACATACATGGTACACTATACAAGGTATGGAATGAGCTCTGCCACAGCACAAGTCTTTGCCACAGCACAAGTCTTTGCCACAGCACAAGTCTTTGCCACAGCACAAGTCTTTGCCACAGCACAAGTCTTTGCCACAGCACAAGTCTTTGCCACAGCACAAGTCTTTGCCACAGCACAAGTCTTTGCCACAGCACAAGTCTTTGCCACAGCACAAGTCTTTGCCACAGCACAAGTCTTTGCCACAGCACAAGTCTTTGCCACAGCACAAGTCTTTGCCACGTGAGTGGGGGAGGGACAAGTTGAGGGGGCGAACGAGTGAAGGTGGAGGGTTGAGTGGAGGGACAGGGGGGAGGTTGCTGAGTGATTTTGGAAGAAGAAACTTTCACAAATACACTCTGGAGTGTTTCACACATACCCGTAGTGCATTCTGCTGCTGATGTGGAAGCAGCTGCTGCTCGAGCTGTTTTTCGTGCAGTCAACACCTCCCCCAGAAGTCCCACCCCCCCCTGCTGCTGTCCCTACTTCTCCCGATGCGTCCACTCCTTCCCCCACACCCCCAGCACTTGGGAGGCTCTGTGGCAGCAGCAGAACCTCTGGGGGCGAGTAGAGCTCTGTTTCCTCTGCGCTGCGACAAAGAGTGACAAAGAAGAATGCATTTTGTTAGGATGTCGCGAAATTCAGCTCTTAACAGCAGCAAGGGAATAGAGCTGCGAACAGAGGGGAACGGGAGAGAAATGCACTAGATGTGTGTCGCTTTAAGAATATTCTCTAAAACATCTTTCTGAGGCACAATATCAACCAAGAGGAAACCTTTCTTCCTGAGTTTTGAGCCATCTCAAGATGTGGGCCGAGAAACATGGATAGGTGTTAGCTCTACAGACGTTATCTGGCCTGTCAGATGTAACCTGAAAAGGCATTGCCTGGAGGGAAGTGTTATCCCATACAGGAATGTATTAGGGCGCTTTAGAACACTGGGTTCTGAGACGTGGCCAAAAAAACACAGGGCTGGTAGGAGGTGTTACCTAGACAGGAAGGGAGGTGACACCTCCTACCACCTGGAGGTGGCGCATTCTGTGTGCTGAAGGATTATTACCTGGAGGGCCCTGTTGGGCCGTAGAGGAAGCGAACAGAATGCGGGTCGACAGCCGATCCCAGGTCTAGCACACGACTGATGGGATGGGATGGAATTGAAAATGTGAGGGAGGGAGGAAGAAGAGTTTCGATAGGAAAATCACACAGAAATATCATCAGCAACGGCTGAGACCGTTGTGGACAGGACCGTTGTGTTCCTGTCAATGAGATCGTTGTTGGTGCTTTGTTCGAGAGAGGACAGGATAGAGAGTAGGGGAAACGAGGAAAGGGCGGGATAGGGAAAGGACGAGACAAGAGGAGTGGAGAGGAGAGGAACGAGATACTGGGTGGGGTGGTGCTCTAAATGAGGACTGGATGGATGACTGGATAATGCTCTTGTCTTCATGCTCACCATATGGCTTGACGAAATAACAAGCTTGTTTGGAGACGTCTCAGAACAAGTTTGTCATCCGATGGTGATCTAGTCTAGATGCTCGTCATATCGCTTGACGAGGGTTTGAAGTTAAAGGTGCAAAGATCCATGCAGAGTTTACGGTTGCTCGTACCGCACCGCACACACCCACCCCACTCACACGTGCGTGTCAGCATTGAAATCCGGAAGCGGGTTTTCCATGGAATCAGGTCCACGTGCAGCACTGTCGTTGGCTGACGAGGAGGATAATGTTGCTGCTGCTGCTGCTGCTGCTGCTGCTGCTGCTGCTGCTGCTGCTGCTGCTGCTGCTTCGGCTGCTGCTTCTGGCACTTCTCCTACTGTTGCTGATGGCGAGGAAGGGGAGGAGTCAGGTGCTGGTGTATGCGATGCATACCTTTCTGCCCTCCCCCCAGCACGTCCCCCCTGGGGGTGTTCGCGCTCTGTACTTCTGCTCGTCCTCCTGGTTTGAGGCTTCAGAATGAGGTTCTCTGTTGGTAGATAAAAAGTAGAGATGGATGGCGATAGATGGAGGAGGGGTGGAGGAGGGATGGAGGAGGGGTGGAGGAGGGATGGAGGAGGGGTGGAGGAGGGACGGAGGAGGAATGGAAAATGATGTTCACTATTGGTGGACAAAAGACATAGACGAGCATAGACGGAGGAGGGGTTTCGAGTTGTCTCAAATCCCCTTACAACAACAAGGAGAAAAGAGACGGATGGGGATGGGAGGCGGAATTGAGACGAGATTGTGAGAGGCATACCAGGTTTTTTGCCAGCGTTAGAACTAGCGGGGCAGCCAGCATAGTTCACTGCGGGTTTGGGTTCGCACACGAATGCGTCAGTTGACATCTTGTTCTCCATCCTATGACTATGTACAGGGTGGTACGTTGGACAAGCAATTGCTTGGTCAGAAAGCACATTCGCTGGGAAAGAAACAGAGTACCTGGCTTGATGTCCCTGTGGGTTATGTTGCGTGCTTGCAACGCAGCAAGTCCCAGCAGCTGTAGCACAGAAAGCAGGGGTGAGGGGCAGAGAGAATTGAGAGCGAGAGCACAGGGCGGAGGAACAGAAAGGGGAAAAGCAGTGAACGAGGAGAGGAGAAGGGGAAGGAGTGAATGCACGCGGCACAAGGAAAGGAAATGGCAGGCATGGGCTTTTGCTCTCACCGTCTGTCTCAGGATGCTCCTCACAGTTGCCTCTCCCTCCTCTGTGGTGCGCAACCACCGCCACCACCTCGAAGGCCGCATGATGCGGTGCTGCCCGCTCGTTCCCTGCTGCTCAGCACTTGAATTTTCCCCACCCGCATGCTGCTGCCCACTCGCCTGCTCCCCATTCGCATGCTGCTGCTCATTCTTCTCGTTTCCCCCTTCTTCCTTCCCTCCGTTCTCTTGTTTCGTTCCCTCCCATTCTTGCCCTCCTTCCTCAGATTTCTCCACCTCCTCCCCGCCTCCCTCCCCATCAGAATCACTCGTGTACAGCAGAGACGAGAGAGACACCCCCTCGTGCACAAACACCAGCCACAGATCCTTCCTCTGCTCCTTCCTCTGATCCTTGCTCGCCTCCTCTCGCTGCTCTTTGCGCTGTTCCCTCAGCTTCTCCTTCCGCAGCTCCTTGCTTGGCTCCTTATCCTGCTGCTCCCCACTCCGGCCTTTATCGTCAACTTCACTGCTGACATCACTGCTGACATCACTGCTGACATCACTGCTGACATCACTGCTGACATCACTGTTGACAACACCGCTGACATCACCATCAGCACCGTCGCCATTGGTGGTGGTTGTGTCAGTGCTGATGTCATCATCACTGGTGGTTTCAAACGATTCCACGTAGCGAGCGATGTGGTTGAGGCCCAGGGCATCCACCAGCTCATCGTCCACGTCAGCATCCACGTCATCGCGCCTCTCGTCGCTGCTGCTGCTGCCACGATGGCGGCTGCCACGTGGCAGCACCACATTGGTCGCATTGAGGAGCATCTCCCCGAAGTACTTCTCTCGCAGCCCACTCAGTCGAGCGCCCACTCCCACCTGAACCCATGAAGCACACAGAGGAGTAACGAGGGACTGAAAGAAGGAGAGAAGGGAGCTGGGGAATCATTTGGGGTGGGGGGCCCCTCACACACCCTCCACCCCTGAATCCATGAAGCACAGAAGAGCAACCAGGGTTACCAGGGGCGGAAAGCAAGCGGGGTGAGGGGGGGTTCGTGAGATGATAATTGAGCCGCCGCCTCAATAACTCTCCTTGAACTGAAGCAAACAGGCACAGTGCAATGGACAAGGCCGGAAAGAAAGACGCACAGAACGAATCTTGAGGCACCAACAATGCTTCCCTGTCTGAACGCAAGGGACATAACGGAATGGAGTGGAGAGGGGCGAAAAGGGGTGGCAATAATAAAAGGGGGTGGCAGTAAATAAAGGCAGGCACAATCCAGCAGCACTGGAAGTTCAAGGTGACTTTTGAGTCGACTCAAAACGAGGTGACTTTTGACTTTTGAGTCGACTCAAAAGTCACCTCAGCAGCACTGGAAGTTCGAGGTGACTTTTGAGTCGACTCAAAAGCCACCTCAGCAGCACTGGAAGTTCAAGGTGACTTTTGAGTCGACTCAAAAGTCACCTCAGCAGCACTGGAAGTTCAAGGCAACAAGACCCTCGGCTTTCTGCGATTTGAAACCTTCTGACTTGTCAACAAGGACCTGAGCCTGTGGCACAGTGGCATTGTGGCATTTGTGGCATTGTGGCATTGTGGCATTGTGGCATTGTGGCATTTGTGGCATTGTGGCATTTGTGGCATTGTGGCATTGTGGCATTGTGGCATTTGTGGCATTTGTGGCATTTGTGGCATTTGTGGCATTTGTGGCATTTGTGGCATTTGTGGCATTTGTGGCATTGTGGCATTTGTGGCATTTGTGGCATTGTGGCATTTGTGGCATTTGTGGCATTGTGGCATTTGTGGCATTTGTGGCATTGTGGCATTTGTGGCATTGTGGCATTGTGGCATTTGTGGCATTTGTGGCATTTGTGGCATTTGTGGCATTGTGGCATTTGTGGCATTTGTGGCATTGTGGCATTTGTGGTATTTGTGGCATTTGTGGCATTGTGGCATTGTGGCATTGTGGCATTTGTGGCATTTGTGGCATTTGTGGCATTGTGGCATTGTGGCATTTGTGGCATTTGTGGCATTGTGGCATTGTGGCATTGTGGCATTGTGGCATTTGTGGCATTGTGGCATTTGTGGCATTTGTGGCATTGTGGCATTTGTGGCATTGTGGCATTTGTGGCATTGTGGCATTTGTGGCATTTGTGGCATTTGTGGCATTTGTGGCATTGTGGCATTTGTGGCATTGTGGCATTTGTGGCATTGTGGCATTTGTGGCATTTGTGGCATTGTGGCATTTGTGGCATTGTGGCATTGTGACATTTGTGGCATTTGTGGCATTTGTGGCATTTGTGGCATTTGTGGCATTGTGGCATTGTGGCATTGTGGCATTTGTGGCATTTGTGGCATTGTGGCATTTGTGGCATCGTGGCATCGTGGCATCGTGGCATTGTGGCATTTGTGGCATTGTGGCATTTGTGGCATTTGTGGCATTTGTGGCATTTGTGGCATTTGTGGCATTTGTGGCATTTGTGGCATTGTGGCATTTGTGGCATTTGTGGCATTGTGGCATTTGTGGCATTTGTGGCATTGTGGCATTTGTGGCATTTGTGGCATTGTGGCATTTGTGGCATTGTGGCATTTGTGGCATTGTGGCATTGTGGCATTGTGGCATTTGTGGCATTTGTGGCATTTGTGGCATTTGTGGCATTGTGGCATTTGTGGCATTTGTGGCATTGTGGCATTTGTGGTATTTGTGGCATTTGTGGCATTGTGGCATTGTGGCATTTGTGGCATTTGTGGCATTTGTGGCATTGTGGCATTGTGGCATTTGTGGCATTTGTGGCATTTGTGGCATTGTGGCATTGTGGCATTTGTGGCATTGTGGCATTTGTGGCATTTGTGGCATTGTGGCATTTGTGGCATTGTGGCATTTGTGGGATTGTGGCATTTGTGGCATTTGTGGCATTTGTGGCATTTGTGGCATTTGTGGCATTGTGGCATTTGTGGCATTGTGGCATTTGTGGCATTGTGGCATTTGTGGCATTTGTGGCATTGTGGCATTTGTGGCATTGTGGCATTGTGACATTTGTGGCATTTGTGGCATTTGTGGCATTTGTGGCATTTGTGGCATTGTGGCATTGTGGCATTGTGGCATTTGTGGCATTTGTGGCATTGTGGCATTTGTGGCATCGTGGCATCGTGGCATCGTGGCATTGTGGCATTTGTGGCATTGTGGCATTTGTGGCATTTGTGGCATTTGTGGCATTTGTGGCATTTGTGGCATTGTGGCATTTGTGGCATTTGTGGCATTGTGGCATTTGTGGCATTTGTGGCATTGTGGCATTTGTGGCATTTGTGGCATTGTGGCATTTGTGGCATTTGTGGCATTTGTGGCATTGTGGCATTTGTGGCATTTGTGGCATTGTGGCATTTGTGGTATTTGTGGCATTTGTGGCATTGTGGCATTTGTGGCATTTGTGGCATTTGTGGCATTGTGGCATTGTGGCATTGTGGCATTTGTGGCATTGTGGCATTTGTGGCATTGTGGCATTGTGGCATTTGTGGCATTGTGGCATTGTGGCATTGTGGCATTTGTGGCATTTGTGGCATTGTGGCATTTGTGGCATTGTGGCATTGTGGCATTTGTGGCATTGTGGCATTTGTGGCATTGTGGCATTTGTGGCATTGTGGCATTTGTGGCATTTGTGGCATTTGTGGCATTTGTGGCATTTGTGGCATTTGTGGCATTGTGGCATTTGTGGCATTGTGGCATTTGTGGCATTTGTGGCATTGTGGCATTTGTGGCATTGTGGCATTGTGGCGTTGTGGCATTGTGGCATTGTGGCATTTGTGGGATTGTGGCATTTGTGGCATTTGTGGCATTTGTGGCATTTGTGGCATTGTGGCATTTGTGGCATTGTGGCATTTGTGGCATTGTGGCATTTGTGGCATTGTGGCATTTGTGGTATTTGTGGCATTGTGGCATTGTGGCATTGTGGCATTGTGGCATTTGTGGCATTTGTGGCATTTGTGGCATTTGTGGCATTTGTGGCATTTGTGGCATTTGTGGCATTTGTGGCATTTGTGGCATTTGTGGCATTGTGGCATTTGTGGCATTGTGGCATTTGTGGCATTTGTGGCATTGTGGCATTTGTGGCATTTGTGGCATTGTGGCATTTGTGGCATTGTGGCATTGTGGCATTTGTGGCATTTGTGGCATTTGTGGCATTTGTGGCATTGTGGCATTTGTGGCATTTGTGGCATTGTGGCATTTGTGGTATTTGTGGCATTTGTGGCATTGTGGCATTGTGGCATTTGTGGCATTTGTGGCATTTGTGGCATTGTGGCATTGTGGCATTTGTGGCATTGTGGCATTTGTGGCATTTGTGGCATTGTGGCATTTGTGGCATTGTGGCATTTGTGGGATTGTGGCATTTGTGGCATTTGTGGCATTTGTGGCATTTGTGGCATTTGTGGCATTTGTGGCATTGTGGCATTGTGGCATTTGTGGCATTTGTGGCATTTGTGGCATTGTGGCATTGTGGCATTTGTGGCATTTGTGGCATTTGTGGCATTGTGGCATTGTGGCATTTGTGGCATTGTGGCATTTGTGGCATTTGTGGCATTGTGGCATTTGTGGCATTGTGGCATTTGTGGGATTGTGGCATTTGTGGCATTTGTGGCATTTGTGGCATTTGTGGCATTTGTGGCATTTGTGGCATTGTGGCATTGTGGCATTTGTGGCATTTGTGGCATTTGTGGCATTGTGGCATTGTGGCATTTGTGGCATTGTGGCATTTGTGGCATTTGTGGCATTGTGGCATTTGTGGCATTGTGGCATTTGTGGGATTGTGGCATTTGTGGCATTTGTGGCATTTGTGGCATTTGTGGCATTGTGGCATTTGTGGCATTGTGGCATTTGTGGCATTGTGGCATTTGTGGCATTTGTGGCATTGTGGCATTTGTGGCATTGTGGCATTGTGACATTTGTGGCATTTGTGGCATTTGTGGCATTTGTGGCATTTGTGGCATTGTGGCATTGTGGCATTGTGGCATTTGTGGCATTTGTGGCATTGTGGCATTTGAGGCATCGTGGCATCGTGGCATTGTGGCATTGTGGCATTTGTGGCATTGTGGCATTTGTGGCATTTGTGGCATTTGTGGCATTTGTGGCATTTGTGGCATTGTGGCATTTGTGGCATTTGTGGCATTGTGGCATTTGTGGCATTTGTGGCATTGTGGCATTTGTGGCATTTGTGGCATTGTGGCATTTGTGGCATTTGTGGCATTTGTGGCATTTGTGGCATTGTGGCATTTGTGGCATTTGTGGCATTGTGGCATTTGTGGTATTTGTGGCATTTGTGGCATTGTGGCATTGTGGCATTTGTGGCATTTGTGGCATTTGTGGCATTGTGGCATTGTGGCATTGTGGCATTTGTGGCATTTGTGGCATTGTGGCATTTGTGGCATTGTGGCATTTGTGGCATTGTGGCATTTGTGGCATTTGTGGCATTGTGGCATTTGTGGCATTGTGGCATTGTGGCATTTGTGGCATTGTGGCATTTGTGGCATTGTGGCATTTGTGGCATTGTGGCATTTGTGGCATTGTGGCATTTGTGGCATTTGTGGCATTTGTGGCATTTGTGGCATTTGTGGCATTTGTGGCATTGTGGCATTTGTGGCATTGTGGCATTTGTGGCATTTGTGGCATTGTGGCATTTGTGGCATTGTGGCATTGTGGCGTTGTGGCATTGTGGCATTGTGGCATTTGTGGGATTGTGGCATTTGTGGCATTTGTGGCATTTGTGGCATTTGTGGCATTGTGGCATTTGTGGCATTGTGGCATTTGTGGCATTGTGGCATTTGTGGCATTGTGGCATTTGTGGTATTTGTGGCATTGTGGCATTGTGGCATTGTGGCATTGTGGCATTTGTGGCATTTGTGGCATTTGTGGCATTTGTGGCATTTGTGGCATTTGTGGCATTTGTGGCATTTGTGGCATTTGTGGCATTGTGGCATTTGTGGCATTTGTGGCATTGTGGCATTTGTGGCATTTGTGGCATTGTGGCATTTGTGGCATTTGTGGCATTGTGGCATTTGTGGCATTGTGGCATTGTGGCATTTGTGGCATTTGTGGCATTTGTGGCATTTGTGGCATTGTGGCATTTGTGGCATTTGTGGCATTGTGGCATTTGTGGTATTTGTGGCATTTATGGCATTGTGGCATTGTGGCATTTGTGGCATTTGTGGCATTTGTGGCATTGTGGCATTGTGGCATTTGTGGCATTTGTGGCATTTGTGGCATTGTGGCATTGTGGCATTTGTGGCATTGTGGCATTTGTGGCATTTGTGGCATTGTGGCATTTGTGGCATTGTGGCATTTGTGGGATTGTGGCATTTGTGGCATTTGTGGCATTTGTGGCATTTGTGGCATTTGTGGCATTGTGGCATTTGTGGCATTGTGGCATTTGTGGCATTGTGGCATTTGTGGCATTTGTGGCATTGTGGCATTTGTGGCATTGTGGCATTGTGACATTTGTGGCATTTGTGGCATTTGTGGCATTTGTGGCATTGTGGCATTGTGGCATTGTGGCATTTGTGGCATTTGTGGCATTGTGGCATTTGTGGCATCGTGGCATCGTGGCATCGTGGCATTGTGGCATTTGTGGCATTGTGGCATTTGTGGCATTTGTGGCATTTGTGGCATTTGTGGCATTTGTGGCATTTGTGGCATTTGTGGCATTGTGGCATTTGTGGCATTTGTGGCATTGTGGCATTTGTGGCATTTGTGGCATTGTGGCATTTGTGGCATTTGTGGCATTGTGGCATTTGTGGCATTGTGGCATTTGTGGCATTGTGGCATTGTGGCATTGTGGCATTTGTGGCATTTGTGGCATTTGTGGCATTGTGGCATTTGTGGCATTTGTGGCATTGTGGCATTTGTGGTATTTGTGGCATTTGTGGCATTGTGGCATTGTGGCATTTGTGGCATTTGTGGCATTTGTGGCATTGTGGCATTGTGGCATTTGTGGCATTTGTGGCATTTGTGGCATTGTGGCATTGTGGCATTTGTGGCATTGTGGCATTTGTGGCATTTGTGGCATTGTGGCATTTGTGGCATTGTGGCATTTGTGGGATTGTGGCATTTGTGGCATTTGTGGCATTTGTGGCATTTGTGGCATTTGTGGCATTGTGGCATTTGTGGCATTGTGGCATTTGTGGCATTGTGGCATTTGTGGCATTTGTGGCATTGTGGCATTTGTGGCATTGTGGCATTGTGACATTTGTGGCATTTGTGGCATTTGTGGCATTTGTGGCATTTGTGGCATTTGTGGCATTGTGGCATTGTGGCATTTGTGGCATTTGTGGCATTGTGGCATTTGTGGCATCGTGGCATCGTGGCATCGTGGCATTGTGGCATTTGTGGCATTGTGGCATTTGTGGCATTTGTGGCATTTGTGGCATTTGTGGCATTTGTGGCATTGTGGCATTTGTGGCATTTGTGGCATTGTGGCATTTGTGGCATTTGTGGCATTGTGGCATTTGTGGCATTTGTGGCATTGTGGCATTTGTGGCATTTGTGGCATTTGTGGCATTGTGGCATTTGTGGCATTTGTGGCATTGTGGCATTTGTGGTATTTGTGGCATTGTGGCATTTGTGGCATTTGTGGCATTTGTGGCACTGTGGCATTGTGGCATTGGGGCATTTGTGGCATTGTGGCATTGTGGCATTTGTGGCTTTGTGGCATTGTGGCATTTGTGGCATTGTGGCATTGTGGCATTTGTGGCATTGTGGCATTTGTGGTATTTGTGGCATTGTGGCATTGTGGCATTGTGGCATTGTGGCATTGTGGCATTTGTGGCATTGTGGCATTGTGGCATTTGTGGCATTTGTGGCATTTGTGGCATTGTGGCATTGTGGCATTTGTGGCATTGTGGCATTTGTGGCATTTGTGGCATTGTGGCATTTGTGGCATTGTGGCATTGTGGCATTTGTGGGATTGTGGCATTTGTGGCATTTGTGGCATTTGTGGCATTTGTGGCATTGTGGCATTTGTGGCATTGTGGCATTTGTGGCATTTGTGGCATTGTGGCATTTGTGGCATTGTGGCATTTGTGGTATTTGTGGCATTGTGGCATTGTGGCATTGTGGCATTGTGGCATTTGTGGGATTGTGGCATTTGTGGCATTTGTGGCATTTGTGGCATTTGTGGCATTTGTGGCATTGTGGCATTTGTGGCATTGTGGCATTTGTGGCATTGTGGCATTTGTGGCATTGTGGCATTTGTGGTATTTGTGGCATTGTGGCATTGTGGCATTGTGGCATTGTGGCATTTGTGGCATTTGTGGCATTTGTGGCATTTGTGGCATTGTGGCATTTGTGGCATTGTGGCATTTGTGGCATTTGTGGCATTTGTGGCATTGTGGCATTGTGGCATTTGTGGCATTGTGGCATTTGTGGCATTGTGGCATTTGTGGCATTGTGGCATTTGTGGTATTTGTGGCATTGTGGCATTGTGGCATTGTGGCATTGTGGCATTTGTGGCATTTGTGGCATTGTGGCATTTGTGGCATTTGTGGCATTTGTGGCATTTGTGGCATTGTGGCATTTATGGGATTGTGGCATTTGTGGCATTTGTGGCATTTGTAGCATTGTGGCATTTGTGGCATTGTGGCATTTGTGGCATTGCGGCATTTGTGGCATTTGTGGCATTGTGGCATTTGTGGCATTGTGGCATTTGTGGGATTGTGGCATTTGTGGCATTTGTGGCATTTGTGGCATTTGTGGCATTTGTGGCATTTGTGGCATTGTGGCATTTGTGGCATTGTGGCATTTGTGGCATTTGTGGCATTGTGGCATTTGTGGCATTGTGGCATTTGTGGCATTGTGGCATTGTGGCATTAGTGAATTCTCAACAACAGCCCGTGGCACTGAGGTCAACCACTTCACTCCACCCACCAGAAGTCGCTTGAGCACAAACAGTGGCGGTGCTTCCGCCTCCTCCTCCTCCTCCTCCTCCTCCTCCTCCTCCTCCTCCTCCTCCTCCTCCTCCTCCTCCTCCTCCTCCTCCTCCTCCTCCTCCTCCTCCTCCTCCTCTTCCTCATTGTGTTCCTCTTCCTCTTCCTCCTCCTCCTCCTCCTCCTCCTCCTCCTCCTCCTCCTCCTCCTCCTCCTCCTCCTCCTCCTCCTCCTCCTCCCTCCTCCTCCTCCTCCTCCTCCTCCTCCTCCTCCTCCTCCTCCCCTTCCGCCTCCTCCTCCTTCTCCGCCTCCTTATCTAGCACTCCTTTTTCTTGCCATTCTGTGGACAGTACCACCTCATGAGCTCTTATCAGCTCAGCAACCGTTGCAGCAGCAGCAGGAGGAGGAGCAGCCGGGGCAGCATCAACAGGATCAGCAGAAGCCGCAAGAGCAGCAGCAGCAGCAGGAGGAGGAGGAGCAGCAGGAGGAGGAGGAGCAGTAGTCGGCACAGCAGCAGCAGGAGCAGGGGCGCGTGCAGGCAGGTGGGCATGGAAGGGCCGGTGGCAGGGATCCCTTCTAACAGCTAGCCACACCTCTCCGAATCCCCCCCTTGCAAAGTTCTTCTGCAGCTCGTACCTGTGGTTTCAGGGTAAGGGGCGGATGGGATGATGAAGGCGGGCAGAGACAATGAGGCGGGCGTCATTAAATGGGAGAGTTTATGCAAAATGCAACAACGATCAGGGTTTGTGAAACTATCTGAGTTTGTGAGAGTTCGTGCAAATAACAACCATGTGGTGGAAAACAAGGTGTTTCTAGGACAAAGCCAGCAGTCAATGACTCACCTGCGCTGTACAAACCCCATCTGATGCCTCGTCCAATCGCCATCTGCCACTTCAGCATCCCTCAAATCTTCCTCCTCCTCCTCCTCATCACCTCTCTCCTCCGGACTCCTCCCATCCATCTCCTCCCGTTCCTCTATCACCTTCTTAAAACTTCCTTCATCCACCCACCCCCTATCCTCCACCCCACCCCCAATCACCAACTTCTCTCTCCCTCCCCTCTCCTTTCCGATCCCTGTGTCACTCCTATCAGGGAGGCCTGGTAGGAGCAGCGGCACCGAGCCTAGCAGGTTCAGGAACCGGACCAGGCCAAGAGGTGCGGGGATTGCCAGGCTATTGGCTGGGAGCAGAAGAGGCTTGCCGGTTGGTTTGGAGCGTGAAGCTTCAAAAGGGAGTGCAAGCGGAGAGTGTGTGAGGGAGTGGGAGAAACGTGAGGGAGAGGAGTGAATGAGGGGTTGAAGAGCTAGAGAAGAGGACGGCGACGGCGTGCCCCCAAGCTGAGGAGAGTGAGGCAAGATTCGATTCGCAAGCTTAGGTGGAATATGGTCTTGAGCTAAGACTTTATTGCGCGGTGAAGTATAGTCCTGATCTGACATTAGATGCTGTGAAGGAGCTGATGGACGTCCCGGTGGTTGAAGAGATTTTGAGGAGTGCAGAGTGGTGCGATGGTCCTCGGAAGAGGTGGCAGAGGTTGAGGAGGAGTGTGACTGTAATGGGGGCCAGATGAGCAAGCACTGGAAGGCCTCCATAACAGCCCGTGCACCTGCGGCAAAGATAGAGAGAAGGCCGCAGGTGCAAGGGCAGATGAGAGCGAAACGGAGGGAAGAGTGGAAAAAAAGTGAAAGAGAAATCGTGGCAGAATCAAGCTCCAACTAGGCACAGGCAGGCCTCATGACAAGAATGCGGGAACACGAAATGGAAGCATACGAACGTGCAAGGACCATTCAGCACTCACCGAGAGCTGCCAGCTGGCTCCCAGGCGGACTGGGCTCAGCTGATTGGTCCAAACCTTGCTGGTCGAAACCTTGCACCATCCCGTGCTCCTTAATCTTGCGTTCAGCATTCCGGTTACCATCACCATCGCTGCTGCGGCTACTGCTACCGCTCTTATGGCGATTCAGGGTTGGAACAACAACAGCAGACACAGCCATTGCAGTGCCGCCTGCTACACATTTGGGATGGGAGGAGGAGGCAGCAGGAAGGGCTGGGCCATGCTGAGCCTTAGTAACGTGCCCTGTTGTGAGACTAGCATCGAGGTACTGGGGAGGCTTCTGCCACGGCTTTTCCCACGTGCGGTCATGCCAAAGAGGCACCAGGGAGGGACGAGACGCAGCAGCAGCAATAGGAAGGGGTCTGAGCAGCTCGTAGCAATGTGGGGAGGAGGAAATGCCGGATGCTGCTGGGTTGTTTCCATGCTGAGAAGGCGCCTCAGGCGGCAGAGTGGGTTCCTGCTGCTGCTCTGGCCCCACCAGAATCGGAACCGTGGAGGACCTTTTTTGCAGGACAGGGTGTGGAGGCTGGGGAAGGTGAGGGACAGAAACAAGCTCTGGAGATCCTGGACCTTGTTTCTGTCCCGGACTGTGGGAGAGAGAAGCGAGGTGTCTGGGAGGCAAGGAAGCAGAGGTATCAGAGAGTGGCGTCAACGATTGACTGTTCTGCTGCTTAGAGAGAGTGTGTGGCTGTGATATAGGGGTGGTTGAGACGGGGGTCTCGGGTGGTTCACGAGTTGCTGCAGGAGTTGTAGCACGGGAGGCAGAGAGTGCTACGGCGGTGGGTGGGGCGTGGGTGTGGATTGGACGGCTACAGGCGCGAGCTTCTGACTTTGTGGGTGGCTGGGCACTGGCAGTTGACCTTGAATGGGAATGGCGACGGGAGGAACAAGAGGGTGCACGCGAGCGTGAGTGGGTGTGCAACTTTCTGAGTGAATGTGACTGTGAGAGCTTAAGCACAACAGCAGCAACGTTATCCAGAGTGCCTCGTTGAATGGCAGCTCGTGTGATCCTCTCTGCCAACTCCGCCACCTCCCTCCTCTCCTCACTCCCCTCCCAACACACCCTCGCTGGATCCCTCCCCTCCCATCTCCTTGCCTCTACCAACCCAGACTCGCCTCTCAATACCACCTGCCCCAGTGCCTGCTCTTGCTGCTGCTGCTCCTGCTCCTGCTCCTGCTGCTGCTCCTGCTGTGGTAGCTGCAGCGGGTGGGGCTGCTTCTCCCTTACCACAACCACCTGACCCCCCTCCACCTGCTGTGCACCCCCACATTGCCCCTTGCACCCACTTTCAACACCGTATCCCCCATCAGCATTGCATCTCCCCTCAGCCGTGCACTGGCCCTCGGGCCAGCAGGCAAGTGCCAGCTGAGTCTCCGCCTCACCACCGTCCCTGCGCACACACATGAGGGGTCCCTGCTCCACGCCCTCTAACATCCAGCAGTACGGCAGCTGCCCCTTCTGCACCATCACCTGCTGCTGCTGCTGCTGCTGCCGCTGCCTCGCTGCTTCCATGTGCCCCTGCAGCTGCACTTCTCCCTGTGCAATCTCCTGTGACTGTTCATGCACTGCAGATTGCCGTTCCCCACTCACCACAGCAAGAGCTCCCCGGTCGTCCCCTTCCTGCTGCCCAATTGGCAGGGGAATGGCATGGAGCAGCGATCCCCCTGTGACCTCACTTTCATGGCCAGATGCAGCAGCAGAAGCAGCAGCAGCAGCACTGTCAAGCACCCAATCCTCCTCATCCTCCTCCCCTTTTGCGTCTTCCCCCTCCTCCTCCTCATCGCCATCATAACCACCAGCGCCATCACCATCAACACCCCCACCACCACCATCATCCCTTCCAGCGCTTCTCTTGCTTCTCCTTCTGATGGCTCCTTCCCGACTCGCCCTGCCCACAATGCCGCACACCTGGCATGGTTTCATTCGCTCGAAGACCCCATCAGTTGCCACGATCAAATACTCCTCCTCCACCTCCTCCTCTCCATCCTCAAGCACCTCCCCCTCCTCTCCTTCCTTCTCAGGCGCTACATGGCCTTTTCCATCGCGTTCCCTGCCACCTGCTGACCCATCTTGACCTGCTTGCCCCGAATTCCTTTCTTGTACTTCTCGCTCTTCCACCTCTCTACTCCCATTCAAAACCTGGGTACACTCGAATCCCCACTCCCCCTCCTCCCTTCCCTCCACTTTCAACACCTCCCTTATTGCATCACTTTCATTCACCACCTGCCCACTCCTCTTCCCATCCACCCTACAACCTCCCATGCCACTCCCACTTGCACCACGGCCCCTTGCCCCACGCCGCACCACCCACTCGGTGATCTCAGGAGTGGCCACCACCCAGGGGCGGTACTGCAGGTCACCAAGGGCGCGAGTCACAGCCAGCTCGCCTTGCACGCGAGCCACGCCGCCCCGCTCCTCCACTCTCCCCCCCATCGCCTCCACACGCCGCCTCTCGTCCTCCCTGTCCGCCCTGTGGTCATCTGTCAATTCTGCTGTGCACATCTCCAGGGGACGCTTCTTTGAACGTTTCAAAGACCTGTTCATGCCATGGCCGTCTGTCGGCCCTTCTGTCCTCGATGAAACAGAACACCCCACTTCCTGCTGCTGCTCCTCCTGCTGCTGTAGGGAACTGAATGACGGCGACGCTGGGTTACACTGCTTGTGGGCCACGGTTAGTGCGTGGTTCTGCTGTTCCTGCTTCTCAAGCTTCTGCTGCTGTTGCTGTTCGTGGGGCATGGGTAACGCCTGTCTTTGCTGCTTCTGTTGCTCGAGCTCCTCCTGCTGCCTCTGCGTCTGCTGCTCCTGCTGCTTGTACTTCACCAAAGCATGTCGCCTCTGCTGCTCGCGAAGGCGCTGCTTCCGTCTCTGCAGAACCGCCAAGCGACGCAGCTCTGATGACAGAGGGAGTGGAGAAGGTGAGGGCGGGATAGCAAGAAAATGAAAGGAAAAAAAGGTGTGCCTGCTGCTGCTGCTGCTGCTGCTGAGGCTGCTGCCTCTGTGTTTGCAGCTCCTCCTGCTTGCACTTCTGCCGCCTCTGCTGCTCACGAAGGCGCTGCTTCCGTCTCTGCATAACCGCCAAGCGATGAAGCTCTGATGGCAGAGGAAGCAGAAAGGAGGATGCGGGCAGGAGAGGGAGGAAATGCAAGGGGTGGACGGGTTGACGCATGTGAGCGAGGTGGGAAGAGTGGGTGTGGGTACGACCAATAGAACCTGCTGAAGTGGTAACCAGATGAAGTGGTAACCAGAGGAAGTGGTAACCAGATGAAGTGGTAACCAGAGGAGAGGTCTCACCTGGCTCGCTCATGCTCTGTTCGGCTGCCTGTCTGCAACCACACACCGAAACCGGCTGCCTACCCCTGTCCAACGCTCCTTCCATTGGCCACCTCCACTCACGCACCCCTGCTGCTGCCATAGCAACGGCACTCGACTTAGGGTACAGGTCCCTGACAGGCCGCACCATGCCATCAGTGGTTGCCAACACACCCTGCTTCTCAACAGTCCCCGGCAGAGCACCCTCTGTCACATCTCGTCGCTCCTCCTGACTCATCTGCTGTTGCTCCCCTGCTGCACTTGTATGCATCTCACGCCCATCCTCTGTCGCCCGCCCACTGTGCCTCTTGCCCCCACCACAGACTAGAACCTTGGAGTCCCCTATGTTGGCCACTGTCACGTGCAGCAGCTCCCACTCGGTTTCATGTTCTTGGACAGCTGTGCATGCATCAGGAGAGCATAAGTGCTGGCGGCGGCGGCGGGTGTGTTTGTCGTTGTGAGTATGGCGTGTGCTGCAGCAGGGGTGGCAGCAAGGAGGCGAGGGCAGCCGGCGGTGGAAGAGAAGCAGGGCGACAGCAGCCGTGGAGCCCGACCACCAGCGGTGCTTACGAGCTTCCTGTGCGAATTCCTTATCCACGTCCTCTAGTGCGCCTGCTAACACGCCTTCCAACACCAGCTTTCTCACCCTCTCCTGCTCCTCCCACTCCCTCTCGGTCTCCTCACCCTCCTCCTCCCCATACTCTGCTCTCTCCTCTGCTGTCCCTTCCCCACCCACACATCCATCCCTCCCACCATCACTGTCACCATCCCTCCCACCATCACTGTCACCATCCCTCCCACCATCACTGTCACCATCCCTCCCACCATCACTGTCACCATCCCTCCCACCATCACTGTCACCATCCCTCCCACCATCACTGTCACCATCCCTCCCACCATCACTGTCACCATCCCTCCCACCATCACTGTCACCATCCCTCCCACCATCACTGTCACCATCCCTCCCACCATCCCCCCCACCATCCCCCCCACCACCACACCCATTCCTCCCATCCCCATCCCTGCCATCCGCCGCCTGCACGGCCTTGCAGTCATAGTGCTGCTGCTTTCCACTGAGAGCAGGCAGGGCGGCGAGTCTGGCGCGCAGGGAGGGGAGGAGACGCGAGGCAGCAAGCTGGCTTGCCTCCCCTCCTCCATGCCCGTCCAGCACCCCCACCGCCTGCACCGCCCACTGGCGGGTGTGGCCATCTGGATGGGGGGGAGAGAGAATTTTGGAGGACAGTGGATGTTTATCGGGTGAAGAGAGGCGGCGAGCTGGCTGGCCTCGCCTCCTCCATGCCCGTCCAGCACCCCCACTGCCTGGACTGACCACTGGCGGGTGCGGCCACCTGGAGTAAGGGTTGTTGGGAGGATTTTAAGACGTTTGTGGGAGGTTTGGTGCGGTGTGGCTGGCATCGCCTCCTCCGTGCCAGTCAAGCACCCCCACTGCCTGCACCGCCCTCTGGCAGGTGTGTGTGAGAGATGTTTTGGAGGATAGTGGATTGTTAACGGGTGGTGTGGTGTGGTGTGGTGTGGTATGGTGTGGTGTGCTCTGGTGTGGTTGGTCTCCCCTCCTCCATGCCCATCCAGCACCCCCACCGCCTGCACCACCAACCACTGGCAGGTGTGGTGGCCACCTGCATTTACCATGATGGATGCTGCATATTAGCATGATGAATGCTGCACGTTACCATGATGAATGTTGTATGTTAGCATGATGGGTGCTGCATGTGTGCATGTTAGCATGAAGCCAAGCATTTAAATGGCTCGCACTGTTACTCTGGTGGGTCTGTCACGTTCTCCAAACGAATTAATGTCAAGAAACAGGTCCACAATGCAAAATTGTGCCTTGAGTGGCAATATCAAAAGGCTGCAAAAGGATTCTGAATGTGTAGCCTGAGTGGCAATATCGAGGGGCTGGAGCAGGAATCTGAACGTGTACCTTTAGTGACAATTTCGAAAGCTGGAACGGTGATAAGAGCCGAGCAGAGAACTCTATCTTCCTGGAACTGCCGTCGTCCTTTCACCACAGACACGCCACATGGCAGGCCGTGATTGGATACAGCGATAGCCTGAGGAACTAAAACCGAACCCGCGATCAAGACGAGCAGTGTTACTAGAACGACGGGTACCATTATTGCGAAACCGAGCATCGCAAAAAGCGAATTCGCCAAAGCTCGTCAACGCACGTCGCTCGTGGTGCAAGCTAAACACGAGAAGAGCCATTCAAACGCGCCGCGCTTCACAAACGAGCCACGTGTATGACCTACTAACTGGAAAGTGGAAAGACTAAACTTCTAACAGCGGCTTTGATGGCCATGTATGATTTGCCTAGAGGTAACCTCCATCACTGGCTTCACGCCTTGGGGATTTGCGGCTGGGAGAATGGCTACTTCCGCCGAACGCTACCCGAAGTTCCCGAGGCTAGGTTGGGGCCTGATCACTTTTGTCAATCCGGCCTGTTTCCCTGGGGAGACTCCTGGTCCTGAGTTCGAATCCTCAGATGTTATATTTCCAGGCAACTTTTACTTTCCAATTCCTCGCCTTTTACAGAAGTTCCAGTTTGGATTCGACTCTTCGTTATCACGGTGTTACGGTGTTGTCACTCTTGTTATTGACGAGTACAGACTGAAATTTTAGGTGTCGAGGTAGGGCTATTTTACAGGAAAACGACCGCCACTCACGGCGGAAGTTTCATCCACGTTTCATTCAAACTTAGTCCTGGATCTAGTTAGTATCATATTAGACCTCAATCCGCTTTGAGCTTCCAGTGTCGGGTCAAATGTTGAACTCGTATACTTACGTACAAGAACACGCCCTCCTACCAGCTCCGCAATCGATGATTTCCACACTTCGAATTCTCAACCTACAGACTACCTCCGTAGTTATTTTTAGTTACCTACGTCTCTTCAATTCTGTGAATGACCCACCTCGGAACATCCCATAGCACTCACAGATTTGGATACCGATACTATCCGTCGAACTCATGTCGTAAAAATATTTCCATAAAGGTTATATTCTTTACTCATCCTACCGCTAACCTTGTGTTGATCGCTATCAGCAGTTGGCAGTTTTTGGCAAGTTAATGCTTCTCATTGGCTGGTGGCTCTTGGCAAGTTGATCATTTTCATCGACCAGCGGCTATCGGCCAGCCAGAACAATGGTTCTTCTACGAGCGAGTCTCAATGGCGTGTGCGTTAATCCCACTCACACCTTCGCGGCGCGGCGTCCTTGCGAACCCGACCACACTCACCAGACATCCGCAGTTCAGCAAGAGCAACGCATCACAGGCGGTCCAATCAGCTCCTGCCGAAATTCCCTAGGATACAAAAGCAGATGGCTTCGTCAGACGTCCTTCAGTCGACCAATCGTTTCCTCTCCGAGTCTAGGAACGCGGGAGCTAGGGTATTCTCGAGGAGGAAGATCAACGAACGGATTGAAGCTCCGAGCGAGCCTGCACGCAGACGCTACGCCTGGGAAATTCCCTCAGGATCGACAGGTGCTCCCATGTGAGTGATTAGGAGGGTTCCTGTATTAAACGCAGATGCCACGTGTGAGAAATTCCCTCAGGATCCGCAGGAGAGTCTATGTGAGTGCATGTTAGCCTCCACTTGCTGCCACGTCAGCTCGCATTCATCCGTTCACCCTGGCTCAAATTTTCTCATTTAACACGTCTTCTCCTCACTCTCCTCCCTTCGTTGACCAAGCAGCTGACGAGAGCGGGTCGGACGATGGCAGCAGGCACGGGCAGGGCGGGTGGCAGCAGGCGAAGCTCAAGTGGAAGCCGCCACAGACAGTCTGGCGGGCGTTTGCCACCCTCATCATGGCGGGACAGGTGGGGCGTTCAGAGGATAGCAGACACGAGAGGGGATTTAGTTGACTGTAGGCGCCTCAGATGTCAGTAACAGTGGAAGACTTTTGAGGCGCCTCAAAAGTCGTCTCTCTACCCGCAATTTTTGAGGCGCCTCAAAAGTCGTCTCTCTACCTGCAATTTTTGAGGCGCCTCAAAAGTCGTCTCTCTACTCGCAATTTTCTAGGTGCCTCAAAGAGGGGATTTAGTTGACTGCAGATGTCAGTAACAGTGGAAGCCGCCGCACAACAGTCTGGCGGGCGTTTGCGACCCTCGTCATGGCGGGACAGGTGGGATGCAGTGCAGGAGAGGTGGCCTTTATTGAAATCACTTTTGAGAATTCTCAAAAGTGATTTCAATATTGCAGGAGAGGTGGTTTTTATTTAGCTTGGCGTCCTTCATAGTGATAATAGATTCACCCGCGAATGCATGATGGATTGGCCACTACCCTTGAGATCAAATCAATTGATATGCTTCACGAGCCAATCGCAAATCTTCTTCTACCCTCTCTCTCGCATCCAATCGTGTGCTGCCAGGTGTCCATGCGTGTGCTGACGGGGCGTGTCCACTGGCGCAATCTGCTGACTCAGCTTCAGATCGTGGGGCCAGGATCGCTCGGAGTCTCCCTGCTGACCGCATGCTTCGTTGGCATGGCGTTCACCATCCAGGTGGGAGGTTCACCATCCAGGTGGGAGGTTCACCATCGAGGTGGGAGGTTCACCACCATCGAGGTGGGAGGTTCACCATCGAGGTGGGAGGTTCACCGACGAGGTGGGAGGTTCACCGACGAGGTGGGAGGTTCACCATCGAGGTGGGAGGTTCACCGACGAGGTGGGAGGTTCACCGACGAGGTGGGAGGTTCACCATCGAGGTGGGAGGTTCACCATCGAGGTGGGAGGTTCACCATCGAGGTGGGAGGTTCACCATCGAGGTGGGAGGTTCACCATCGAGGTGGGAGGTTCACCATCGAGGTGGGAGGTTCACCATCGAGGTGGGAGGTTCACCATCGAGGTGGGAGGCTCACCATCCAGGTGGGAGGCTCACCATCGAGGTGGGAGGTTCACCATCGAGGTGGGAGGTTCACCATCGAGGTGGGAGGTTCACCATCGAGGTGGGAGGTTCACCATCGAGGTGGGAGGTTCACCATCGAGGTGGGAGGTTCACCATCGAGGTGGGAGGTTCACCATCGAGGTGGGAGGTTCACCATCGAGGTGGGAGGTTCACCATCGAGGTGGGAGGTTCACCATCCAGGTGGGAGGCTCACCATCCAGGTGGGAGGCTCACCATCCAGGTGGGAGGCTCACCATCCAGGTGGGAGGTTCACAATCGACTTTTTATGTTCAATGCTCATGTGTAGTCTTCTTTCACTCTCCGGGTGTTCCTTCTAAACTATGCATGAATATGCCCTTTACCAGGCGTGAAATTTGCCGTTCAAGTTTGCCCTTCACTCACACCACTTCACCTTCGGAGATGCTCAGCTCATCCGTCCCGTAGTCCCTCGTAGTCCCCTCGCATATCCCATCCGCCCATTTCAATCCCCTCATATCCCCTCCTGCCCCTATATATCCCTTCCCATCCCGTCCCACCAATTCGGGTGAGAGTTTGCCCGGCTGGGCCTCACTCGTTTCTTGGAGAGCAGGCATGCGTGTCGGCGAACATGTGATCAGACGCTTCAAAACGAATCTCCTGTCATGTTTCTCCTTGTTATCCCTGGTTGCTATCTCATCTCACCACTTTGTTCGGGAGTTTGCCTGGCTGGGCCTCACTCGCTCCGTGGGGGGAGTGCTGGCGCTGGCGCTGTGCAGGGAGCTCTCCCCCGTTGTCACCGCCATCATCATCCCAACCCATCAGTGTAGGCACCTTGATTTTCCTCCCCTCCTATCTTCTCCCATCCTCTTCCATCCCCTTCCATCCCGACCCGTTTCCTCCCATGCGCTCCCATCCCCTTGCCACATCCCCAGTTCGTGAGGGAGTTTGCCCGGCTGGGTCTCACTCGCTCAGTGGGGGGAGTGTTGGCGATGGCACTGTGCCGAGAGCTCTCCCCCGTCGTCACCGCCATCATCATGGCTGGCCGCGTGGGCAGCTCTTTTGCTGCTGAACTAGGAACCATGCAGGTGCGTCTGTGGCCAGTCATGCGGGTGAGTTTAGGCACATACCATCACCATCACCATCACCATCACCATCACCATCACCATCACCATCACCATCACCATCACCATCACCAGCACCATGATCTCTCCCTGTCGTCACCGCTATCATCATGGCCGGCCGTGTTGGGAGTTCTTTCGATGCTTAGCTAGGCGCCATGCAGGTGAGACTGGTTGCAGCAGACGTGCAGCTTTCGTCACCATCACCACCCCAATTACCAGCACCATCAGCTCTCCCCCCTGTCGTCACTGCCATCATCATGCCTGGCCGCGTTGGTAGCTCCTTTGCTGCTAAGCTCGGCGCCATGCAGGTGGGGCTGTGAGCAATCATGCTGGTGGAGTTTAGGCACATGTCTTCACGTTTACCAACACCAGCACTGTCACCGCTGTAGGCACATATCTTTACGTTTACCAGCAGCAGCACCATCACCCCTGTAGGCACATATCACATCATCCCTGCCATTCTGCATCCTCCCTTCAATTCCCTCCCTGCTGGTACCAGGGCAAACAGACACCCTGCGAGTGCTCAAGACCGATCCAGTGGACTGTCTGATCGAGGGCTCAAGACCGATCCAGTGGACTATCTGATCACTCCACACGTGGTGGCGTGTGCGCTGGCCCTGCCCGTGCTGACGCTGCTGTGCTTCACGGTGGGAATGGCCTCCTCTGTGTTCCGCTGCTTGTTTCCTCCCCACCCCCATGCAACCCACACACACAGGTGTTTGAGCAAACAGATACTCTCCGAGTGCTCAAGACCGATCCTGTTGACTACCTCGTGACTCCCCGTGTGGTGGCGTGTGCGCTGGCCCTGCCTGTGCTGACGCCGCCGTGCTTCACGGTGGGCATGGCCTCCTCTGTGTTCCTCTTCCTCCCCTTCCCCCGTGGCCCCCGTGCAACCCACACACACAGGTGTCAGAACAAACAGATACTCTCCGAGTGCTCAAGACCGATCCAGTGGACTACTTAGTGACCCCCAGAGTGGTGGCGTGTGCGCTGGCCCTCCCAGTGCTGACGCTGCTGTGCTTCACGGTGGGCATGGCCTCCTCTGTGTTCCTGGCGGACGCCGTCTACAACGTCAGCTCCAACATCATCCTCGACTCCGCTGCCAGGGCGCTGCAGGTACGCCGCAGGTGTGCAGAGCGGTGGTGAGTGGTTTGAAGGTTTGACTTGTTGCAGTAATGCGTTGAGTTAATGCCGTCTACAACGTCAGCTCCAACATCATCCTCGACTCCGCTGCCAGGGCGCTGCAGGTGTGTGTAGTGCGTTGGTGTGGAGCGATGGTGTGGGTTGGTGTGGAGCGGTGGTGTGGGGTGGTGTGGAGGGTGTGATGGTGTATCGTGCTGCAGTAAGGGGGTGATGTACTGCGTCTACAGTGTCGAACCCACCATCATCATCCCGCTCCCCCCATCACTCCCCAGGCGTGGGACGGGGGCATGCTGAGCATGATGGTGAAGGCAGTGGTGTTTGGGGGCATTAGCTTTCCCCATACCCACCTCTCAACCTCATAGCCGCACTCTCCCTCACACACACAACCACTCCCTCCCCCCACCCACCAGGCGTGGGACGTGCTGAGCATGATGGTGAAGGCGGTGGTGTTCTGGGGCATAATTTTCCTTCACCCGTTCGGGGGCATGATGGTGTTCGGCAGTGGTGTCCTCACCCATTCCCACCCATATCCTTCACTCACCCTCATCTCATCCTTCTCCCTCAGTCCGCCATCCCTCCCCCTCTCACTCCCCCAGGCGTGGGACGTGCTGAGCATGATGGTGAAGGCGGTGGTGTTTGGGGGCATCATAGCTGACGGATGTGAGCTGCGGGTGGGGCGAGGCCTCCTCTCTCAACTTTTGAGGCGCCTCAAAAGTCGTCTCTCTACCCGCAAATTTTGAGGCGCCTCAAAAGTCGTCTCTGTACCCACAATTTTTGAGGCGCCTCAAAAGGGAATTGTAGCGGATGTGAGCTGCGGGTGGGGCGTGGCCTCCTCTCTCAACCCTTTTTCCATCTCCCTCTCCCCTCTCACCCTCCCCCCTCTCCCCCATCCCCTCTTGCAGGCGTGGGACGTGCTGAGCATGGTGGTGAATGCGGTGGTGTGAAGGGGCGAAAGCTCCTTCATTTCCCCTAATATCCCCCACCCCTCCCTCCCCTCCCTCCCCTCCCTTCATTTCACCCTCCCCTCTCCCCCTCCCCTTTCTGCACAGGCGTGGGACGTGCTGAGCATGATGGTGAAGGCGGTGGTGTTTGGGGGCATCATAGCGGACGTGAGCTGCGGGTGGGGCATGACCACGCAGGGCGGTGCCAAGGGCGTAGGCGAGTCCACCACGGCAGCAGTGGTCATTTCTCTCGTGCTTGTCTTCATTGCTGATTTCGCCCTCTCCTGGTGCTTCTTCCAAGGCCCGGGGGACGCTCTGAAAGCAGCCATGGGGTAGGGGGCAGGGGGGAGGGAGAGGGGAGGGGGAGAGGGGAAGGGGAAAGGGGGGAGGGACAGCAGGGAAGGCGGAAAGTGCCAGGGAGAGGCAAGAGCAGGGGAGTCGAGTAAGTGAGCTGCAGGTGGGCCATGACCACGCAGGGCGGCGCCAAGGGCGGGCGAGTCCACCACAGCAGCAGTGGTTATCTCGTTGGTTCTAGTCTTTATCGCCAACTGCAGTGGTCCACCACAGCAGCAGTGGTTATCTCATTGGTTCTAGTCCTTATCGCCGACTTTGCCCTCTCCTGGTGCTTCTTCCAGGGGCCTGGGGACGCCCTGAAAGCGGCTTTGGGGTAGGGGAGAGAAGGAGAGGGATTGTGGGGAGGGAGAAGGAGAGAGGGAGCGTTTTGAGACGTCTCAAAACACTTCTTCAGAGAGAGGGAGCAGCAAGTGAGTCGATGGCAGCAGCAGCAGCAGCAGCAGCAGCAGCAGCAGCAGCAGCAGCAGCAGCAGCAGCAGCAGCAGCAGCAGCAGCAGCAGCAGCAGCAGCAGCAGCAGCAGCAGCAGCAGCAGCAGCAGCAGCAGCAGCAGCAGCAGCAGCAGCAGCAGCAGCAGCAGCAGCAGCAGCAGCAGCAAGAGAGCCAGGGGGGGAGAGGGAGGAGAAACAGGTGGGCGTGGGCGAGTCCACCACGGCTGCTGTCATAATCTCCCTCGTGCTTGTCTTCGTTGTTGATTTTGCCCTCCCCTGGTGGTTCTTCCAGGGCCAGCGGGAAGCAGGCTCAAGGCAGCCATGGGGTAGAGGAGAGGAGGAAAGGGTTTAGGGGGGAAGAGGGGGAAGAGAGGTAGCATGGGGACAGGAAGCCCAAACGACTTGATCCCTTCGGAGTTCCTGGCTCCGAAACCTGTTTGAACACATCTTGAAAATATGGTTGGTCGCAAAGATTTTTATGCCCCAGTGTCAGCTCCTTCAAGTGATCATAGAGGATGCCTAGCCCACTTCGTGAATGGCCTACGCTTCATCTGTCATTCGTGCTCTCTTAGTCATTCCTTCCAGCGATGCAGTCTCTCAACCAAAACCTCACGAGGCTGACTCGTACTTCCAGTGCTTTCGCCTTGCCTCCTCGCCCTCGCCTGTTTGTCAGTGTCTGCAAACAAACACGTTCTTCTCCGCTTTTCCAGCCCCTGGCGTCTTTGCTTGCCCCTTTCCATGTCAGGATCAACAGCAGGAATCGTGTGGACTACGAGAAAGTTGGGTACAAATATGAACCCTAGGTCGGGTTGTACCCCATATGAGCTACCCCACTACAGCCTACACAACATTAACATTTGACACACCCCCATAGGCAAAGTGGGGGAGAACAAGAGGTCACAAGACCAGTCAAGAAAAAGCAAAGCAAGCTCAGGGTGGATCACGAAGTCACCACACATTCCGAGCACAAGCAAATGGCCACAAGGCCAGTTCACATGCAGAGTAATATAAAACAAAGCAAGCAGTATAGTGAGCTGAACACAACCTAGCAAATATAAACATGCAAGGGTATGTATATAGATCACAGTACAAGCAAGGTCAAGCAAGTGAGAGAACGTAGGCACGAGGCCTGGAGCAGTACAGTGACGCTGATGATCACTATGTGGAAGTGCCTTGGTGAATATATCAGCTGTGTTGGCCCGCGTGTCCACGTAAGCAAGACGAAGCTGGCCACGCTGCTGCAGCTCTCGAGCAAGAAAGTAACGCAGAGCGATATGCTTCGTTCTGTGCTCCAGTCTGTGCTCTTGACACAAGGCAAGAGCTGCCTTGTTGTCGCCGTACAGAACTGGAGGAGAATGAGGCCGCTCTCCCAAGTCAGTCAGCAGGTAGGTGAGCCAGCGTAACTCCTGTGCAGCCATGGCTGTGGCATAGATCTCAGCCTCACAACTGGAGCTGAGAACAGAAGACGAGCGAGTAGACCGCCAAGAGACAGAGTCAGAAGGTGTAACCCTGTGACGACCGCTGTGTAGCCAGGTCGTCAACCTAAGAGGCGTCTGAGTGTCCAGTGAGGACAACTGGACCCCGTCCTCCAAGCACCAGCCCCATGCCTGATGTACTGCACAAGTAGCGCAGCACCCTCTTAGCAGCCTCCCAGTGCTCTCGCCGGTGTCTCCCAGGCGCAACGTAGCGTGCCAGGATGCTAAGAGGGTACGCAAGGTCAGGTCGAGTGCAGGTCATCAGGTACATGAGACAGCCCACAAGCTCTGGGTACGGGCCACTCGGCTCTACGGACTCGTCCGAAGGTGGAGCTGAGAGCGAGTGACTGGTAGACAGAGGAGTGGACTGTGGTGAGGAGAACTGGAAGCCGAAGCGCTGAAGGACCTGCTGCACCATGTGTGACTGAGTCAGGGTGATGGTGCGACGTGCTCTGTCCCGGGTGATCTGCAAGCCAAGGTAGCTACGCAGTTCACCCAGATCAGTGCAGGTGTGTCTCTTCTGCAGCTCCGACTTCACAAGGGCGAGTGCCTCAGTGTCAGCAGTGGCGAAGACCAAGTCGTCGACGTACACGAGGATGTAGAACGGCGGCAGGGAAGTGTCGGTGCGCAGGAACAGCGACGGGTCAGCAGTGGAGGGAGCAAACCCAAGAGCCGCAAGTGTCATCCTCAGTGTGTCGTGCCACTCACGAGGCACCTGGCGGAGACCGTAGACTGGCCGCCGGAGGCTCCACTGGGTACCAGGAGGGAACGACCCAGTGAAGCCAGGTGGGCGGCGCAGCCAGATCTCCTCGTGCAGACTGCCCTGTAAGAACGCTGTGCTGAAGTCAAGAGAGTGAAGCTCGTAATCACGCTGAGCGGCAACGTGCAGCAACACCCGAAGAGTGGTCATCTTTGGGGTGGGGGAGGATGTCAGGAAGAAGTCAACTCCCTATCGCTGACTGAAGCCTCGAGCAACGTAACGAGCCTTGAAAACAGGCGGAGAACCCGGCGGCCGCTTCACCTTGAAAATCCACATGTCATCGACTATGTTCGCCCCAGGAGGGGGAACCTCGTCGACATAGGTGCCTGTGGACTTCCAGGATGCCATCTCTGTGTCCATGGCTGTCTGCCACTGAGAGGAGTAGGGACCCAAAATCGCCTCTGTGTAAGAGCGCGGGGTCGGGATGTCCAGTGCATCCGGGTCTCCCTCAGGTGCAAGCAGCCAGGCCACGAGATGAGGTACAGCAGCCGCAAGAGACTCAAAGTCCTCCTGCCTGTCCTCAAAGACGTCCGTGCTAAGAGCACACTCACCCCCGACAGACGGAGGACAGACAAACTCAGAATCAGCGACAAGTCTGGCAGCGTAGTCGAGATGACAGACAGCAGCAAAGTCGACAAGCTCAGCAACTAAGGCAGACGCAGCAGCAGACTCGAACGACGGGTCAGTGACAACAGTAGCCAGAAGACGCGTGACGGTGGGGCTAGCAGCACGAACAGCGTCAGACTCAGGGTCAGGAAGCTCAGGAAGAGAGGACGCAGGAGGAGACGGCAGCGGGACGCGCTGTGGAGCAGAGGAGGGACGAAGTGCCATAGTGTGAGTGCCTGGCACAGGAGGAGGACGCGGACGCGGGACACGACGAGCGGTGCGAACAGCGCGAACAGGGGAGGCAGGACGCGACGCAGGCTCACGACGCTCTGTTAGGGAGATGGGCTCCTCAGTGTAACGAGGGGGGGCAGGCAGCGGTGAGTCTGGAGGAAGGGCATTCGACGAAGGAAGTCTAAGAACGTGACGGAGCACTGACTCAGGCGGTAGGTCGGACAGCTGCGGTGGGGGTAAGAAAAACGGGCGCTGTTGTACAGTGCCCTCGGCACCAGCGCCTCCAGCGCCATTGTCGCCAGCACCAGCAGCTCTAGCTCCAGCGCCTCCAGCTCCAGCGTAACCAGCCCCAGCACCTCGAACGGCAGGGCCTCCAGCTCCAGTGCCTCCAGTACCAGCACCGACAGCTCCAGGGCCTTCAGCTCCAGTAGCTCCAGCTCCAGGGCCTCCAGTGCCAGCACCTCCAGCTCCGGTGCCTCCAGCTCCAGCACCTCCAGCGTCAGGACCTCCAGCTCCAGCGCCTCCAGCGCCAGTGCCTCCAGCTCCAGTGCCTCCAGCTCCAGCACCTCCAGCTCCAGTGCCTCCAGCTCCAGCGCCTCTAGCGTCAGTACCTTCAGCTTTAGCACCTCCAGCTCCAGTGCCTCCAGCAGCGCGACTCCGAAGGCGGGTGCGCCGGGCAAGCCACTCACGCGCTGCTGTGGTAAGAGGGGCTCACGCTGCTGCACAGTGCCTCCAGCTCCAGCGCCTCCAGTGCCAGCACCTCCAGCTCCAATAGCTCCAGCGTCAGTGCCTCCAGCTCCAGCGCCTCCAGTGTCAGAACCTCCAGCTCCAGCACCTCCAGTGCCAGCACCTCCAGCTCTAGCGCCTCCAGCTCCAGCGCCTCCAGCTCCAGCATATCCAACGCTAGTGCGACTCCGAAGGCGGGTGCGCCGGGCTCGCCACTCGCGCAGTTGCTGTGGAGAGAGGGTCTCACGCTGGGGAGACCGCTGCGGCGAGGCTCTCGGAAGACCACCAGCAAAAGTAGCACCACCCGGCTCAGCACCTCCAGAATCAGCACCCCCACGCTCAGCACCCCTAAGCTCAGTACGCTTAGGCGCAGCACCCCCAGGCTCAGCACCCCTAGGCTCAGCACCCCCAGGCTCCGCACGCTCAGGCGTACCACCCCCAGGCTCCGCACGCTCAAGCTCAGCACCCCCAGGCTCCGCACCCCCAGACGTAGCACCTCGAGCAAGACCACTCCCAGCAGCACCTGAGTCACCAGTGACCTCGACAGGCTCAGCCAAGGGAAGTGGGTCTACCTGAGAGACACCTGAAGGAGCAGGGCCCGAAGGAGGGAGGGGGTCTACCGGAGGGGGACCTGGAGCGAGGAAGAGCGGCGGAGGGGGGAGAGGGGCAGAGCGATAGGGGAAGAGACGGTAGAAGTGAATCGTCTCGTCAAACGAGGTAGGACACGGCGCGAGGTGGGGTGGTAAAACTGCCAGCCAGGCGCGTCAGGAGGGAAGCCAAGGAAGACACAGGGAATGGTGCGGGAGGAGAGCTTGTCCGCGGAGGTATCGCGGACAAAGGCACGAGAGCCCCAGACCCGGAACACCGACGCATCGCCAACCTCCCCCGTCCAAAGCAGGGTATGCGAGGTCTCCGACAAGGAGACATAAGGCCAGAGGTTGAGCTGATGCGCAGCGTACCGGACCGCAAACGGCCACAGAAAATGGGGAGCAGCCGCATGGATCATGGAGGTACGAGCGACATCCATGACTAAGCCAATGCGGCGCTCTGCAATCCCATTCTGCTGCGGGGAGGCCAGAAGCGTGAACGACTGAATGATGCCCTCCCCACGACAAAAGTCCTGAGAGTAAGAGGTCGGAGGAGAACTCACCACCTCTGTCTGGAACCGCTCGCGGAGCTGGAGACGAACAGCGCGGATCCAAGGGATCAAAACAGCAGGGACCTCACCCTTGCTGTGCAAGGGGAAGACCGTGGTGTAACGCGAGTAGTCGTCAACAACCAGCAGAAAGTATCGCTCGCAGCCTTGTCCAGTGACGCGGGCTGGGCCCCACACGTCCATGTGGAGAGTCTGCAGGGGAGCAGTCGTCGGGGGAAACGAGGAGGAGTGAGGAGCGTGTGGGAAGTAAGAGTTAGGATAGAAGTGATGATTTGATTGAGAATGATGGGGGTATACATAGTAGGGGGGTTGGATACTAGCCTAGGTGGACATTATTGGACCCCAACCAAGAAGTTGGGTTGGGAGATTATTGGTGGGGTCCAATAATGTTGGCCAAGTTGGGGTTGGGCCAACATTATTGGAGGGGACCAATAATTCTACCCAACCCAACCTTTGGGGTCCAATAATTGGACCAAGGTTGGGTTCCAACCTACAAACTGGGTTACTCCTGTTTGTACACCCAAACTAAGTTTGGGTGCTTAACTCTAGCCTATCCTATAGCATATATGCAGGTTACAAGAGGAGAGAGATTCTAACACAACCCCTTAACCTGCAGAGATGTGGAAAGGCTTGAGGGAAGCAACCCCTGAATCAAGGCGCGCCTGGGGGAGCGAGGCCGATGAGGCGGAGAAGAGCAGAGTGCGCAGGGCGAAGAAGGGCTTTGGTAAAGATATTAGCTAAGTTGGCTTCGGCAGCGATCTTGCGAACGGCAATGAGGCCCTGTTGGACGAGTTCACGGATGAAGAAGTAGCGGAGCTCGATGTGCTTGGAGCGACCGTAAAAGACGGGGTCCTGGGTGAGATGGATGGTGCTGGCGTTGTCACACCAGAGCGTGGGACAGCGCTGGGGGGCACCAAGCTCGGCTGGAAGAAGGAAGCAGAGCCAGCGGGACTCTTGCGCGGCCATGGTGCCAGCGTAGAGCTAAGCTTCGCAGGAGGAGAGGGCGATGGCAGAGGAGCGAGTGGAACGCCAGCTGATAAGCCCGCTGCCGAGTGTGAAGCCATAGCCTTGGGAAGAGCGGCGGTCGGGCTGGGAGTTTGCCCAGGTTGAGTCGCTGAAGCCAGAGAGAAGGGGAGGGGAGGATCCGCCCAATGTGAGGGCATGATCCTTGGTGCCGCGGAGATAGCGGAGGACTCGCTTGGCGGCAGCCCAGTGTTTCTCAGTGTGGCGGCCGGAGTCGACGAACCGAGCAAGGACGCTGACAGGGTAGGCGAGGTCGGGACGAGTGCACATCATCGCGTACATCAGCGACCCAACAAGCTCGGCGTAGGGTCGGGAGGAGGTGGAGGGGGAGGTGGGTGGCGCAAGCTGGTGACCGAATGGGAGGGGGGTGGAGACCGGTTTGGCCTGCGCCATCTCGAACTTCTCCAGGACCTGGCCGATGTAGTGGGACTGGGAGAGGGTGATGGTGCGGGCGGATCGATCACGGGTGATAGCCATGCCGAGGTAGTTCTGCAGCGGACCAAGGTCCTTGCACTTGAGTCGGTCCTGAAGTGACCGCTTCACCTGATCCATGTAGACCGAGATGAAGAAGCGATGGGGGGAAGAGCGGATGAAGAGGCTGGCATCGGAGTGGGAGGCAGAAAAGCCAAGGGACTGGAGAGTAGCAGACAGCTTCGCATGCCATTCTCGCGGAGCTTGCTTTAGACCGTAAACCGGTCGTCGAAGTTGCCAGACGGTGTTGTCGGGGAAAGCAGCATGAAACCGGGGAGGCCGGCGGAGGAAAATACGCTCGTGCAGTTCGCCTTGCAGGAACGCGTTGGAGACGTCCATGGAGTCAATCTCCATGTCGTCACTTGCACCGATATCGAGAAGGGTGCGTAGGGTGGCCTGCTTGACGGTGGGGGCAAATGTGAACCAGTAGTCCTCAGCCCAGGTCTGGGTGAACCCCTTGGCCACGTAGCGGGCCTTGTAGGTAGACTGGTTCTTCTCCCGGCAGCTGCTTGACTCGAAAGATCCACTTGCCCTCGACAAGGTTGCCCTCGAGAGGGAGGGGAACGTCGACGAAGGAGTCGTTGCGGATGAATGCTTCACATTCCTGGAAGATGGCGGCTATCCACTTATCGGCGTCAGGGCAGGTGATAGCTTCCTGGAAGGTGGAGGGGACGAAGATGGTGGGAGCGGAGATCGCGCTAAGGATTAGAGCGCCGAGGAATCCAGGGTAGAGTGGGGTGAGAGAGGGAGTGTGGTGCTGGACCATGGTAAACTCCTCATGGGAATCCTCTAGCTGGTTGAGGGAGGGAGATGGCGGTGTGCCAAGGATGGGGTCAAGGGAGCGGGTGTGCATGCGAGGGAGGAGGAAGGGTGAGGGGCGGGCAGTTGCCCTCTGCCGCTGCTGCTGCTGGTGCTGCTGGAGCCCTTGCTGCTGCTGCTGCGGCTGCTGCTCCTCCCAGTGCTGCCGTCCCTGCTGCTGCCCCTGCTGCTGCTGCTGCTGCTGCTGCTGTTGCTGGTGCTGCTGCTGCTGCTGCAGCTGCTGCTGCTGCTGCTGCTGCCGCCGCTGCTGCTGCTGCTGCTGCTACTGCTGCTGCTGCTGCTGCTGCTGCTGCTGCTGCTGCTGCTGCTGCTGCTGCTGCTGCTGCTGCTGCTGCTGCTGCTGCGGCGGCGGCGGCGGCTGCTGCTGCGGCTGTTGCTGCTGCTGCTGCTGGGATGGAGGAGAAGGAGAGGGGGAAGGGGAGGAGGAAGGGGGGGCCGCGGAGTGTGCAGGGGATGCAGGGGCAGTGGGATCGTAGATGTCCGCAAATGAAGGAGGCGGAAGCGGAGTAGGGAGAGGTGGGAGAAGGGGTGCAGGTGGGAGGAGGGGAGGGAGGACAGTGTCGGTCCAGGCAAGAGGACGTGTAGGAGGAGGAAGGGGGTCGGTTGGTGGAGAGGAGTAATACGGGGTAGTTTCGTCAAAGACGACGTCAATGCTGTGGATAAGGTGACCAGAAGGAGGGTGGAGGAAGAGGTAGCCAGGTGAGTCGCGGTTGTGTCCGAGGTAGACACACTCGAGGGCGCGAGAAGCGAGCTTGCCGTGGATTGGCCAGCTCCAGATCATTCATGGTGACGCCCTCACCTTTGACCCATTGCCTTTATTGAAAGGCGAAGGCGGTAGGATTGTCGCCAACCTTCCCTACACCATCGCAACATCGCTGCTTACCCAATGGTTAACCATCGAACCATGGCCGCCATGGTTTGATAAGATGGTAGTCATGTTTCAACGTGAGGTCGCCGAGCGCATTGTTGCAAGCGCTAATGAGAAAGCCTATGGTCGTCTCGGGGTGCTTCCGAATCGCGTCTTACCAATGTAGCAAGATTGTTGCTTGAGGGGTTAGAGGAAGACGCTGTTGAATTTCGTCCTACCTATGATGGAAGTGCTAAAGAACCTTCTGTTCTGCCCGGCGGTTTTCCTCACCTCTTAGCTAATGGCGCACAAGGCATTGCGGTGGGTATGGCAACGTCAATTCCGCCACACAACGCCGCTGAATTATGTGACGCCGCCTTATTTCTCATCGACAATCCTTTAACCAAGACCCCTAGATTGTTGCGTTATGTAAAGGGGCCAGACTTTCCAACTGGCGATGTCATTGTTGATTCACAAGAATCTATTGCTGAGACTTATACGAGCGGCCGTGGTACTTTTCGAGTTCGTGCACATTGGCATCGAGAAGAAGCGGCACATGGAATGTGATCAGGTGGAGGGATAAGTAAGCACATATGCCTTGCAACCCCAGACACGGAGACCAGCCGCGTCAGGTTTGGTGCCCGACCAGAGTTCCGTGGGGGTGGTGGCAGTGTGTAGAGGATGGGAGTGAAGGTTGAGGAGGAGGGCAGCATGGAGCAGAGCATATCCCCAGAGGGAAGGAGGGGTGGAGGCGTGAGCGAGGAGACAGCGGGCGATCTTAGTGATTTCGCGAATGCGGCTTTCTGCGACGCCGTTTTGCTGCGGGGAGTGGGGAAGGGTGTGAGTCTGTTGGATGCCATGGGTGGTGCAGTAGTGGGAGAGCGTGCGGTTGAGGAATTCGCCTCCCCCATCAGAGTGTAGGCGGCCGATGGGGCGCTTGAAGTGGGCGCGGCATTGTTCTGCCCAGTTGATGATCATGGTTGGTGCCTGGTCTTTTGTGTGGAGGAGGAAAACGGAGGAGTAGCGGCTGTGATCGTCAACAAGAACCAGCATGTAGCGATGGCCTTGGCGGGAGCGGGTGGGGGAGGGTCCCCAGAGGTCCATATGGACAAGGTCAATTGGTGCAGGAGCAAAGGATGGGTGGCTGTGGTGAGGAGATTGTTTGAGTTTGCCGTGGATGCAGGAGGGGCACGGGGGGGCTGGGGAGGAGGGAAGGGGAGGAAGGGTGGGAGGGAGGCTGTGAAGGAGTCGTGAGGTGATGGCAGTGCGGAGAGCGGTGAAATTGGGATGACCAAGTCGGTGATGTAGGAGAACAGCGGGGTGGGAGAGATGGTCGGAGGCGGAGGGGACTAGAGTGAGCGAGGGGGGAATGGAGGAGTGGGGAGATGGCAGAGTGGGAGAGGAAAAAGGGGGATGGGGAGGGCTAGTGGAGGTACCAGCACGAGTGGTGACATGGCAGAAAGATGGCCAAGGGGTGCGGAGAGTGTAGAGGCGAGTGCGGGGGCAGAGGGGTATGCGGAGGAGGAAGCGGCCGGAGGCAGTGTGGTAAAGGTCACAGTAGGTGGCATTACCTGGATAAACGGCAGTGATACCTGAACGTTGGAGTTCACGATGGGAGAGGAGGTTGTTTCAAAGGGTGGGGATGTGGAGACCAGTTACCTTACCAGAAGGGAAGAGTGTGCAGGGGAGAGTGGGGAGGTGTGTGCATGGGATGGTAAAGCTGCTATCAACGCCGTGAACCTGAGTGGGAGGAGAGAGGGGTGTGAGTGCACCAGCATCCTTGAGAGCGGTCTCCGTGGCCCCACTATCGAGGACGAAGTCCAGGGTGGGTGAGGAGGAGGATGAAGAGACTGAGTACTGGAAAGTGGTTTCATTAATGTTGGATGGGTACATGGAAGGAAGAGAGGGTGAGATAGCAATGTTGCCAAGAAAGCTTTCCTGGGTGAGGGGGGTGGCAGTGCCACTGGGGGGTGGAGTACCCCAAAGGGGGGCTGGGGAGGCCTGAGCGGCTATGGCTGCTGTGCCAAAGTTCAGCTGCTGCTGCTGTGAGGGAGAAGGGCTGGGTCCCCACTGGGGCTGGAGTCCAGGTCCCCATGGTTGCTGCTGCGGCTGCGGCTGTCGTTGCTGCTGTGGCGGCTGCTGCTGCTGCTGCTGCTGCTGCAGGAGATGCTGCTGCTGGAGATTGAGGAACGGCATGGGGGGAGCAAGGAGGCGGAGGTGGGCAGGGAGGTAAGCGGGGTTGGTTTGAATGTCGGCAAGGGAGGGACGTGGGGTGATTGTACCCCATCAGGGAGGAGTGCCAACGTTACCCCGCGCGTACCAGGCATCATCGAGAGCCTTGAAGCAAGTGCGAGGGGGATGGTTGGTCTGCCCGCAGGGTGTTCCAGCCCGGGGACCATAGCGGCGGACATAGGTGCAGGGCGGAAGAGTGCCAGGACGGCTCCGCCCGGGTTGGTGGTGCCGTGCTCATCCCCAGTGGCGCCGCCACGGCTGCTTGCGCTGCTGCTCCCTTGACCGCCACTTCCCTTGCCCCCACCTCCCCCTTTGCCGTTGTTCTTATTTTGCTTGCGAGGCTGGGTAGCGTTGAGAGAGGAAGAGGAGGGTTGGGAGGAGGCGAGGTTGACAATGGGGGTGCGAAGTTTGACTTCGGTATCTATGATCCACTGTTCATCGGAGGCGAGATCGGCCATGGGATCGGCTTCGGTAAAGGCGTGAAGGCGGAATTCATAGTCTGGGGTGAGGTTAAACAGGAGGCGATGGATTTGGAGGGGTTCGGAGAGGCCGGCTTGGCGGGCTTCAAGGCGATCAGCTACCTCTCTCATGCGTCCGACATAGTCGACCGCCCCGTCACAGGTAGCGAGGGTGATAGAAAAGTATTCTTGAAAGAGGATGACAACCGGACTGATAGATGTCGCGGCGCTCAAACATGGCATGGAGTTCTGCCCAGATGACCGAGGCACAGAGTTCCCGAGCCTGGAAGCGGCGCATGAGGGAGTCAGGGAGAGCTCCAAGGAGAACGGTGCAGGCACGGGTGTCAGCAGCTGTCCAGGCGATAAGTTTTGGGGTGAAGGTAGCCATGTCTTCTTTGTATTTAGCGACGACGGCGAGGTGAGCATCGCGACCAGCAACCGCCTGGGCATAGGCGTCAGCTGCTGCATCGTATTCGGCTTTGCGGATAAGATATGCACGGCGACGCATAATGAAGTCTGCATCTGCGGTAGCTTGGTCAGCGGTGAGCTGGAGGTCAGGTTCGAGAGGAGGATCGCCAGGAGAGGGAGGGAGAGGGGGGGTCTCGCCGGGGTGGTCCGGTTCGGTGGGGGGGAGGGCATGGGGACGGCGGAGGATGACGTCAAGGACGCGGTAGGGGGAACCCACGCGTCGGAGAGAACTCGTCGGACGCTGCCGACGAATGAGTGCCAGTTGACGGCGGATTTGTCCGCGGCAAGCTGCAGCTTATCAATGGAGGAAGTATCAATAGGAGGAGGGAGGGAGGAGGGGGAGGGTATGGCGTTGGCCATGAGGGACGGCTGCGGGTGGACCCGCAGTGGTCACGGAAGGGCGCGAGGAGAGGTGGCGACAAGGCCGGGGAGGGGAGCGGCGCGGGCGGTAGCGGCTGGCGCGGCCGCCGTGATGCAAGCGCGGAAGCGGCAGCAGGGCCGCGGAAGGGAGCAGCGCGGGCGGCGACGGCTATCGAGGCCGCGGCGGCACAGGCGCGGAGGCGGCGACGGGGCCGCGGAGGGGAGTGACGCGGGCGGCGGCGGCTGGTGATGCCGCGGCAAGGCGGGCGCGGAGGCGGCGTTGAGGCCGCAGAGGCGAGGCCGCGGCGAAGCGGGCGCGGAGGCGGCGTTGAGGCCGCGGAGGGGAGCGGCGCGGGCGGCGGCGGCTGGTGAGGCCGCGGCGAAGCGGGCGCGGAGGCGGCATCGAGGCCGCGGAGGGGAGCGGCGCTGGCGACGGCGGCTGGCGAGGCCGCGGTGAAGCGGGCGCGGAGGCGGCGACGAAGCCGCGGAAAGGAGCGGCGTGGGCGGCGGAGGCTGGCGAGGCCACGGCGGCGCAGGCGCGGAGGCGGCGACGGGGCCGCAGAGGGGAGCGGCGCAGGCGACGGCGGCTGGCGAGGCCGCGGCGAACGCAGGCGCGGAGGCGGCGACGAGGCCGCGGAAGGGAGTGGCGCGGGCGGCGGCGGCTGGCGAGGCCGCGGCGAAGCGGGCGCGGAGGCGGCAACGAAGCTGCGGAAAGGAGCGGTGTGGGCGGCGGCGGCTGGCGAGGCCGCGGCGGCCCAGGCACGGAGGCGGAGACGGGGCCGCAGAGGGGAGCGGCGCAGGCGACGGCGGCTGGCGAGGCCGCGGCGAACGCAGGCGCGGAGGCGGCGACGAGGCCGCGGAGGGGAGTGGCGCGGGCGGCGGCGGCTGGCGAGGCCGCGGCGAAGCGGGCGCGGAGGCGGCTACGGGGCCGCAGAGGGGAGCGGCGCAGGCGACGGCGGCTGGCGAGGCCGCGGCGAACGCAGGCGCGGAGGCGGCGACGAGGCCGCGGAGGGGAGGGGGGGGGAATGCGCGGGCGACGGCTGCTGGCAGCCGCGGCGATGGCGGGCGCTAAGGCGGCCGTAAAGCTGCGGAAGGGAGAGAGCGCTGAGGAGGGGGGGAGGCGGCGGGGTAGCCGGAAAAAAATTATGAGGGGAGAAGGCCGGGGGTTGCGGCGGCCGGGTGGGCCTTTGAAACGAGAGGAGTAGGCCTAGGATAGATAGCTCTATACCATGTGGGAAAAAAGAGTTAGGATAGAAGTTGATGATTTGATTGAGAATGATGGGGATATACCGTAGTTGGCGTCAACGGGAAGCAATGGAAAATGGAAAGCAAGAGAATGAAGTTGTTGTTTTCATATGGTTAACATCAGTCCAGAATATTACTTTGGGGAATATCAGTGCCATTGTTTTCCCAATTGCAGTACGGCAAGAATGTGTCGGAATGGAACAATGTCACTTATGGTGGCGTCAGTTATCCCCATGTTATTCTCTTTTTTTAACATAAGAACGTATTATCGCAAATTATTTTAGTATTGCGAGAATGGTGGGCGGCCACGAATCGCACCATATCGCCCTCCACCGCCGTCGCTCAACCAAACCTCTCTCTCCATTCCGCACCGCCCACCCACTCCCTACCTTCCTCACGTCTTGACCGCGGTCCAGCAATAACCGCACCTCATCCCTCCCCAACGTACTGAACCGCAGGCGACTGAAAACTGACCCAGCTAACTTGACGGTCAAGAGCACCGCAGCGCGGCAGTCAAGAGCCGACTCTCCCCATGGCGCTCGTTCCGCCTGCGGTACAGTATCACGTCAGCGCGGTTATCGCATGAGCGCTTGCCGGAACGGGGGGGAAGCGTTTCAGGCGCATCGTACGATCTTGTAGAGTGTACAGTCGATGCGGCACCTAATCTTGTTGAATCTGCTCGGCCCATTTGAAACTTATCCCTCATGCATTCGAAGACGGACAACGGCCCCTCATCTACGGTGGCATCAGTGGATCGTGGCCGTCGATCGAACTGCTTATCACGCTGTTAACCGTCCCCTCGTCAGATATTCTGAACACTGTACATGGTAATTCGTCAACCCCTCCCCTTGCGCGTTACAGTCCCATTTTTTTCCCGTGGCGAACTCCATGTGCGCAGTCTCGTCCGTTTGATAAGGCGAAGTTGGCGTTCCTCTAATGGGCATCGACTGTATAACCGCGGGGCAGCCGCGGGGCCTTTCACCCAAATGGCCTCCTCAAGGGTTAGGAGGGGAGGGGAGGGGGGGGGACCTTGCTTACCCCGCAGGGCCGCAGCAAGTGCTCTGTTGGGGGTTAGGTGACTAGAACAAGTGGCTCATTTACACAATCACGAGACAGAAGTTTGGGATTTATACAAGTATTCAGACTCGACCTCCAAACACTTCCTCTCACTGTCATTGTCACTGTGAGTCCACCTTTCAGTCACCATCAACACCTGCTAGCACCCGCTAGTAGCAGCTGACGACTCCAATGGCGGCGACTTTGACTGATGTCTACTTTTCGAGCCTGGTTTTGCATAGCGAACTTCCCGTGCTCGTCTTATTCTGCGCTTCGTGGTGCGGCCCTTCCCGGACGGCCGTTAACAACGTTGACAATCTGGCGTCTTCATACCAAGGAAAAGTCGCCTTCTATAAGCTGGACATCGACGAAAGTCCCGACACGGCCAGGCGACAGGACGTCCGGAGCGTCCCGCTTGTGAAGATTTACCAGGGGGGAGTTGCGTCAAAGACGCTCACTAACGTTGTGATGAAATCGGTGCTGGTACAGGCCCTCGATGGTGTCAAGTACCGTATAACCCCGGATATAAGCGCACCTGCGCTTATAATAAAACATGATTTTTTAGGGGGGTGCGCTTATAATTGAGTAACAAATATAAGCGCATGCGCTTATAAAATAACAAATATACATTTGTAAACTACTAGCACGAAAATGTAGTTCCCGTCATTGCGCACCCAATCGAGTCGATTTGAAACAGGGTTGTGGGTGAAAAACTCTCGCTACTTGGCAGGGAAAGATTCCCTGCCAGCACATACAGTCAAAATGAGTCACTAGGAGCTGCTGACAGCACTTGCTGACTGGACGCGCAGCCTGTGAAGGGTTTGAATGCGAAGGAAATCTGATTTTCAACTCATCACCTTCTAAAATGAACTTCGTTACAGAAATTTGACAGTTTTTCAATTTAAAACTAACATGCGCTTATAATAAATCATGTTTTTTAAGGGGGTGCGCTTATAATTGAGGATCGGCCATAAGCGCATTGCTCCAGATAGAAGCGCATGCGCTTTTAATAGGCCTGCGCTTATATCCGGGGTGATACGGTAGTGATGAAAGCTTTCTGATGAAAGCCCTCGTGCCTGTCAAGTTTGCTCTGAAGTTTAGTTGAGACCATGGTATGACATTATACTAAGTTGTTACTCGTACCTGAGGCCGAGGTTCTGATAAAGGTGATGAAGAAAGACGTCAGAGCAAGTTGCTGAATAATGGCTTTCACCGTTTGGAAGTTATGAAAGTGTATTCATAGAGTATGCGTTAGAGCAGTGTACCAAGTGTGTGTTAATGGGTGCATCTAACAATCAATAGTAGTTCATTTCTGCCAGGCAAACCAAGAGAAGCATAACGTACTGGACCTGGTACTCTGAGTAACAGTAACAGACCACAAAATCAGGTCTAGAATATCCTAAAACCGAACAAGCCTAGAAAGAACAGTTGTGATCGCAAAGCAGCAAACCATGTTGGTATGAAACCACAAGGCTGGCTCCGACATCGCTTCCTGGATGGAAGGAAGCCCTGACGGACGACCAACATCAACCTTATACGGTGGGTATGCTTATGTGTATCCAGCTTGGCCCCTCTGCAGCAGCAGCGGCCAATGAGTGCTGGACCCAAGGAAAGGACAAAAAAAACTGTATGAAAGAGTTTCGGAACCATTACAACCAACATGTGTCCCTCTGGTAGATGAGATCAGCTTGTTCTCTCTGCAATAGCAGCGGCCACCGAGGGGCCAGAGCTGGCAACTGCTTGCTCCAGCCGAGCCACCTGGATGGGGCAAAAAAGGAAGGCCATATCGTGGTTGGATGCCGAGACCAGCAAAAACGAAGAAGGGAACGAGCGAAAAACCTCGGGATTGATGCTGGGTCAGAGGTGTCAGCCAATGAGAGGTGCATGAACGGAACAAACTTCACAGGGCCACGTGTCACACAGGCACCTGACACAGGCACCTGACACAGGCACCTGACACACAGCACAGACATACAGCCACATGCCACACAGGCCACGCCACACAGGCACATGCCACACAGGCACATATCTCACCTTGGCCCACCTCCTCCTCGTGCGTCCGCTTCATCTGCAGAAAGGAGTTGAGGTGGAGTCGAATCTAACGGTCACATCCACATGTGTCCTCAGCCAAACACCCAGAATCCACCCGCATGCCACAGGGCCACCACGCCTCACCTTGGCCATGAGCTGGGCCACCTCCTCCTCGTGCTGCCGCTTCATCTGCAGGAACCTCATCAGTGCCGCCTCCATCCATGCCTTCTCCGCTGCCAGCTGCATGGGAGGGAGTCAACGGGAGTCAACATGAGTCAACATGAGACAATATGGGTCAACGTGAGCCACCTCCTCCTCGTGCTGCTGCTTCATCTGCAGGAACCTCATCAGTGCCGCCTCCATCCATGCCTTCTCCGTTGCCAGCTGTGTGGTGGTCAATGGGAGTCAATGGGAAGTCAATGTGAGTCAGCGGAAGTCAATGTGAGTCACTATAGGTCAATGCGATTCACCATAAGTCAATATGAGTCAGCACAAGTCCACACGGGCAACAAAAGCCGGCAAGGATAAACCACAAGCAAAACAGCAAGGGCAACAGAAAAGAAGGCAGGCTAACAGCAAATCTTAATCCCTTGATCCTCACCTCCTGCACGCTCGCCTGATGCATCATCAGCAACCGCCATCTCCTCCTCCTTTCCACCCTGGCACAAGAACCCTCACCTGCTGCACTCTCACCTGCTGCACCACAAGGTTCTTCTGTTGCTCCTCTGCCAGCTGCCGCTGGAGCTCCATGTAGTCCTGATGGGAGGGAACGGAGGGTTGAGAGAGGCTGAGAGCGGTGGAGAGGAGCCAGAAAGGGGAAGGTTCTTCTGCTGCTCCTCTGCCAGCTGCCACTGGAGCTCCATGTAGTATTGATGGGGGAAATGGCAGGCGTGGAGAGATGGAGAGCGGTGGATAAGGATAAGACAGAAACAAAGGCAGAAGGGAGGGGAATTCATTTGTTGCTCGGTTGAGAACCCTGAACACATTTTTTTCCCACAGGCCACAGAAGAACTACGAGAGTGAGACAGGAGAGGGAGAGGGTGGCAGATGGGGAGGGGTGGCAGATGGGGAGGGGTGGCAGATGGGGAGGGGAGGCAGACGGAAAGAATTGGAGAGCAGGTTGGAGGGAGGGAAAGGTACTATCCCACCCACTCACCCGCCTAATCCCTTCCAGCCATGCCGTGTCCACCACGAATCGCTGTCGCCGCTGCACCCTGCCTCCGCTCCATCGCAGCCCCAACCCCAGGCTCCACCCCCCACCGCCCCCACCGTCGCTCCTCTCTGTCACTGCACTGCCCGTCCCCGTGCTGCTGGTGGGGATGCTGGGAGTGAAGAATGAGCAGAGAAAAGGAATGGCCACGGTGCACAGCGGTTGGGGGGAAATCCAATAGGCGAATCGTCAAAAAAACATTCTACAAACATGCTACGAACAAGGGGCAAACAATCAAGGCGCTGGGCAACCGGACAATAAGAAGCAGGGAGAGCGAACCGGCAATACACATACAGGGAAGTGTTTTGAGCCGTCTCAAAACTCAATAAGAATCAAGGAGAGGGAGCCTGTGATACACGTACAGGGAAGTGTTTTGAGCTGTCTTGAAATCTAATCAGAAACAGGGAGAGGGAGCTTGCAGCACACGTATAGGGAAGTGTGCGGCCCTCCATGGTACGCCATCATGCCTCCTGTCACGTGATAATTAATTGTTCTGGTGAGGCAGGAGGCAGCAGCATGGCTCCTGCCACATGTCTCAAAAAACAATTTCTTTTTCACCAGCAGCACACGTACAGGGAAGTGTGCGGCCCTCCAGGGTACGCCATCATGCCCCCAGCCTCTGCCATTCCTGAGAAATCGCCACCACCACCAGCACTGATACCTGGCAGCGCAGCGAAATCTGCAGCACCAGCAGCAGAACCAGTAACACCGCCGGCACCAGAACTAGCAGCACCAGCACCACCCCTGCCAGCAGCGGCGGTAGCAGCAGCGAGAGCTGCGGCTCTAGCTCGTTGCGCCAGTGCCTCTATCTCGCTGCTGCTGCTGACGAAGGTGGTTAGGGAGGAGGAGAGCGAAGAGGGGAGGGATGAGCGGTGAGAGGAGGTGTGAGAGGAGGGGAGAGAGGAGGGAGGGAGCACGGGAGTGTGGGGAGGAGCGAGTGTGGAAGGGGTAGAGATGGAGTCTGGTTCGGTGGGGGCAGCTGTAGCAGAGGAGGTGATGGTGGCGAGGGGCGAGCGGACAGATGAGGTTGGGGGGAGGCTGGCAGACCTGCGATTAGGTAGAGGGACAAAGGGGAGAGAGAGGAAATATGAGATAAGAAGGTAAACGGAGTGTGGTGGATGGCTGAGAGATGGAGTCTGGTTCGGTGGGGGCAGCTGTAGCAGAGGAGGTGATGGTGGCGAGGGGCGAGCGGACAGATGAGGTTGGGGGGAGGCTGGCAGACCTGCGATTAGGTAGAGGGACAAAGGGGAGAGAGAGGAAATATGAGATAAGAAGGTAAACGGAGTGTGGTGGATGGCTGAGAGATGGAGTCTGGTTCGGTGGGGGCAGCTGTAGCAGAGGAGGTGATGGTGGCGAGGGGCGAGCGGACAGATGAGGTTGGGGGGAGGCTGGCAGACCTGCGATTAGGTAGAGGGACAAAGGGGAGAGAGAGGAAATATGAGATAAGAAGGTAAACGGAGTGTGGTGGATGGCTGAGAGATGGAGTCTGGTTCGGTGGGGGCAGCTGTAGCAGAGGAGGTGATGGTGGCGAGGGGCGAGCGGACAGATGAGGTTGGGGGGAGGCTGGCAGACCTGCGATTAGGTAGAGGGACAAAGGGGAGAGAGAGGAAATATGAGATAAGAAGGTAAACGGAGTGTGGTGGATGGCTGAGAGATGGAGTCTGGTTCGGTGGGGGCAGCTGTAGCAGAGGAGGTGATGGTGGCGAGGGGCGAGCGGACAGATGAGGTTGGGGGGAGGCTGGCAGACCTGCGATTAGGTAGAGGGACAAAGGGGAGAGAGAGGAAATATGAGATAAGAAGGTAAACGGAGTGTGGTGGATGGCTGAGAGATGGAGTCTGGTTCGGTGGGGGCAGCTGTAGCAGAGGAGGTGATGGTGGCGAGGGGCGAGCGGACAGATGAGGTTGGGGGGAGGCTGGCAGACCTGCGATTAGGTAGAGGGACAAAGGGGAGAGAGAGGAAATATGAGATAAGAAGGTAAACGGAGTGTGGTGGATGGCTGAGAGATGGAGTCTGGTTCGGTGGGGGCAGCTGTAGCAGAGGAGGTGATGGTGGCGAGGGGCGAGCGGACAGATGAGGTTGGGGGGAGGCTGGCAGACCTGCGATTAGGTAGAGGGACAAAGGGGAGAGAGAGGAAATATGAGATAAGAAGGTAAACGGAGTGTGGTGGATGGCTGAGAGATGGAGTCTGGTTCGGTGGGGGCAGCTGTAGCAGAGGAGGTGATGGTGGCGAGGGGCGAGCGGACAGATGAGGTTGGGGGGAGGCTGGCAGACCTGCGATTAGGTAGAGGGACAAAGGGGAGAGAGAGGAAATATGAGATAAGAAGGTAAACGGAGTGTGGTGGATGGCTGAGAGATGGAGTCTGGTTCGGTGGGGGCAGCTGTAGCAGAGGAGGTGATGGTGGCGAGGGGCGAGCGGACAGATGAGGTTGGGGGGAGGCTGGCAGACCTGCGATTAGGTAGAGGGACAAAGGGGAGAGAGAGGAAATATGAGATAAGAAGGTAAACGGAGTGTGGTGGATGGCTGAGAGATGGAGTCTGGTTCGGTGGGGGCAGCTGTAGCAGAGGAGGTGATGGTGGCGAGGGGCGAGCGGACAGATGAGGTTGGGGGGAGGCTGGCAGACCTGCGATTAGGTAGAGGGACAAAGGGGAGAGAGAGGAAATATGAGATAAGAAGGTAAACGGAGTGTGGTGGATGGCTGAGAGATGGAGTCTGGTTCGGTGGGGGCAGCTGTAGCAGAGGAGGTGATGGTGGCGAGGGGCGAGCGGACAGATGAGGTTGGGGGGAGGCTGGCAGACCTGCGATTAGGTAGAGGGACAAAGGGGAGAGAGAGGAAATATGAGATAAGAAGGTAAACGGAGTGTGGTGGATGGCTGAGAGATGGAGTCTGGTTCGGTGGGGGCAGCTGTAGCAGAGGAGGTGATGGTGGCGAGGGGCGAGCGGACAGATGAGGTTGGGGGGAGGCTGGCAGACCTGCGATTAGGTAGAGGGACAAAGGGGAGAGAGAGGAAATATGAGATAAGAAGGTAAACGGAGTGTGGTGGATGGCTGAGAGATGGAGTCTGGTTCGGTGGGGGCAGCTGTAGCAGAGGAGGTGATGGTGGCGAGGGGCGAGCGGACAGATGAGGTTGGGGGGAGGCTGGCAGACCTGCGATTAGGTAGAGGGACAAAGGGGAGAGAGAGGAAATATGAGATAAGAAGGTAAACGGAGTGTGGTGGATGGCTGAGAGATGGAGTCTGGTTCGGTGGGGGCAGCTGTAGCAGAGGAGGTGATGGTGGCGAGGGGCGAGCGGACAGATGAGGTTGGGGGGAGGCTGGCAGACCTGCGATTAGGTAGAGGGACAAAGGGGAGAGAGAGGAAATATGAGATAAGAAGGTAAACGGAGTGTGGTGGATGGCTGAGAGATGGAGTCTGGTTCGGTGGGGGCAGCTGTAGCAGAGGAGGTGATGGTGGCGAGGGGCGAGCGGACAGATGAGGTTGGGGGGAGGCTGGCAGACCTGCGATTAGGTAGAGGGACAAAGGGGAGAGAGAGGAAATATGAGATAAGAAGGTAAACGGAGTGTGGTGGATGGCTGAGAGATGGAGTCTGGTTCGGTGGGGGCAGCTGTAGCAGAGGAGGTGATGGTGGCGAGGGGCGAGCGGACAGATGAGGTTGGGGGGAGGCTGGCAGACCTGCGATTAGGTAGAGGGACAAAGGGGAGAGAGAGGAAATATGAGATAAGAAGGTAAACGGAGTGTGGTGGATGGCTGAGAGATGGAGTCTGGTTCGGTGGGGGCAGCTGTAGCAGAGGAGGTGATGGTGGCGAGGGGCGAGCGGACAGATGAGGTTGGGGGGAGGCTGGCAGACCTGCGATTAGGTAGAGGGACAAAGGGGAGAGAGAGGAAATATGAGATAAGAAGGTAAACGGAGTGTGGTGGATGGCTGAGAGATGGAGTCTGGTTCGGTGGGGGCAGCTGTAGCAGAGGAGGTGATGGTGGCGAGGGGCGAGCGGACAGATGAGGTTGGGGGGAGGCTGGCAGACCTGCGATTAGGTAGAGGGACAAAGGGGAGAGAGAGGAAATATGAGATAAGAAGGTAAACGGAGTGTGGTGGATGGCTGAGAGATGGAGTCTGGTTCGGTGGGGGCAGCTGTAGCAGAGGAGGTGATGGTGGCGAGGGGCGAGCGGACAGATGAGGTTGGGGGGAGGCTGGCAGACCTGCGATTAGGTAGAGGGACAAAGGGGAGAGAGAGGAAATATGAGATAAGAAGGTAAACGGAGTGTGGTGGATGGCTGAGAGATGGAGTCTGGTTCGGTGGGGGCAGCTGTAGCAGAGGAGGTGATGGTGGCGAGGGGCGAGCGGACAGATGAGGTTGGGGGGAGGCTGGCAGACCTGCGATTAGGTAGAGGGACAAAGGGGAGAGAGAGGAAATATGAGATAAGAAGGTAAACGGAGTGTGGTGGATGGCTGAGAGATGGAGTCTGGTTCGGTGGGGGCAGCTGTAGCAGAGGAGGTGATGGTGGCGAGGGGCGAGCGGACAGATGAGGTTGGGGGGAGGCTGGCAGACCTGCGATTAGGTAGAGGGACAAAGGGGAGAGAGAGGAAATATGAGATAAGAAGGTAAACGGAGTGTGGTGGATGGCTGAGAGATGGAGTCTGGTTCGGTGGGGGCAGCTGTAGCAGAGGAGGTGATGGTGGCGAGGGGCGAGCGGACAGATGAGGTTGGGGGGAGGCTGGCAGACCTGCGATTAGGTAGAGGGACAAAGGGGAGAGAGAGGAAATATGAGATAAGAAGGTAAACGGAGTGTGGTGGATGGCTGAGAGATGGAGTCTGGTTCGGTGGGGGCAGCTGTAGCAGAGGAGGTGATGGTGGCGAGGGGCGAGCGGACAGATGAGGTTGGGGGGAGGCTGGCAGACCTGCGATTAGGTAGAGGGACAAAGGGGAGAGAGAGGAAATATGAGATAAGAAGGTAAACGGAGTGTGGTGGATGGCTGAGAGATGGAGTCTGGTTCGGTGGGGGCAGCTGTAGCAGAGGAGGTGATGGTGGCGAGGGGCGAGCGGACAGATGAGGTTGGGGGGAGGCTGGCAGACCTGCGATTAGGTAGAGGGACAAAGGGGAGAGAGAGGAAATATGAGATAAGAAGGTAAACGGAGTGTGGTGGATGGCTGAGAGATGGAGTCTGGTTCGGTGGGGGCAGCTGTAGCAGAGGAGGTGATGGTGGCGAGGGGCGAGCGGACAGATGAGGTTGGGGGGAGGCTGGCAGACCTGCGATTAGGTAGAGGGACAAAGGGGAGAGAGAGGAAATATGAGATAAGAAGGTAAACGGAGTGTGGTGGATGGCTGAGAGATGGAGTCTGGTTCGGTGGGGGCAGCTGTAGCAGAGGAGGTGATGGTGGCGAGGGGCGAGCGGACAGATGAGGTTGGGGGGAGGCTGGCAGACCTGCGATTAGGTAGAGGGACAAAGGGGAGAGAGAGGAAATATGAGATAAGAAGGTAAACGGAGTGTGGTGGATGGCTGAGAGATGGAGTCTGGTTCGGTGGGGGCAGCTGTAGCAGAGGAGGTGATGGTGGCGAGGGGCGAGCGGACAGATGAGGTTGGGGGGAGGCTGGCAGACCTGCGATTAGGTAGAGGGACAAAGGGGAGAGAGAGGAAATATGAGATAAGAAGGTAAACGGAGTGTGGTGGATGGCTGAGAGATGGAGTCTGGTTCGGTGGGGGCAGCTGTAGCAGAGGAGGTGATGGTGGCGAGGGGCGAGCGGACAGATGAGGTTGGGGGGAGGCTGGCAGACCTGCGATTAGGTAGAGGGACAAAGGGGAGAGAGAGGAAATATGAGATAAGAAGGTAAACGGAGTGTGGTGGATGGCTGAGAGATGGAGTCTGGTTCGGTGGGGGCAGCTGTAGCAGAGGAGGTGATGGTGGCGAGGGGCGAGCGGACAGATGAGGTTGGGGGGAGGCTGGCAGACCTGCGATTAGGTAGAGGGACAAAGGGGAGAGAGAGGAAATATGAGATAAGAAGGTAAACGGAGTGTGGTGGATGGCTGAGAGATGGAGTCTGGTTCGGTGGGGGCAGCTGTAGCAGAGGAGGTGATGGTGGCGAGGGGCGAGCGGACAGATGAGGTTGGGGGGAGGCTGGCAGACCTGCGATTAGGTAGAGGGACAAAGGGGAGAGAGAGGAAATATGAGATAAGAAGGTAAACGGAGTGTGGTGGATGGCTGAGAGATGGAGTCTGGTTCGGTGGGGGCAGCTGTAGCAGAGGAGGTGATGGTGGCGAGGGGCGAGCGGACAGATGAGGTTGGGGGGAGGCTGGCAGACCTGCGATTAGGTAGAGGGACAAAGGGGAGAGAGAGGAAATATGAGATAAGAAGGTAAACGGAGTGTGGTGGATGGCTGAGAGATGGAGTCTGGTTCGGTGGGGGCAGCTGTAGCAGAGGAGGTGATGGTGGCGAGGGGCGAGCGGACAGATGAGGTTGGGGGGAGGCTGGCAGACCTGCGATTAGGTAGAGGGACAAAGGGGAGAGAGAGGAAATATGAGATAAGAAGGTAAACGGAGTGTGGTGGATGGCTGAGAGATGGAGTCTGGTTCGGTGGGGGCAGCTGTAGCAGAGGAGGTGATGGTGGCGAGGGGCGAGCGGACAGATGAGGTTGGGGGGAGGCTGGCAGACCTGCGATTAGGTAGAGGGACAAAGGGGAGAGAGAGGAAATATGAGATAAGAAGGTAAACGGAGTGTGGTGGATGGCTGAGAGATGGAGTCTGGTTCGGTGGGGGCAGCTGTAGCAGAGGAGGTGATGGTGGCGAGGGGCGAGCGGACAGATGAGGTTGGGGGGAGGCTGGCAGACCTGCGATTAGGTAGAGGGACAAAGGGGAGAGAGAGGAAATATGAGATAAGAAGGTAAACGGAGTGTGGTGGATGGCTGAGAGATGGAGTCTGGTTCGGTGGGGGCAGCTGTAGCAGAGGAGGTGATGGTGGCGAGGGGCGAGCGGACAGATGAGGTTGGGGGGAGGCTGGCAGACCTGCGATTAGGTAGAGGGACAAAGGGGAGAGAGAGGAAATATGAGATAAGAAGGTAAACGGAGTGTGGTGGATGGCTGAGAGATGGAGTCTGGTTCGGTGGGGGCAGCTGTAGCAGAGGAGGTGATGGTGGCGAGGGGCGAGCGGACAGATGAGGTTGGGGGGAGGCTGGCAGACCTGCGATTAGGTAGAGGGACAAAGGGGAGAGAGAGGAAATATGAGATAAGAAGGTAAACGGAGTGTGGTGGATGGCTGAGAGATGGAGTCTGGTTCGGTGGGGGCAGCTGTAGCAGAGGAGGTGATGGTGGCGAGGGGCGAGCGGACAGATGAGGTTGGGGGGAGGCTGGCAGACCTGCGATTAGGTAGAGGGACAAAGGGGAGAGAGAGGAAATATGAGATAAGAAGGTAAACGGAGTGTGGTGGATGGCTGAGAGATGGAGTCTGGTTCGGTGGGGGCAGCTGTAGCAGAGGAGGTGATGGTGGCGAGGGGCGAGCGGACAGATGAGGTTGGGGGGAGGCTGGCAGACCTGCGATTAGGTAGAGGGACAAAGGGGAGAGAGAGGAAATATGAGATAAGAAGGTAAACGGAGTGTGGTGGATGGCTGAGAGATGGAGTCTGGTTCGGTGGGGGCAGCTGTAGCAGAGGAGGTGATGGTGGCGAGGGGCGAGCGGACAGATGAGGTTGGGGGGAGGCTGGCAGACCTGCGATTAGGTAGAGGGACAAAGGGGAGAGAGAGGAAATATGAGATAAGAAGGTAAACGGAGTGTGGTGGATGGCTGAGAGATGGAGTCTGGTTCGGTGGGGGCAGCTGTAGCAGAGGAGGTGATGGTGGCGAGGGGCGAGCGGACAGATGAGGTTGGGGGGAGGCTGGCAGACCTGCGATTAGGTAGAGGGACAAAGGGGAGAGAGAGGAAATATGAGATAAGAAGGTAAACGGAGTGTGGTGGATGGCTGAGAGATGGAGTCTGGTTCGGTGGGGGCAGCTGTAGCAGAGGAGGTGATGGTGGCGAGGGGCGAGCGGACAGATGAGGTTGGGGGGAGGCTGGCAGACCTGCGATTAGGTAGAGGGACAAAGGGGAGAGAGAGGAAATATGAGATAAGAAGGTAAACGGAGTGTGGTGGATGGCTGAGAGATGGAGTCTGGTTCGGTGGGGGCAGCTGTAGCAGAGGAGGTGATGGTGGCGAGGGGCGAGCGGACAGATGAGGTTGGGGGGAGGCTGGCAGACCTGCGATTAGGTAGAGGGACAAAGGGGAGAGAGAGGAAATATGAGATAAGAAGGTAAACGGAGTGTGGTGGATGGCTGAGAGATGGAGTCTGGTTCGGTGGGGGCAGCTGTAGCAGAGGAGGTGATGGTGGCGAGGGGCGAGCGGACAGATGAGGTTGGGGGGAGGCTGGCAGACCTGCGATTAGGTAGAGGGACAAAGGGGAGAGAGAGGAAATATGAGATAAGAAGGTAAACGGAGTGTGGTGGATGGCTGAGAGATGGAGTCTGGTTCGGTGGGGGCAGCTGTAGCAGAGGAGGTGATGGTGGCGAGGGGCGAGCGGACAGATGAGGTTGGGGGGAGGCTGGCAGACCTGCGATTAGGTAGAGGGACAAAGGGGAGAGAGAGGAAATATGAGATAAGAAGGTAAACGGAGTGTGGTGGATGGCTGAGAGATGGAGTCTGGTTCGGTGGGGGCAGCTGTAGCAGAGGAGGTGATGGTGGCGAGGGGCGAGCGGACAGATGAGGGTGGGGGAAGGCGAGCAGACCTGCCATTCAGTGGAAGGGGCGAAGCAAAAGGGGGTGGTAAGGGGTGCATTTGCCAGAAATGAATAAAAAAATAAATAAATGAATAAAAAAAACTGAACAGATTTCATGAGATGATAAAGCGAGCATGGGGGGGGGGGGGGGGGGGGGGGGGGTAGGAGACGGCACAGCATGCTGAGGTGCGTTTTGGAATTCTCACACACCGCAATGCCCCCCTCCCCGCTCATTGCATTGCAAAAAGTACCCCCCTCCCCCCTCTCTCCTCCCCCTCCCCTCCCCCCCCCCCACTCCCCCACCCACGTACACTCTGCTCTCAAAGTCCGTCATCAGAGCATCCAGAGCCGACTCCCGAGCAGCCCGCTCCCCCTCCACCCCTGCTGCCAGCCCTTCCAGATGCCCCCTCATTGCTGCCTCCGCTGCTGCCTTCTGCGCCACCACCGCCTGGGGGGAGAGAAGGCGGGGAAAGGGGAGGTTAATGAAGGGGGGGTTGAGACGTCCCTCCGTGCGCCAGCCCTCCAGCTGCCCCCTCATTGCCACCTCCGCTGCTGCCTTCTGCGCCACCACCGCCTGGGGGGAGAGAAGGCGGGGAAAGGGGAGTTTAAGGAAGGGGGGGAGGGATGAGACGTCCCTCCGTGCGCCAGCCCCTCCAGTTGCCCCCTCATGGCTGCCTCCGCTGCTGCCTTGTGCGCCACCACCGCCTGAGGGGAGGGGAAAGGGAGGGGAGGGGCAGATGGGGAAGAAGCAACAGGGGAAAGAGGGGAAATAAACAACCCGCCAGGCGCTCCAGCTGCCCCCCCCATTGCCGCCTCCGGCGCTGCCTTGTGCGCCACCACTGTCTGGAGGGAGGGGAAACGAGACGACAGGGAGGCGGAGGGGGGTTGGAGGGGAAAGCGGGAGAATGGGAGATGAGTGCTGACTTTTGAGTCGACTCAAAAGTCGACTCAAAAGTCTTTTGGGTCGACTAAAAAGTCGGCGGGGGGGGGGGGGGGGTGGAGGGGAAAGCGGGAGAATGGGAGATGAGTGTTGAGGCGCCTCACAACTCGCCGGCCCCTCCAGCCGCCCCTTCGTGGCCGCCTCCAATGCTGCCTTGTGCGCCACCACCGTCTGGGGGGATGGGAAACGAGATGACAGGGAGGCGGGGGGGGCTTGGAGGGGAAAGCGAGAGAATGGGAGATGAGTGTTGAGACGTCCCACAACTCGCTGGCCCCTCCAGCTGCCCCCTCATTGCCGCCTCCGCTGCTGCCTTGTGCGCCACCACCGCCTGGAGCGAAAGGGGAGGCGGGGAGAAGGGGAGGGGGGATGTGTGGTGTGGGGGCGGAGGATGGGCGCTTGAGACGTCTCAAAACACTTTTATTAGCACGGGGTACTGTTCTAGCTCCGCCGGTTGCCATCAGGATCCGCGCGAACGCGCTGACCCTCGCGTTTGAACGAGCGTGAACACACCTGAAACTGCGCGCATTTCGCCTCCATGTCCTGAATGTAACTCTCCAGCTCCGTCAGTTGCGCAGCCGTTAGCACCACCTGCTTGCGCGCGCTCGACCCGCCCGCGTCCTTTCCGCCGCCCTTCTTCCGCCAGTGCAGGCCAGCCATTACAAAGGTGGGCTTGCTCGGATGCGCAGCGCAGCGCGGCTTTGAGACGTCTCAAAATGCGCAGCGCAGCGCGGCGTATAGGCGGTTTGTCGCCTGAGCGGTTGTAGATGGAGATGTAAACGGCTGTAACCGGAATGGAATAAACGGCTGTAGCCTGAGCGGTTGTAGCCGGAGATGTATAAGCGGTTGTGGCCTGCTATGAATGTAAACGGGGGATATAAGGAACTCCTCCGTGCAGCGCGCCTGGAAGAGTAAACGGTTGCAGCTTGAGGCTGATGAAAAGCTGTAGCGTGAGACTTATGAACGGCTGTAGCCTGCTACAACCGTAAACGGGTTTGTCAGGAGCTCCACGTGCAGTGGGCCTGAGTCGTTGTCGCCTAGGCGAATAAACGGCTGTATCCTGCCTCGAGTTTAAGCAGGGGTGTAGGAGCTCGACGTGCAGCTGGCACGAAGCGAAGCGGCCTGAAGCACCCGCAGCTTATGCGAACATTGATCAGCGGCGATGGAGAAATAGCCAAAATATTCACAGACGGTGAAGCATATAACGGAACGACCACCGACTATACTTGTGGACTCTCACATTCTGCTGCTTTTCCCCCTAGCATTTTGAACGAACACTGGGAATCCCAAGGTGCTTCTCGCGTTTCGCACTCGCACGCGCATTCGCACTCGGAATGCCAACCCTGGTTGAGAGAACGAATCCCTGTCAGTCGCACAGCGAATCTGCTTCGCCCTGGTCCCATCCCGTCTCGTCAGCCTCACCGCCACTCTACAGAGTGGTGGGTGCTTAGACGAGGATAAGTTAGCGAAGTGGAACAGTGCAGCTTTCCAAAAATGCTATTTAAAAAAAAAAAACAGCTTTTCCCTATCAATACCACAATGTAAAGACAAGCAGCTAGCAACAAAGAAACCAAATAAAACAGGAAGCAACAAAAAGTTCAGGAAAAACCAAACCCAAGACCTATTCCAAGCTAAACCACAAAACCAGTCTTCCCAACACCTTCAGTACTCTCGTATGTACCATTTCGCCTCCCTGCATATGAGCACACAACAATATGTACACTTCGCGTTATCATTTACCGCACACCATCTCCATCAAGCGCCAACCGATGAAGACTTGCTCATTTTCGGCCACCAATCCAGCAGCGACCCGGGCGCAATGCTCCAATCAGGAGTGAGGAACTCCCCTCCACCCATCTCCCAACCCTCCAACTCCTCCTCTTTCCCCTCCCCTCCCTCCTGCACATCCAACTCCTTCCCCAGATCCCCCAGCTGAGAAGAGGAGAGACTGGCAATGGGCAGCACGCGCACAATACGCAGAATATCCGTAAGGCTCACCACCCCCTGCAAATGCATCTCCACACTTCCCCCTCCTACTCCTACTCCAACCCCTCCCATAGACGACCCAGCTACACCATGTAAGAGGCTAGCAGCAGCGAGTCTCGCTCCCTCTTCCCCTGCCGCTACACCCGGACCTTCCTCCGCTGCAGCCGGTTTGTCCTCTTCTATAGCCGGGAGCACTGTAGCAGCGTGCGCCTTCGGCTTGCCGTTGCCAGAGTGACCCTGGTCTTCTAAGTTGTCCTTGAAGATGCTTGTAGAGGGGATGCGCGGCGAGGGCATGGGCGAGGGCTGCTCCTGCTGGTCCACCACCCACACGCGGTGCACCCTCTCCCTCACCATGCGGTGCAGCACACGCCTCAGGCTCGTGTTGCTGTGAATTCATAGCACAAGAGAGGGAACAGGAAGATGTCAGAGTACTAGTGAGTGATCCACCACCCACACGCGGAGCACCCTCTCCCTCACCATGCGCTGCAGCACACGCCTCAGACTCGTGTTACTGTTAATCCATAGCACAATAGAGGGAAAAAGAGGATGTCAAAGTAATAGTGAGTGGTCCACCACCCACACGCGGAGCATTCGCTCTCTCACCATGCGATGCAGCACCCTCCTGAGGCACGTGTTGCTGTGGGAGAAAGAGAGACAAGACAGTGGAAGGAGGAGGGAGATGAGAAGGATGTGGCACCACACCACCCACACGCGGTGCACCCTCTCCCTCACCATGCGCTGCAGCACACGCCTCAGGCTCGTGTTTCTGCCAATTCATGAGAAAAGGGAGGAAAAGAAGGATTTAAGGTCGAGTGGACTACCACCCACACACAGTGCGCTCTTTCCCTCACCATACGAAGCAGCACACTCCTTAAGACTCTTGCTGCTGTGATAAACTGAAATAAGGTGAACAGAATGCAGCAAGGATGCGGCAAGATCTGACTAGTGAGAGAGAGGAGAGAGAGGAGGGAGAGGAGAGAGAGGAGGGAGCAGCTCACAATAAGAATGATCAGAATGCTGACGCCATGCTCCATGTTATGTTTACCACCTGCTGCGACTCAGGTCCTACCTGGTGCAGGTGACATGTGGCATTCTCACCGGGTGCAGGTGATGAGGTGGCGGTTCTGTGCCGTCCCGACAGCACTCAGGAACTGACCCACGGTCACCTCCCCCAGGTCTTCAAACTCCTCCCCACCCACCCACCTGTAACGGCCACATGTGGCAGTAACACCCGCCACACTCTTACCGGGTGCAGGTGATGAGGTGGCGGTTCTGTGTCGTCCTGACAGCGCTCAGGAACTGACCCACGGTCACCTCCCCCAGGTCTTCAAACTCCTCCTCACCCACCCGCACCGCAGTCTTCTTCGCATGGTGTCCCTTCCTCTCCTTCCCCTTCTTCCCGTGCTTCCCCTTCCCCTCTTCCTTCTTCCCCTCTTTCTTCTCCTCCTTCAACCCCTCGTGCCCCTTCTTCCCCTCCACACCCCCTTCCAGCACGTGAATGCAGCGCACGTCAGAAGCAGAGAGAGTGTCGATCAAGACCTCCTCGCACGCGTGAAAGCCTGCGTGGGGTTCGGACGCATGTGCAGCCACCACAGGCAGCGCGGTGACCTGAGGAGGGAGAGGGACAGATAAACAGAAGCACGTGAATGCGGCGCATGAGAGAGGCGGAGAGAGTGTCGATCAGAACCCCCCCGCACGCGTGGAAGCCGGAACGAGCCTCAAACGCATGTGCCGGCACCACGGGGAGTGCGGTAACCTGATGGGGGGAGGGAAAAGGATGAAGTGGAGTAGAAGCATCACACGTCAGAGGCGGAAAGAGTGTCGATCAGAACCCTCCCCGCACGCGTGAAAACCTGACTGGGGTTTGGACGCATGTGCAGCCACCGCTGGCAGCGCCGTTACCTAAAGGGGGGGGCTGGGAGGAGAGGGCATGGATGAGAACCTCTAACACATGAGGGGAAATTTTCAGCCCCTCTGGAACCTACTTCCCCTCCACCCAACCTTCCAGCACGTGAATGTGTGCATGAGCAAGGTGCCGTGCCATGGTTAGGTTCAAGGGGTTCAGTTCGGTTTTCCCCGAACCGGACCAGTTTCTTTGTTTCCGGTTATATCACGAACCGGTTCGGCGGTTCGTTCGTTTCCTTTTCAACGAGTTCTCAAGCCGCGACGACTGACCTGGGTTGTGCAAATTCAAAAATATAGAACAGAAAATTGCATTGGAGCTTATTTTGACTAACCTTATCGTTTTTTCCATGGTTTTTTTTTTTTTTTTTTTTTTTTTTTTTTTTTTTTGGTTTTTAAATGAGCATCGAACCGCTTACGGTTCGAACCGAACCGCTTATGGTTCGAACCGAACCGGCTCGGTTCGACCAAACCGCTTATGGTTCGAACCGAACAGGCTCGGTTCGACCGAACCTTTCGTTTTTTAAAGCAATTTTGACGAACCACGCACCAGCTCCGGTTCGTGCGGCTCGTAACCAAACCGCCCCGGTTCTGAAGCATTTTTTTTCGAACCGGCCAGGTTCGGCACTGTGCTCATGCCTACGTGAATGCATCGCATGTCCGAGGGGGAGAGAGTGTCAATCAGAACCTCTCCGCTTGCGTGGAAGCCTGAGTGGGGCTCCGATGTATGTGCAGCTACCACAGGCAGAGCACTAACCTGAGGAGGGAGTGGGACAGATAAAGGGCAGCACACAACAGCACATCAGAGGAGGAGAACCTCATGAGACGTCCCAAAAGGTGTCTATGAGGGCCTCATGAGACGTCCCAAAAGGTGCCTCATGAGACGTCCCAAAAGGTGTCTATGACGTCTCGCGTGGAGGCCTGAGTGGGGCAGGGAGACGGATGGAAGGAAAGAGCACATCTATCAAGGCCTTCCAACACGCGTGGAACCCGCATGTGCAGCCACCACCGGCATTGCCGCCGTTACCTGATCGGGGGAGGGAGAAAACAGGGGATGGGGTGAGGCACAGAGAGGAAGCGAGATGACAGACAGAGGAGCCGCAAGCCACCTCCACAGGTACAGAGCGAAACTCACAGAGCAAGGAGGGAATTTCTGGGATTTTTCAAAAATACCCTGCAAGGAGGGACGGGAGGGCTCAAGTTTTTGTTTTTGCTGTCGCTGTTGTTATTGTGGGTTTTCCTAATTGTTTATTTGTTTGTTTGTTTTTGTTTTGTTTTTTGTTTTGTTGTTGTTGTTGTTGTTGTTGTTGTTGTTGTTGTTGTTGTTGTTGTTTTATATATATATATATATATATATATATATATTTGTTCAAATCAATTGTCGCACTGCTGGTAAATGCCTTGAAAAAAGCATGTGAAGCTGCTGAAACAGGCCTGGTGGCACCTGAAGAGATGAAAGGCAAGCAGCAAAGTGTTTTGTGAGTAAAAGCAAAAAATGCCTCAACACACGGGTATCGTTGAGTCAACTAAAGAATGATATCAGTACTAAATGGGTGTGTATTCTCAAGTAAGCTCTGAGACATACCTGGTGGCGCCTGAAAAGACGGAAGGCGTGCAGCAGAGTGTCAGAGGGCGTTATGGTCACCACCAGTGGCCACACCAGTCCCAAATCGTCAACTCTGGGAGCAAAAGATGAGAGTAGGAGGAGCTTTCTGAGTTGAATAAAGGCGCTACATCACGGCCAGCGGCCACACGAGACTTGAGTCGTCCGCCCTGGGAGCAGCAGCGGCGGGGAATGCGAGAGTGTGAGAGACTTGAGTCGTCTGCCCTAGACACGAGCAGGAGCAGGGAATGGGAGGGGATTCGTGCGTCGATTCCGAGTCCCTTATGAAAATTCTCAGAAGCAGCATTTTTTTTCTTGGGTCGATTCAAACGAGAGCACACACACATCGCCCCTCTTCCCCCTAACCTCGTCCCCTCTTCCCCCTAACCTCGTCCCCTCTTCCCCCTAACCTCGTCCCCTCTTCCCCCTAACCTAGTCCCCTATTCCTCCTCGTCCCACTCACTTCTTAGCCAACGCAAGTCCCATCAACCCCTCGCGAGACAGCAGGAACGCAGCGACGTCCATCTGAGAGAGCACGCGGTACTCCTCGCCCATCACGCCACCCTTCCAGTCACCTGAACAAAGAAAGTACCATCCAATTCTCACCTCTTCGCCAGCGCGAGTCCCATCAACCCTTCATGCGACAGCAGGAACGCAGCGACGTCCATCTGGGACAGCACGCGGTACTCCTCCCCCACCACGCCCCCCGTCACCTCGCTGTGCACCGCCAGGGGCATCGGGGGCGCCGGCGCCACCGCCAATCCTGCTCCCTCCTCCCCCTCCCCCTCCTCCCCCTTCTCCTCCTTCTCTGCGCGCCTCTCCGCCAGGGTGGCGGGCTTGGGGGGAGGTTCGGTGAGAGGGAGCAGCTCGTTTTCGCCCGGGCAGATGTTGGGCACGAGGCCGCGGTGGAAACCGCCCGCGCCTAGCAGCAGCATCGCCTGCCACACACTGGGCGCCGCAAGGGGGGGGGGGGGGGGGGGTGGGGATTGATTGGGGGGTAGATGGGGGGAGTAGGGAGGAGGGGAAGAGGAGGGAGTTTTTGAAAGTCGCCCCAGAAAGTCGCCCCAGAAAGTCGTCCCAGAAGCAAGGCCTCCGCAGCCCACCTGTCTGCTACTGCCGGGGGGACGAGCGGGGCGAGGGGGAGAGGGGGGACGAGCGGGGCGAGGGGGACGAGGGGGAACGAGCGGGGCGAGGGGGTAGATGTGGAGAGTGTGAGGATAGAGGGGAGAGGGATAAGGTGCGCAAGAAAAAAAAAGAAAAGAAAAAAAAGAAAACGAAAGGGGGGGAGGGGAAGGGGGGAAAGGAGATAAGGAAGCTTATTGCTTATTATTCACTCCCTTTCACACTCCCTCGGCCCTTACGTCCCCTCTTCTCTCCCTCCCTCCCTCCTTCCCTCCTTCCTTCCTTCCCTCCCTTCCTCCCTCCCTCCCTCCCTCCTACGTCGCCATCCTTTCCCTCCTTTCCCCCCTCCCCTCGCTCGCCGCGCCCACCTGGCATGGGGATCCACGACGACCATCTGACGTGTCTCCTCGGACTTGCCCATGACGTCAGCGACCTTCACGTCGCCCAGGGTCTTCGCCACCATTTCGCCGTCGTCGCCACGCGCGCCCTTGTTACCATCCCACTCCGCGAGGAATATCGCCACGTCCACCACCGACAGCTGCGAACGAGGACATGCGGGGAGAACGGAGGCGGAAAGAACAGGGGGGGAGGGGGGGGGGGGGGGGGGGAGAAACGAGGGCGAAAAAACAGGGGGTGGGGAAGGAATTCCGTGCAGAAAGTGCAGGGCTGAAGAAGAAGGGGCGGAAGAATCACAGGCGGAAATAGCATGGACGGAAGGAACAGGGGCAGGAGGAATGGGGGCGACACAGGGCGGAACCAGCAGCGGTAGAAAGAGCACTGTTGAACAGGGCGGAACGAGCATGTCCGACATGCCGACGAATCGCATGGGCGACAAGCGACGACTCACCATGCTGACGAATCGTATGGGCGATAAGCGACGACTTACCATGCCGACGAGTCGCATGGGCGACGTGCGACAAGCGACGACTCACCATGCCGACGAATCGCATGAGCGACGTGCGACAAGCGACGACTCACCATGCCGACGAATCGCATGGGCGACGGATGCACCATGATGGACTGAAGCGCTTGGGGCTTCTTGAGCGATGGCTTTTCGGTTTGGTGCGGTGCAGAGAGGCGCCGGTTGCGCACGGGCATCGACGTCACGTGGTGCTCTTGGAACAGCTTCAGCGCCGTTGTTAACGAGTCGTTCGCATCCACGGTAACGAGCGTCCTCTTACCGAGGACAAGCTCCTTCACTTCAGAAAGCTTCAGCACGCGAGCCATGACGGTTAACCCAGTCAAACGATTATGCTTTGACGTCAAGCGATGCAGAACGCGAGTCAGAGTCTAGTTTTAAGACACTACGGAAAGGCGTTTTCAAAATATAGCTCCCGTTGTACTATCCTAAGCTCTCTCGCAGTAGAAGCTATAACACAAACGAAAGGAACAAACCGCGGAATGTAAAAAACGGAGCATAAAGAAAGACTGGTAGCATTCAAGTAAGAAAGAGCAACAAGAAACAGAGATTCACAAGCACCCACTAGCCGTATCTTGGTCTTGCTTGGCTTACGCGCCGCGTGGAGCAAATTCCATCTTGCACATTTTCTTGGCCTGCTGTGCTTTGAGTTTTGGCGCCCAAATGGATGGGCATGCATGTCTGTCATTCGCAGTTTTGCGAGGTAAATGAGAAGGTGGTAACATATTGCGCGTGCGAACTTCGTTTTGCCTGCAACCCTGCGAGTTTCCCTCCGTCGAAATTCGCAACGAAGAATGCTACGACGTGTCCTCCACGTCGCCAGAATATTAGTCATCACGGGAAATCTGCCCAGAAGAAAAATGCGCCGTAGTGAGCCCAGGACTCTTGTATGTTCTGCATGTGCTGGCAGCTGCCCGTCAAAATTTAGCGAAAAAAGGATGAGGTACGAGATAAAGGGGGAGTCGGACACGTGATGCTGACTCGGATGGCACAAGGAGGTGGCACGGCTGCCGCTGGATGAGTTGCTGACGCCATGATTCTTATTTCTGGCGTGGCGTTCTGAGGCACCTAGCTTATTCCGGATACAGTGACCCCCAAACACTAACATAAATACAAAGAAACGAGTTCAGTATGTTCGGTTTGGTACAACAATAGTATAAGATTGACACCAGTCCTTGAGGCCCCTTACTCATAACTGGCGATCTGCAGTAGCGTTTGTAAAAATAAAAGATCAAACAAAAAAAACACATGTTAGATACAAGAATTTGGAGGATAAAAAATATTTGTATATTTCTTTTTCTTTTGGGGGGGGGGGAGGGAAGGGGATTGATGGAAAGGGGAGATGGGAGCAAGGGTGAGGGTTAGTGCATACCGAACTGAAGTGTAAGGGGCGTACCTTCGTTTGACTCCTATTCGTCTCACCTTTGACAGCAGACTTTCGTTCTCCGTCTCGTATTTCCGCTTGAGCTCTATGAACTGCGCCAACGCGGCCTCCATCCAGACCTTATCAGCCCTTAACTGTTCAATCAGGCTCGTGCAGGCAGCAGCACACATGGTGAAGAAGAAGAAGGAAACACTGTTCGGTAACAGCATCAAATAATATGCAGAAAACTGCTTCCTCACAACTGCCACACCTCTTACACTTCCAACAGGTTCAAAGAATACCAAATCCTCAACTTGATTCACATGCCTCAGCCACTTAGCTCGAACACCCACCTACCCTTTTCACATCCCAACCTCCCTCACAGTTTCCCACACTTCCCCACACTCTCTTCACACTCCCCTCACACTCCCCATGCACACCCTTGCTCTACCCACACTCTTCAGAACCTCTCAGAACCCACAACTCCCCACCCCCCCCCGCTGACCTGCTCCAGTGTTGCCAGCTGGCTCTGCTGCTCTGCCAAGGTCTGACGCATTGTCTCGTATTCCTGATGGCACGGCCGGCACGGTGGGTGGCACGGTGGGCGGCATGAGACGGCATGGGTGGGTGGCACAGGTAGAACCAGGGGCATGGAATGGAACATGGTGCACATGGTGCATGTGGTGTACATGGTGCATGTGGTGTACATGGTGCATGTGGTGTACATGGTGCATGTGGTGTACATGGTGCATGTGGTGTACATGGTGCATGTCGTGTACATGGTGCATGTGGTGTACATGGTGCATGTGGTGTACATGGTGCATGTGGTGTACATGGTGCATGTGGTGTACATGGTGCATGTCGTGTACATGGTGCATGTGGTGTACATGGTGCATGTGGTGTACATGGTGCATGTGGTGTACATGGTGCATGTGGTGTACATGGTGCATGTGGTGTACATGGTGTACATGGTGTACATGGTGCACATGGTATGGGGTGCCAAGTGGAAAGAAAAGGGGGACACAAAGGAATGGGTGGGAAGACGAGTTCGTCCAACTTAGCAGGCAAATGCATTGTTGCCTCTCCAGCCATCCAAACACCACCTGACATCCACCACAATTCCTGAATCTGAGTCGCAACACACATGCTCCCTACCTTTCTTGACACCTCCATCCGCACTCCATCCACCATCCACTTGTGCTGCCACCACCCCGCTCTCCCTTTCCTTTCTAACCTTCCCTCACAGCATGCACCACGTGCTCCTTACCTTTCTAGACAGCGCAAGACCACCTCCCACCATCTCCTTCGCTTCAGTCACACCACACACCTTCACCCCCCTTACCTTTCTAGACACCTCCATCCACACGCCATCCACCATCCACTTGTGCTGCCGCCTGCCCGCCAAACCCCAATCAGCCACCGTTGACAGCGGCAGCGGTGGGCCTGCAGACGTGCCTGCAAAGAAATCCCACAGGCCCGTGGGGCTGGGGGGGTGAGGGAGGGAGGGGAAAATTGGTGTGCAACAAGTTAACAACACACCATCCTTGTGTGATGAGACGATTTTTTAGTCGACTAAAAAATCGTCTCATCGCAATTGGTGCGCAACAAGTTAACAACACACCATCCTTGACCCAACAGATTCAAGGGCAGGGCACATGTTCTGTTCTGTCAAGAAAAGGACTAGTCTGTCCTTTTCTTCACATAGTCCTTTTGTGTTGAAAAGGGCACATGTGCAACAATCATGCTGCTCCTTGCTTGCTCGTGCAGTACAAGATGAAAGGATGGCTTGCTTGTGCAAGACCAGAGCGGTACTCACAGGGTGGCTTCTGAGTCGACTCAAAAAAAAGACCAGAGCGGTACTCACAGGGTGGCTTTTGAGTCGACTAAAAAAAAGGACCAGAGCGGTACTCACTTTTGAGGCGCCTCAAAAATACTCACAGGGTGGCGTCATTCGTAGTGACAATGCCGCCGCCTTTCTGCTCCAGGCTTGGGCTCCAGGGCTTGCCCGGGCTGATTCGGCTCATCGGCCGCCTCTGCTCAGGGCTGCTTCCACTGCTCTCTGATTGGGCTGCTCTTTGACTCATACCTGCCCTGCCCGCCCCAACAGAGCCTGCCCCTGCCCCACCTGCCCCTGCTCCTGCCCCTGCTCCTGCCCCTGCTCCTGCCCCTGCTCCTGCCCCTGCTCCTGCCCCTGCACCTGCTGCTGCACCTGGCCCATCACCCGCCCCTGCACCCGCCCCTGTCCCACTCGCTCGCACCCGCCCCTGACCATGGTCTGTGTCCATGTATAGTGAAGGGGTGGAGGCAGAGAGGCACTGCGAGGATGCGGAGACAGAGGGAGGGTGGGCGAGGGACCAGGCAGAGAGGGAGTGAGAGAGGGAGGAGGACAGGGAGGAGGAGAGAGAGGAGGACTGAGGAGAGAAGGTTGGGGAGGAGAGGGGAGGAACAAGGCTAGCAGCTGCTGCTTGTTCTGGCGCTGCTCCTGCTGCTGCTACTGGCGTCGCTGCAGCAGCTGCGGTGGGTGCTTCGGAGCTGCCATGCAGCATGTGAGCAGCGCGGCGGGTCAAGGCCTCCAGCTGGGAGTCGTGCCATGCGAAGGCCTGCGCTGCTGCTGCATCCACGGACGCATATGGCTCACTGGCCCTGGCAGAAAGAGAGAGAGGGAGGAGGAAAGGGGAAGGGGGGCGTGCGTGAGGCACCTGCATCACCAGCCTGTGCTGCTGCTGCATCCACTGATGCATACGGCTCACTGGCCGTGCAAATAGAAACAAAGAAGAAGTGAGAGGGGGAGACGTGCAGGGGTCGGGAAGCGCGGGGGAAGAGGAGGGTGCGTTTCAGGTGCCTTTGAAAGAGAGGACCTGCGTTGCTGCTGCATCCACTACTGCATATGGCTCACTCGCCTTGCCATGGATAGCGCCACTTGGTCAAACACATGTGGGGCATGCGGTGAAGACCGAGATAAGGAACGTGTTACAGATGTTACAGAAGCACATAACAAAAGGAAGGGCAGAGGCGATAGAAATGCCATGGAGACAAGGAATGAGTGTGAGGAAGGGGGGGTGAGAGTGTGAGAATGAGAGTGTGAGAATGAGAGTGTGAGAATGAGAGTGTGAGAATGAGAGTGTGAGAATGAGAGTGTGAGAATGAGAGTGTGAGAATGAGAGTGTGAGAATGAGAGTGTGAGAATGAGAGTGTGAGAATGAGAGTGTGAGAATGAGAGTGTGAGAATGAGAGTGTGAGAATGAGAGTGTGAGAATGAGAGTGTGAGAATGAGAGTGTGAGAATGAGAGTGTGAGAATGAGAGTGTGAGAATGAGAGTGTGAGAATGAGAGTGTGAGAATGAGAGTGTGAGAATGAGAGTGTGAGAATGAGAGTGTGAGAATGAGAGTGTGAGAATGAGAGTGTGAGAATGAGAGTGTGAGAATGAGAGTGTGAGAATGAGAGTGTGAGAATGAGAGTGTGAGAATGAGAGTGTGAGAATGAGAGTGTGAGAATGAGAGTGTGAGAATGAGAGTGTGAGATGAGAGTGTGAGAATGAGAGTGTGAGAATGAGAGTGTGAGAATGAGAGTGTGAGAATGAGAGTGTGAGAATGAGAGTGTGAGAATGAGAGTGTGAGAATGAGAGTGTGAGAATGAGAGTGTGAGAATGAGAGTGTGAGAAAGGAACTGAGAACAAGAGGATGGAGATTATGGGAGAGGAAGAAGACGTGAATGCGTGAAGAGCAGGTGTGTGCGGGTATACTCACGCAAAATCGCGCTTCTCCATCCCCGCTATAAGCGTCTTCAGTGCAGCGTCCCGTGCAGCCCTCTCCCGTGCTGCCTGCTCCACCATCCCCTCCACCCGCTGCCGCTCCTCCTGCAGCTGCTGCACCTTGGCCGCCAGAGCTCGCTGGGATGGGGAGAAAAGGGAGCAGGGGAGAGGCGGGGAGGAGTTTTGCAGCGCCTCAACACTTGCTGAGCCTTGGGCGCCCAAGGCTCAGAACACTGGAAGGAGCAGTGGGGAAGGCAGGCGAGAGTCGGGACAGGAGGGAGAGGAGGGAGAGAATGGAGAGAACAGAGAGACGGGAAAGGATGGAACATTTCATTTGCGCGCAACCATTGCCATTGCCTCCTGCAGCTGCTGCACCTTGGCCGCCAGAGCTCGCTGGGATGGGGAACGAGGCAAAGAGGGAAAGAGGGGGAAGAGGAGGGAGATGAAAATAAGACGGGGAAGGAGGAGGAGAGGATGGAAAAGCTGCTCCACCATCCCTGCTACCCGCTGCCGTTCCTCCTCGAGTGGAAGGCAAGTGGGAGGGACGAGGGGGGAGGGAGACAATGGAGGATTGCATATTTACAAGCTTTTTGAGGCGCCTCCAAAATACAGACAAGCAGGGAGCAAAGGAGACCAGGGATGGGGATAACATGGATGGATGGAGGAGGGAGGAGGGAGGAGGGAGTGAGGAGGGCGGAACGCACCTGGAACCTTCCACAGACGGATTCCATGCTGGTGAAATGCGACCCCAGCTCCCTCACTTGCTCCTTCCCTATCACACACACTTCACTTCCTTGCCTCCTCTCCTCCTCCCTAGCTCTGCTCTCCTCCTCTCTCGCCTTCCTCTCCTCCTCTCTAGCTCGCTGCTCTCTCACTCTCGCTCTCCTCTCTCGCTGCACCAGTCCCTTCCACTGAGCACCCAGCGCCTTCACTCCCCCTATCCACTCCACAGTCCTCCTCCCCCACTCCTCCTCTCTCGCTTGCCACTCCCTCTCCCGCTCCCTCCACTCCTTCTCTGCCGCTCCTCTCACTGCTACCTCTCCTCTTCCCTCCTCGTCACCCCCTTGCCTCGCCACCTCTTCATCTTCTCTCTTCTCGCCCTCCTTCTCTTCCTCTTCCCCCCCCTTCGTCCCCGCTCCTTCCCTACTGTTTCCGCCTTCTTCTCTTCCTCCATCCTCCCCTCCCTCCACGCCTCCTCTGCCTCTCTCACCTTCCTCTCCCTCTCCTCCAAACCCTCCAACAACCTTTCCTTCTCCCTTTCCAGTTCTTTCGTAATTTCCTCCTTCTCTCGCTCCACCTCCTCCCTCACTCTCTCCCTCTGCTCTCTCACTTCCTCCCTCTCCCTGTCCACATCTGTCAGCACTCTCTCCCTCTCTTGCTCCACCTCTTTCCTCACTCTCTCAATCTCCTTCTCCCCCTCCTCCCTCACTCTCTCCCTCTCCCTCTCCACTTCCTCAACCAACCTCCCCCTCTCCTCCACCCACTCCGCCTCCCTCCTCTCCCTCTCTCTTTCCCTCTCCCTCTCCCCTTCCTCCACTCTCCCCCTCCACATCTCCTCAATCTGCCTCACCAGCACTTCCATCCCGCACCTCTTCTCCTCCCACTCTTCTCTCATCTCCCTCTCCTTCTCCCCCCCTTCCTCTCCCTCTCAACCTCCTCTTCCACCTCCCTCCTCTCTCTCTCCATCTCCCTCACTCTCTCCTCAATCTCTCGCAATCTCCTCCCTGCCACAACCCTCTGTTCAGTCTCCACCTGTCTGGATACCACCTCCCCCCGCAGCTGCTCCCGAACCTGCTCCAGTTCCTGCCTAACCAGCTCCACCTCCTCCCGAGCCTTTTGCCAAGCCTCCGACACCTGTTTCCAAGCCTGCTCCCTCACCCTCTCAACCTCCTCCATACTCTCCTCCCTGATTTTCTCAGCCTCCTCCCTTCCCTCACCCCTAACCCTCTCAATCTCCTCCCTACCCTCCTCCCTAACCCTCTCCACCGCTTCCAACCGCTCTCCTGCAACTCTCTCCACCTCATCTCGCAAGCTAACCACTGCTTTCTCCAGCACCATTCGTGCCATCCTGCCCTCCTCCTCTGTCCTCGCTACAAGCAACTTCGCTTCTTCCACAAGCCCTGTCAATTCATTAACCTCTTTGCCCCTCGCTTCCAACTCCTCCTCTTTCCTCGAGATAAGCATCTTCGTTTCTTCCACAAGCCCCATCAGTCTCTCAACCTCCTTGCCCCTCTCTTCCACCTCCTTCCCCTTCATTTCTAGCTCCTCCTCTTTTAATCTCAGCTCCTCTCTCTGCCTCTCCACCTCCTCCTCCGTCCTCGTTACAAGCATCTTCACTTCTTCCACAATCCCCATCAGCCTCTCCACCTCCTTCCCCTTCATTTCTAGCTCCTCCTCTTTTACTCTTAACTCCTCCCTCTGCCTCTCCACCTCTCTCTCCTTCTCCTCACCTCCTTCTCAGCCTTCCCAAGCCTCTCACTCACTCTCTCAATCTCTACATCCAACTCCCTCACTCGCTCCCTCACTCCCTCCCTCACTCTCTCTACCTCCTCCTCCAGCGTTACAACCCGCTTCCGAGCAGCTTCACTGTCTGCTACAGCCGCCACCAGTGCAGCTTCACTCTCCCCTAGAGCCGCCAGCTTTGCAGCTTCAGCTGCTACAGCCGCCTTGCGTGCAGCTTCAGCTTCTGCTACAGCCTCCTGTAGCTTTCTGTTGACCACGTCAGCATCAGCTCTTGCAGCATCAGCATCAGCCCTCATAGCCTCGGCCTCCGCCCTCGCTGCGTCAGCATCAGCCCTCGCTGCGTCAGCATCAGCCCTAGCAGCGTCAGCATCAGCCCTTGCTGCGTCAGCATTAGACTGGACAAGCGCCCTAATCTCCTCCTCCATCTGTCTCCTCCCTGCTTCGCCTTGCCCCTCCTCTCCTCCCGCCCCTTCCCCGAGCACTTGTACACTAACCCCTTGCCCTGCTCCTTCCTTTTCTAGACTCTCTCTCAGCCTGAACAACACCCCTCTCCACCCATCCCTCTCCCTCCTCACCCCTTCCAACTCCTCCTCTTGCTCCCTCACTCTCTCCTCCAGACCACCCACCTCCCTCATCAGCCTCATCCTCTCCCCCTCACTCTCCTCCCACTCCCTCTCCACCTCCTCCGTTCTCTTTCTCACTCTCTCCACCTCCTCCTCCCCCTCCCTCACACTCCTCTCCTCCTCTCTCAACCGCTTGACTAGCATCTCCATATCCCTCTCTGTGTTTGCCCTCCCCCTCTCAGCCTCCTCTCTCCTCTCCTCAGCCTCCTCCTTCTGCCTCTGTAGCATACTCACTTCCCCTTCCATCTCCTCTACTCTCCCCCTCAACTCCCTCACTCCCCTCAAACCCTCTTCCAGCTCCTCTCTCACACTCTCCCTCTCCCTCTCCACCTCCTCCCTCCTCCCCCTCTCCTCCTCTGCTCTCCTCTCTGCATCCCCTATCCTCTCAGATAACACCTCCGCTTCAGCAGTAAGCACCTGCACTTGCTCTCGCAGCTTCCTCGCTTCTTCCTTAGTTTCCTTACACTCTCTCACAAGCCCTTCCCTCTCTGTCTTCAAGGCTGAAAGCTCCTGCACGCTTTTACTCAGCTCCTCACTCGCTTTCACGTTCTTCACACGCTCACTCTCACACTCCTTGCTTAACCTCTTCCTCTCCTTCTCTCCCTCTTTCCTTGAAATCTCACTCGCCCTTTCAATCTCCCTCACTCTCTCTTTCAAACCCGCCACCTCCTTTTGTAGACTCTCCTTAGCTTTAATCACACGTGCCAGCTCAGCATCCAAGGCACGCTTCGGCTTGCGCTCCTTTTCCAGCTCAGCATAGAGCCATTCCACCTCACCAGCCAGTCGTTCCACCTCAGCAACTAGCCCCTCCATCTCCCTCACTTTCTCCTCCAACTCACATTGCACCACTCCCGCTCTCTCCTCCCACTCCGCCTTCTCTCTCTGCAGCACCCCTATCTGCTGCTCCTTCTCTTCCACACACGCCTGCAGCGCAAACACCTGCTGCTCCTTCTCCTCCCTCTCCCTCATCCGCACCTCCAGCGCTTCAACCGCTCTCAACACCTCGTCCTTCTCCTTTTGCAGCGCCACTATCTGCTGCTCCTTCTCTTGCACACACGCCTGCAGCGCCAACACCTGCTGCTCCATCTCCTCCCTCTCCCTCACCCTCACCTCCAGAACTTCAACCGCTCTCAACACCTCCGTTTTCTCCTTCTGCAGCCGTTCAACTTCCTCAACCCTCACAGCAATCTCCCTCTCACTCCTCTGCACCGCCTCTTTCTCACGCACAACAGCCATGTCTCTCTCCCTCACCCTCACCTCCAGCTCTTCAGCCGCTCTCAACACCTCCGTTTTCTCTTTCTGCAGCCGTTCAACTTCCTCAACCCTCGCAGCAAGCTCCCTCGCACTCCTCTGCACCGCCTCTTTTTCACTCGCTGCAATCGTGATCCTAGCCTCCTCCCAGTCTGCCCTCTCTCTCTGCAGCGCCACTATCTGCTGCTCCTTCTCTTGCACACACGCCTGCAGCGCCAACACCTGCTGCTCCTTCTCCTCCATCCGTGCTTGTAACGCGGATACCTTCTGCTCTTTCTCTTCCACTCCAGCTTGTAACGCAGACACCTGCTTCTCCCTCTCCTCAAATCCTGCTTGCAACGCGGATATCTGCTTCTCCCTCTCTTCCACTCCTGCTTGTAACGCGGATATCTGCTTCTCCCTCTCTTCCACTCCTGCTTGTAACGCGGATATCTGCTTCTCCCTCTCTTCCACTCCTGCTTGTAACGCGGATATCTGCTTCTCCCTCTCTTCCACTCCTGCTTGTAACGCAGATATCTGCTTCTCCCTCTCTTCCACTCCTGCTTGTAACGCGGATATCTGCTTCTCCCTCTCTCCCACTCCTGCTTGTAACGCGGATATCTGCTTCTCCCTCTCTTCCACTCCTGCTTGTAACGCAGATATCTGCTTCTCCCTCTCTTCCACTCCTGCTTGTAACGCGGATATCTGCTTCTCCCTCTCTTCCACTCCTGCTTGTAACGCGGATATCTGCTTCTCCCTCTCTTCCACTCCTGCTTGTAACGCGGATATCTGCTTCTCCCTCTCTTCCACTCCTGCTTGTAACGCGGATATCTGCTTCTCCCTCTCTTCTACTCCTGCTTGTAATGCGGCAACTTGTTTCACTCCCTCCTCTACTTTCTCCTGCAGCAATTTCAGCTGCTGCTCTTTCTCCCCTAACCCTGCTTCTAACGAGGATACCTGCTCCTCCTTCTCATCCACACCAGCCTGTAACACTCCCATTTCCCTCACCCTTCCTTCCAACTCAGCTTCTAACGAGGATACCTGCTCCTCCTTCTCATCCACACTAGCCTGCAACACTCCCATTTCCCTCACCCTTCCTTCCAACTCAGCTTCTAACGAGGATACCTGCTCCTCCTTCTCATCCACACTAGCCTGCAACACTCCCATTTCCCTCACCCTTCCTTCCAACTCAGCTTCTAACGAGGATACCTGCTCCTCCTTCTCATCGGCACTCGCCTGGAGCACCCCCATTTTCCTCACCCCCTCTTCCAGTTCAGCTTGTAACGAGGATATTTGACCTTCCTTCTCCTGCACACTCGCCTGCAGCCCGTTCACTTCCCTCACCCTCTCTTCCACCTCTGCTTGTAGCGCGGATACCTGCCCCTCCTTCTCAACTGCCCTCGCCTGCAGCCCGTTCACTTCCCTCACCCGCTCTTCCAACTCAGTCTGTAACGAGGATACCTGCTCCTCCTTCCCTTGCAAACTTTCCTGCAACACCCCCATTTGCTTAACCCTCTCTTCTAGGTGAGCTTGTAACGAGGACACCTGCTCCTCCTTCTCCTGCACACTCGCCTGTAACACTCCCAATCGCTTCAACCCGTCTTCCAACTCAGCTTGTAACGAGGATATCTCCACCTCCTTCTCCTGCACACTCGCCTGCAGCCCGTTCACTTCCCTCACCCTCTCTTCCACCTCTGCTTGTAGCGCGGATACCTGCCCCTCCTTCTCAACTGCCCTCGCCTGCAGCCCGTTCACTTCCCTCACCTTCTCCTCCAACTCCGACTGTAACGAGGATACCTGCTCCTCCTTCTCCTGCACACTCGCCTGCAGCCCACTCACTTGCCTCACCTTCTCCAATAACTCAGCTTGTAACGAGGATACCTGTTCCTCCTTCTCATGCACACTCGCCTCTAGTGCCCCCATTTGCCTCACCTTCTCGTCCAACTCAGCTTCTAACGAGGATACTTTCTCCTCTTTCTCCTGCACACTCGCCTGCAGCCCACTCACTTGCCTCAACCCCTCTTCCAGGTCAGCCTGTAACGAGGATATTTGCTTCTCCTTCTCCTGCAAACTCGCCTGCAGCACCTCCATTTGCTTCACCCTCTCTTCCATCTCTGCTTGTAACGAGGATAATTCTCCTTCTTTCTCCTGCACACTACCCTGCAGCCCAATCACCTGCCTCACCCTCTCCTCCAACTCAGCTTCTAACGAGGATACCTGCCCCTCCTTCTCATCCACCCTCGCCTGGAGCCCACTCACTTCCCTCACCCTCTCTTCCACGTCTGCTTGTAGCGCGGATATTTGTCCTTCTTTCTCCTGCACACTCGCCTGTAGCCCACTCACGTCCCTCACCCTCTTTGCCACCTCGCCCTGCAAGGCATACACCTGCCTGCCCTTCCCTTCCACCGCCGACTCCAGCACCAGAATCTTGGCATCCCGCACCAACACCATAGCCTCTTTCTCCCGCACAAGACCCTCTTTTTCCCGCACTAACACCTCTTGCTCCTCCAACCGTGACTGCATAACCTGCATCTCTTCTCTCTCCCTTCGAATCTCCTCAAGAGACTCCTTCAGCTGCTGCCTTCCCTCCTCCAGTTGCCGCTTCCCCTCCTCCACCTGTGCTTCCAGCGCTGTCACCTGCTCCCTCCCCTTTCGAACCTCCGCTCGAGCCTCCTCCAATTGCTGCCCCTTTTCTTCCAACTGCCCCCTCCCCACCTTTACCTGTGCCTGTAGCACTGCTACCTGGCCCCTCGCCTTTCGAGCCTCCTCAACACTCTCCTCCAACTGCTGCCTCCCCTCCTCCACCTGCGTTCTCCCCACCTCCACCTGTGCTTCCAGCGCTGCAACCTGCTCCCTCGCCTCTCTCAGCGCCTCACCAGCCTTCTCTTGCATCACTGCACCTTCCTCTCTCAACACCTCCATATCTCCCTTCAACACTTTGATCTCCTGCTGCATGCTGCTCACTTCCCCAGTCAAGATCAGAGCTTTCTTCTCTTTCTCCTCCAGACTCTTTTCCATTGCCCTCAACTCGCCCTCCTTCAATTCCAGATCTGCCTGAACACCCTTCCTCTCATCCTCCATTGCCCTCAGCTCACCCTCCTTTTGTTCCAACGCTGCCTGCAAGCCTTTTCTCTCCTCCTCTACAGCCCTCAACTCGCCCTCCTTCAATTCCAATGCTGCCTGAACACCCTTCCTCTCATCCTCCATTGCCCTCAACGCACCCTCCTTTCGTTCTAATTCTGTCTGCAAGACACTCCTCTCCTCCTCAACTGCCCTCAACTCCCCCTCCTTCAATTCCAGATCTGCCTGAACACCCTTCCTCTCATCCTCCATTGCCCTCAGCTCTTCCTCCTTTTGTTCTAATGCTGCCTGCAAGCCTTTCTTCTCCTCCTCAACAGCCCTCAACTCACCCTCCCTCTCCCCCAGTGCCGTTCGCAGCTCCACTATCATCCCTGCACTCTCCCCATTTGACTCCTCCAAAATCCTTTTCAACCGCTCCACCTCTCCTTCCAACCGCTCCACCTCTCCTTTCAACCGCTCCAAATCATCCGTCAACCGCTTCACAGCCACGTCCTTTTCCTCCATTCCTCGCACCAGCCTCGCCACCTCGCCTTCCTTCCCCTTCGCTTCGCCCCTCAAATCCACCATCACCGCTTCCAACTCCTCCAACTTCCCCTTCAGCTCCTCCAAATCCCCCTCCTTTTCTTTCAACTCCCTTATCAGACTCGCCACCTCTCTTTCTTTCTCCTTCACTTCATTCTGCAATCCCTTCAGAATCTCCTCCTTCGCCGTCAACTCTCCCTTCAGACCCACCACCACCCCTTCCAACTCCTTCAAAGCCTCTTCCTTCTCCTTCAACTCTCTCCTCACACCCACCACCACCCCTTCCAACTCCTTCAAAGATTCTTCCTTCTCCGTCGACTCTCCCCTCAACCCCACCACCGCCCCTTCTTTCTCTTCCACCTCCCTCCTCCATCCCACCAACACCTCCTCCCCTATCTCCCTCTCCTTCTCCACCACCCACACTCTCTCCCTCGCCTCCTCCCTCTCTCGCTTCACCCTCTCAACCTCCTCCCTCCCTCGCTCCACCTCCTCCCTTCCGTCCTCCACCTGCTTCTCCAACTCAATCACTCTCGCCTGCAAAGACTCCGCCTTCTCCTTCAGTTCTGCTACCGCCGTCTGTGAAGCAACCTCCTTCCCTTCCAACTCCACCACTCTCGCCTGCAAAACAGCCCCTTTTCCTTCCAATTCTGCTACCCTCGCCTGCAAAGCAACCTCCTCCTTCTCCAACTCACCCACTCTCGCCTGCAAGACGCCCTCCTTCTCCTTCCACTCTGCTTCCACCCTCAACCGCGCCTCCTCCATCATGCCTATCGACTCTTGCAACTCGCAAACCCTCTCCTCCAGCTGCCCCACCACCTCCTCCTCCTCTTCTTGCAGGGACTGCACCTTCTCGTGCAGCTCACAAACTCTCGTCTCCAGCTCACACACTCTCTCTTTCCTCACCTCCAGTTCAAATTTCGTATTTCCCAGCTGGTACACCACCTCCTTCCTCTCCTCTTGCGCAGACTGCACCCTCCCCTCCAGCTCACAAACTCTTGTCTCCAGCTCACACACTCTCTCTTTCCTCGCCTCCAGCTCAAATTTTGAATTTCCCAGCTGCCCCACCACCTCCTTCCTCTCCTCTTGCGCAGACTGCACCCTCCCCTCCAGCTCACAAACTGTCTTTTCCAGCTGGGATACCATCTCTTCCTTCGCTTGCACCTCGCGTGCCCTCTCCTCCAGCTGCCCCATCACCTCCTTCCTCTCCTCTTCCAGGGAATGCACCTTCTTGTGCAGCTCAGAAGCACTCATCTCCAGCTCGCACACTCTCTCTTTCCTCGCCTCCAGTTCAAATTTCGTATTTCCCAGCTGGTACACCACCTCCTTCCTCTCCTCTTGCAACGACCGCACCTTCTCCTCCAGCTCAGAAACTGTCTGTTCCAGCTCACAAACTCTCTCTTTCTTCTCCACCTCCACTTCACGTACCGCCTTCTCCAGCTGCCCCACCACCTCCTTCCTCTCCTCTAGCACACACTGCACCTTCTCCTCTAGCTCAGCAACTGACTTTTCCAACTGGCAGACCCTCTCTTTCTCCTCCATCAGTTCACGAACCGTCTTCTGCAGCTCAACTACTGTCCCGTCCCTTTCCCCTTCCACCCGCACCACAGTGTCTTGAAGCGACTGCGCCCGCTCTTCCAGTCCCCGCACTGTCCTCTCCAGCTGCCCCACCATTTCCTTCTTCTTCTCCAGCTCGCGTGCCCTCTCCTCTAGCTGACCTACCGTCTCCGTCCTCTCCTTTTCCACCTGCACGACTCTGTCTTGAAGCAAGTGCACCCTCTCCTCTAGCATCTGCCGCTTCTCCTTCTCCTCCCTCACCTCTGCCAGGCTTGCTTGCAACCTTCCCTCCCTCTCTGCCTTCTCCCTCTCCCACTCCTCCCTCTCCCTCTTCACACCTTCCAGTTCTACCTTCAATCGCTCTGATTCCTCTTTCACTTCCTCCTCCTCCTTCCGCATCACCTCAATCTGCCTCTCCAATTCCTCCTTCTCGCCCTTCGCACCTTCCAATGCTCCTTTCAACCGTTCCAGTTCCCCATTCAACTCCTCCTTCTCCCTCCGCAATCCATCAATCTGCCTCTCCAGTCCCTCTTTCTCCCTCTCCCATCCCTCCCTCTCTCCCTTCAATCCTTCCATTTCCCTCTCCATCTCCTCCCTCTCCCTCTCCTTCCTCTCCACCTCACTCTCCCTCTCCATCACCAACCCCTCAAGCTCCCCGATCCTCCTCTCCCTCACACCCAACACCTCTTCCATCTCCCTCTCTCTCTTCTCCCTCATCCCAACCTCCTCCTCCAATTCCCTCACCCTCCCTTCCCTCTTCCTCCCCTTCCTCTCAACCTCCTCCCTCTCCCCCTCCTTCGCCTCAACCTCCCCTCTCAACGCACTCACCTGCACAGACAACTCCTCCATCTCCCCTTCCACCTCCCTCACTCTCACCTCAAGCCTCCCCACCTCCTCCTCTCTCTCCCTCACTCGCTCTTCCCCGTCCCTCACTTGCTCTTCCAGCTGACCCATCCTCTCCGTTTCAGCCGCCTTGGCTGCGATCTCTGCTCGTTTCGCAGCTAATCCAGCCTGCAACACTGCAACCATGTCCCCAAGCTCTCTCACTTCCTCCTCTAACCCCTTCACCGTCTCCTCTTTCTCTCCTCGCTGCTTCTCTAGCTCACCAGCCTTCTCTCTAAGCTCAATAACTACTGCTTCAAGACTTTGAATCGCCTCTTCCTTCGCTTTCATCTCTACCTCTCGTTCTGCCGCCTCTGCAGCACGCCTCGCCTCCTCTTCCTCCCTCACCTTCCTCTCCTCCTCTCTCTCCCTCTCCTTCGCATCATACTCCTCCCTTCTCTCTGCTTCCATCCTCCTCCTTTCCTTCTCAAACTCAACCCTACCTTCCTCAATCCTCCCCTCGAGCTCTCTGACCCTCGCTTCCAACTCACAAGCACGTAACTCCTTGTAGCGGATCTCTTCTTTTATCGAGGATATCCTCTCCTCTCGCTCCGCCAAAGCGGCTTCCAGCACCCCCACCTTCCCAGTCTCCTGAGTCAACGCAGTCAACAGAGCCACCTCACGCTGCTTCAGCCTCTCTACCTCCTCCTCCGCATCCCCTCTTTTCCACCTCTCCTCCTCCACCTCCTTCTGTACCTCCTCCTTAGCTCTCTTCCACTCCTCCCCCTCTCTCACCCTCCCCTCCTCCACCCCTCCTCTCCTCCTCAATCCTCTTTACACTCTCCCTCACTCCCACCAACTCTGCTTCCAACTCCCTCACTCTCTCCCTCACTTCCTCTCTCTCCTCTTCCGCCTTCCTCCTCCCTTCCTCCTCCCCACCAAGCCTCTCCTTCAACCCTCTCACTTCAACCTCCACCTCCCTCCTCCTCCCCTCCTCCTTTTCCACCCTCTCCCTCATCTCCCTCTCCACCCGCACTCTCTCCTCCTCTCTCCCCACCCGTTCCCTCTCCCTCTCCTCCACCCACTCTCGCCTCTCCCTCTCCATCTGCTCAACCGCACCCTTCCGCGCCGCTTTCAACCCCTCGATCTGCTCTTCCAATTCCGCCAGCTGCTTTTCATGCATCGCCTCAGTACCACTCCGCGCCTCTTTCAACCCCTCTATCTGCTCTTCCAGTGCCGCCAGCTGGTGCTCCAGGAGCGCGCGCTGCTGCCTCTCCGCGTGCAGCCACTCCCTCACCTGCTCCGCCTCTCGCTGCAACTCCTCCTCCCGCCTCCTCACAGCCTCCTGCACTAGCAGCAGGTTGCTCAAACCACTAGTGCCATTAGCCGCACCTCCTTCCTCACTACCTTCCTCTCTCTCCCTAATAGCGGATGCCTCCTCTCCTTCCACTCCCTCCTTTCTCCTCTCACCCTCCGCCATCTCCTTCTCCGCTTCCTCCCCCTCCTCCTCCTTCACCTTCCCTTCCTCCCGCTTCTGCACCTCCTTCACAACCTCCTCCTCTTCCCTCCTCCCCTTCTCAATCTCCCTCCTCTCCTCCACAACCTCCCTCCTCGCCTCCTCTAACACACCCACCACAGCCTCATTCCCCCCCCTCAACTCCTCAAGTTCCTTCACCAGAACACTAATCTCTCCCCTCAGCGCCCTCCCCTTCTCCCTCACTCTCTCCTCCCTCCTCTCCAGCAACCCCCGCGCCGTCTGCAGCTCCAATCTCAGCCGTCGGATCGTCCCCTTCGCGTCCGCTCTCATCTTCATCGCACGCCCATGCACGCGCTTCAGAAGCTCCACTTTCCGCGAAACTTCAGCCCTCAGCTTCTCCAGTTCCCCGTCTTTCTCCTTCACCACTCCCCTCAACTCCTCCACATCTCTCTCCACCGAGCAAATCTCCCTCAAAAGCTGATCCTCCCACTGGTTTTCCGCCTTAACCTGCAAAGCCAGCTCCGAAACTCCCACCTGCCGCTGAAACTCCCTCAAGGACCGCTCTGCCTCTTCCCGCCGCGCCTCTGCTTCTTCTCGTTTCCTGGAAGCTTCCGCTCGTCGCGCTCGCTCGCGTGCCAGCATGCAGGACTGGTGGAGGAGGAGGTCCTCCATGTAGCCTACCACGTCAGCGCTCGCCACGTCGCCGCTCGCCACGTCACCAGCGGCCACGTCAGCAGTGGACACGTCAGCAGCGGGAGTGGCACGACCAGCGGCATGAGATGCAGCAGTAGCAGCAGCACCTGCATCACCAGCAGCAGCACTCGCGGGCCTTTCCGCCCCATCCAATTCCTTACACTTCCCACCACTTCCTCCACCTCTTCCTCCTCCACCTCCGACGCTTTCCCCCTTCCGAGCCTCCATCCATTGCCAGAGCTTAGCCTCGGCAAGGCGCATGCCGGACCTAAGGTCCTCCACCTCCTCCTCCACCTCCCTCCTCCTGCGCACCTCCTCCCCCACACTCCTCTCCATCTCCTCCTTCTCGCCCTCCAGTCGCCTCCTCTCCCCTTCTAGCTCCAATATCCGGGCCTCAAAAACCCGCCTCTCTTCGCCTCTCACCCTCACCAGCTCTTCTCCGCTTCTATCAACCTTCTGCTTAGCTAATGCCGGACTGGCATGGGCTCCCTCTCCCATGCAACGCCCCTTGGTGCCATCCTCGTTTTCCTCCTCGCTCCCCGCTCTGCCCTTCTCAGCCGCTGCTACAGCCGAGCTCTCGCCAGGAGAGGCTACAGCCCGGGGTGTCAGGAAGTCCAGGTTCACGACGACATGGCGTCCCTCTGGTACCTTCCCGTACACATCCGCAGGCGCTGCTGCCACAACCGACGGTTTCTCAAGCGCTGTTACAGCCAGGGATTCTTCTGCAGGCGCAGCTACAACCGAGAATTCCACTGGTGCTGCTACAACCGAGCGATCCTCACAAGGCGAGTCCATCGAACGGTTCGGATCAACAACAAGGCAACCCGACACAGCTCCGCTACTGGCTGTCTGTCAGTCCTCCCGTTTCACCCCACTGGGAGCCCCAGGAGCAGCGAGACGGGAAGTAGCGGCAGTGAATGAACTCCCGACAGAGAGTCGACGCCACGAGGCGAGGTGAGGGACGGGCCGAAGGGCGGGCAGTCTGTAGCGACACGGCAGGACGCGGGGAGTGGCAACGCAGAATGGAATGGACACCTCACGAGGTGACTTTTGAGTCGACTCAAAAGTCACCTCGGCGGGTAGTCTGTAGCGACACGGCAGGACGCGGGGAGTGGCAACGCAGAATGGAATGGACACCTCACGAGGTGACTTTTGAGTCGACTCAAAAGTCACCTCGGCGGGTAGTCTGTAGCGACACGGCAGGACGCGGGGAGTGGCAACGCAGAATGGAATGGACACCTCACGAGGTGACTTTTGAGTCGACTCAAAAGTCACCTCGGCGGGTAGTCTGTAGCGACACGGCAGGACGCGGGGAGTGGCAACGCAGAATGGAATGGACACCTCACGAGGTGACTTTTGAGTCGACTCAAAAGTCACCTCGGCGGGTAGTCTGTAGCGACACGGCAGGACGCGGGGAGTGGCAACGCAGAATGGAATGGACACCTCACGAGGTGACTTTTGAGTCGACTCAAAAGTCACCTCGGCGGGTAGTCTGTAGCGACACGGCAGGACGCGGGGAGTGGCAACGCAGAATGGAATGGACACCTCACGAGGTGACTTTTGAGTCGACTCAAAAGTCACCTCGGCGGGTAGTCTGTAGCGATGGCAGGACGCGGGGAGTGGCAACACTGAATGGAATGGACACCTCACGGAGAGTCGCTACTAGGCTGATATTCGCCCGGCCTTGGTCTGTAACTTAGCGGGGGATCTGTACGGCGGACGGCCTGTAACTTAGGCGGACGGTCTACAACTTATTTCTGCGGCTCCTCAGGGATAGGCTGGTCTATCCACCACACTAGGAGGGCTTGTAGGCTCTGATTCGCCTCCACGGTTTCTGAAGCGCGTCAGAAGAAGATTTATAAGTCCAAGCCAGCTGCTAGAACAGTGCAAGCGGGGGCTAGACGTATATAAGCCCTGACCTGCTTCGGCGCGGGCGTTTCTTCAAACGCATCAAAGAGAATCGTGGGGGCTAAACCAGCTGCCAGCACACTGAGAGTAATGGCCGGTAGTGAGCCCTGATTCGCTCAGGCGAGCGCGGGATGGAAGGCGTGAATCGCTTACGCGAACGAGGACAGACAGGCCTTTGTGTATAGATAACTTAGAAGGGTCTGACAATGGTTCTGACAGGCTTCGGACGACAGCTACTGTTGAGGGCGATGTCCCAGGATTCAGAGCAAGAAAGCGGGTCGTTTGCAGAGAGAAGGCGTCGGACGGATTGGCGCTACTAGGTGACTTTAGAGTCGACTCATCGTCAGTGACGGCAGCTGCGGTGCGGAAGCAGCAGCAGTGGCCGAGATTCCGCGCCCAAGCTCCGCCCGCCCGCCCCGCCGCCACTTGCTGGTAGAGGGGGAAACGGGGAACGGGGGGAAAGCAGAAAAGGCGGATCTGAAACCAACGGCTATCCAATTGAGGAGTTTCCGCGCTCGAGCTCCGCCCGCTCCGCCTGCTCCGCCACCCCTGCCTGGTAGAGGGGGAATGGGGGCGTTTCCGCACACAAGCAACGGGAGAAACGGGAGAGGCAGGGAGAAGGTATTGATGCTACTGCTTCAAATTAGAAAGTACCGCTCTCGACCATTGTCCGCTCCGCGGCGACTGGCAAATCAGGCAGAGGGTGTAACGGGAGGGTAAGGGGAGGAGAAAGAAAGGAGACTTGGCCTTATCCTGAGGACATGAGGCTAACTTCCCTACGGCAATGGCTGAGGTGACTTTTGAGTCGACTCAAAAGTCACCTCGTTATGACTTTTGAGTAGACTCAAAAGAAAGAAAGAAGACTTGGCCTTACCCTGAGGACGTGAGGCTAACTTCCTTTGGCAACGGCTGAAAAACATTCTGGAAACGAGGGAATCCGGAATAAGAGCGAGAGAGGTGAGAGGAGGGAATGAGATGAGGGAACAATGGGGGAGATGATCTGACAAACGACGCAGTGGCGAACGATGGCAGGAAGAGAAGGGAGCGGAGGGGAGATTAGAGGACGGAGTGACGAGAGGAATGGGCCGATGGGGCCATGGGAAGATGATCTGACGACAACACCGTGGCGAACGATGGCGGGAAGAGATAAGGGAGCGAAAGACCGGAGAAGCTGGAGAAAGATAGGAAAAGCGGGAGCAAAGATGGGAGAAGCGCGAGAAAGACGGGAGAAGCGCGAGAAAGACGGGAGAAGCGCGAGAAAGTCGGGAGAAGCGCGAGAAAGACGGGAGAAGCGCGAGAAAGACGGGAGAAAGATCGGGTTATGCCGATGGAAGCTGGGATGCCCGACAGGTGGCACCTTCTAATATCCAGGATTCTCGCCGGTGTTTATTCTGGCATCTTGACCGTCAACGACATGTTCGCCGCCCTAGATCGACGGCAACCAAGGCGCTTGACCAGAAGCCGGCCTTCTGACCCAATGGCTGGCGGACACGAGGCACGTGGCACAAACACATTGAGAAAAGGAGGACTTCCCCGCGTAGGCTGGTGATTTGGTCTGGACTCTGAATCTAGAAAACTGCTCGGGACTTGACTGGGATTACACGCGAGATAAGAGACGGCGAGACGGGGAGATGGAGATATGGGAATCTATGTACGTGCGGATCAGTCTAATCTCTCTCTGAATGTGTGCCTGCGACAACCTACTGTGGCGGGAGGTACGCTACGGAGCCATGGCTGGAACTTCCCGCTCGGCACTATACGCCTATCCCCCACAGCATTTGGTGCAACAGCACACAAATGTTTGCTGTGTCCATGGCATAGGATGGGACGGTTGCAAAGAAGGAATCACGAGTCTCGCCCTCTCGGCAATATCGAGATGAACACCAGCCACATACACTAGGGGCGGGGGGGGGGGGTCTTCGGGAGGAAACCAGTGGTGGTGAGGAAGCACTCGGCTTGGCAAAACCGAGGTCATTGGGAATGGGGATGGGGCTGGGGATGGCGATAGGGATGGCGATGGGGATGGCAATGGTGATGGGGATGGGGATGGCAACTGGAGTGTTGGCGATGGCGAAGGCGATGGAATGGCGATGGCGATGGCGATGGCGATGGCGATGGCGATGGCGATGGCGATGGAGATGGCGATGGCGATGGAGATGGATTGAAGGCATGGTGCAGTTAGGACGCGGCACCTCTAAGGACATTGCCAGGATCGAGGGGGATCGGGGCCTCACACCGGTTTAGGCACATCGATCGGCACACCGATGTGTCCACACTGCAAGATTGCAATCGCCTGGACACACCGAGCCACAGGTGACAGGATCGAAAATACCTGGGGCAAAATTGCCCGATCTCCACAATTTCACGATCGATGTGTGGGCGCTGGCACATCGATCGTGCGAGCCAGAGGTGCCAGCATTTTGGGCACCAATTTACTGTACACTTGCGAGTTAAGGCGAAAACAGATACCAGCGTGTTGGCGAATTCGCGATTTTACTGTAAAAGCCAGGATCGATCCCCACCCAGGATCGATCGTGGCTTCCTCCTTAGAGGTGCCGCGTCCTTATGGCATACGTAACTGTAAACCAAACAATCCATGATCAATGACCTATGTCCAATGACCTTGGACCTTGACTCGCGAAAATCTTCACCTCGGACCGAAGTCCTCCGGTCATCCAATCACACGGATGGGGAGACGCGAGTGCAGCGACGACAACGCAGGAAGGCACAGCGGTATTGGTCAAATAATTTGGCCGGCGCCTCAGAAATCCGTGAGCTGCTGCCCCGAATGTCTTGACTTTTCGTGGTAGCAAACTCGGTATATGATACAAATTCATATCATGTTCATCGTGTAACGTCACACAGGTCTCTAGGTCACGGATTTTGATTATAGGTATTACAATCATCAAAGAGGACCCAAACTCACTATATCGTAGCCCCATGAGGAGTTGCATACTTGCTCGCAAGTAGGTAGACACAGTAAACACTTATTGCACGGCAAAACCGGATATAGCAACTTTGCGTCAAGGGACACAACACTATCACCGTGCAAAAAAAAAAAAACCGACACAATTGCAGCCCTAGTGACAGCATCTCATGCCTGCCAATAAAATTCCGGAAGAAAAATGAGACCTGTACAAGACACTACCACGCAGTGGCTCTAAAGCTCAAAGAAATGCACACCAAGATGTGCACTGACCAGCCTGATTGTTCACCGCTCCCAACTCCCCACCACCACACTCCACATTCCCGCCGGCACCACCAGCATTTGAAATCGCCTGGTGCAGAATCGTGCTGGCAGTGTCAGGTGAAATCCACAGAGGCAGAGTGGTTGGCCACCGCTCCCCAAAAAAAACACACCGGGATGTACACTAGCCAGCCTGATTGTTCACCGCTCCCAACTCCCCACCACCACGCTCCACATTTCCCACACCACCAGCATCTGAAATAGCTTGATGCAGAATGGTGGTTGCAGTGTCAGGTGACATCCACAGAGGCAGTGGTCCTTGCTGCTCCGACAGACGTCTATCAGCCACAGTGCCCATCCGCCCCCCATTTTTGCTGCCCTGTGCGCCCCTGTATCCTCCAGCACCAGGACCATCACCACCACCACCACCGCCAAACCTGCTGCCACCACTGACAATGCCGCCACCATCACCACTATTCCCGCCGCCACCACCACCCGCATCATCCCCACCAGGCGCTTCCCCCCTGCACTCTGCTTCCACAGCTGCAGCTGCAGCAATCAGTGCATGCGTCCCTTGGGCCAGACACCCCCCTGCTGCTGCTGCTGCTGCTGCTGCTGCTGCTGCTGCTGCTGCTGCTGCTGCTGCTGCTGCTGCTGCTGCTGCTGCTGCTGCTGCTGCTGCTGCTGCTGCTGCTGCTGCTGCTGCTGCTGCTGCTGCTGCTGCTGCTGCTGCTGCTGCTGCTGCTGCTGCTGCTGCTGCTGCTGCTGCTGCTGCTGCTGCTGCTGCTGCTGCTGCTGCTGCTGCTGCTGCTGCTGCTGCTGCTGCTGCTGCTGCTGCTGCTGCTGCTGCTGCTGCTGCTGCTGCTGCTGCTGCTGCTGCTGCTGCTGCTGCTGCTGCTGCTGCTGCTGCTGCTGCTGCTGATGTTGTTGCTGCTGCTGCTGCTGCTGATGTTGTTGCTGCTGCTGCTGCTGCACAGGCACTGCAGAATGACCAGCCTGCTGGGTCTGAGCCGCCTCGAAGCAGCTCGATTCCGCCACACTGGACGGCCGCCCGCCCATGGGCGGCGGCGGGCTCATCATTGCAGCATGGCTGTTGGGCGGCGGCGGTGAGGTCAGCATTGCCAGATGGCTGCTGGACGGTGGAGACAGCATGAGGGACTGCCCAAGCAGCGACGGGGACAAGATCGTGCTGCTGGAAGGCTTCTGCGAGTTGTCAAACGACTGGCCGAGCAGAGATGGGGATAGAGAAGTGGCGTTGGAGGGGTTGTGGGGGAGGAGAGCGTCGTCTGAAAAGGACGGAGGGTGGTCTGAGTCATCGTCTGCTTGAAGCAGGGCTGACATTTCACCCATCATTGGCTGAGAGGCCGACATCTCGGCCATCATTGGCTGAGAGGCCGACATCTCGGCCATCATTGGCTGAGAGGCCGACATGTCGCCCATCATTGGTTGAGACACGGATGGTTCACCCATCATGCGCTTCTCACCCCCCTCGCCCCACCAGCTCTTGTTGTCCCTGCCTGCTCCTGCTTCCTCCGCCTGTGCCTCCGCAGTGCTGGCATGGTGTGGCTCAAACTTGGCTTCCACAGGCGATCCATCTGGAGGAAGAGGACAGAGGAACCAAAAGAAAAGAAAAACAAGGATGCTGGATTGGCTCGTCATCGACACCTGCTCCTGCTTCCTCCTGCTCCAGCACAAGAGAGACATAATTGGATAACAATTCAAAAGAAAAGCACAAGCGCAGGAGGTGGTGATCTTCAAGACGTGCAAAAAAGTGCGGGAGAAAGGTGCAGCGCTGCACTGACCACACTTCTGGTGCTTTGAGTCGACTGAAAACACGAAATAAAAGAGCAGCAGGAGGTGACTTTCTTGACATGAAAAGAATGAGCAGGAGGAGGTGCAGTGCAGCACTGACCACACTTCTGGAGAGAACGGTACTGCAGGCGGACACTTTCACCTGAGTCCTGCACTCGCACGAGGTACCTGCGACAGGGACACACAGCAAGAGAGACACGCTGTCAATATTTGAGTTGACTCAAAGAACGGTACTGCAGGCAGACGCCTTCATCCGAGTCCTCAACTCGCACGAGGTACCAACGGCACAACGAGACAGAGAGACACGCTGTCAGCTGATGCAATACACAAGCAGCACAGACATGGAAGTGAAAACAAATTTTGAGGCGCCTCGGAAATAAGGCAGACGCTGACCAACACTCAGTATGGTGGCGTGGCAAGCAAACCATACAGGCGGCACAAGAAGAGGAACAAGAAGCAGCAGCACCCACCAGCCATTCAGGCACTGAGAAGTGATCACTGCCTCTTTGCCAAAGAACTTCTCAGGCGTCCGCTTATTCCCCTGCACGGCACGACAAACCATGGAGAGGAGAGCCATCAGCAAGGGGTGTGCAGTCCACATCAGGTGAAAACATAAAAAAAAATCGAGAAACAACAATCGAGAAACGTTACTGAGTCTTACCTTTATCAGGACTTTTTCGTTCACGGAGAACGGGAATTGCACGCCTTTCAGGCGGCCACCACCTTCAGCATCAGGAGACCCGAGCAGGCCTGAGTCCTCAGGCTGCTCAAACACACATAGAACACAGCACGACATGGGACAGCGCCGTGTCAACAACGCTCCAATCCCAAAAACACGAACCACTGCTACAGAAAAAAAGCATCGCTACAAGCATGAGAACAAAGCGCAGGGAGAGAATTATGCCGTTCTGACGAGAGGAACAAGAAATGATGGCAGAGGAGTTTTTTGAGGCGCCTCAAAAGTGACTTTTGAGACGACTCAAAAGTCACCTCCTGACGAAAGGAAAAAAGAAATGAGGGCAGAGGAGTTTTTTGAGGCGCCTCAAACGCGACTTTTGAGTCGACTCAAAAGTCACTCCTGACGAAAGGAAAAAATAAACGAGGGCAGAGGAGTTTTTTGAGGCGCCTCAAAAGTGACTTTTGAGTCGACTCAAAAGTCACCTCCTGACGAAAGGAAAAAAGAAATGAGGGCAGAGGAGTTTTTTAAGGCGCCTCAAAAGTGACTTTTGAGTCGACTCAAAAGTCACCTCCTGACGAAAGGAAAAAAGAAATGAGGGCAGAGGAGTTTTTTTAAGGCGCCTCAAAAGTCTGACGAAAGGAAAAAGAAAAGAGGGCAGAGGAGAGAAGAGAGGGAGGTTAAGAGAGAGGAGAGGAGAGGAGAGGAGAGGAGAGGGGAGGAGAGGAGAGGAGAGGAGAGGCAAGGAGAGGGGAGGAGAGGAGAGGAGAGGAGAGGCAAGGAGAGCAGGCACAACACCTTGGGGCGGCGCTTGACTGGTTGAGGCAGGGAGCCCTCTGGCAAGAGCTTGCCCTCGCCAATGTGCTCCCTGTCTCGCTTCCTCTTGTGTGCCTTTGCCCCTGCCCCCGCCCCCGCCCCTGTGTGGTGCGGCAGGCCTTTTCCAAAACACGATGCCACGGATCTCACAGCTGCAAGCAGGTGCCACGGCACAGGAGATGAGGTTGGGGAATGGGAGAATGTGAGAGAATGTGAGACTATGTGAGAATCTGGGAAGAGCTTATCTTGCCCTCCCCAGGGTGATCCCTGTCATGCTTTCTCTTGTGCGCCTTTGCTCCTGGCCCCGGCCCGGTCCAAGTGTTGTGCGGCAGGCCTTTTCCAAAACACAACGCCACGGATCTCACAGCTGCAAGCAGGTGGCCGGGCACATGGAGTTAACTTTTGAGTCGACTCAAAAGTCAACTTTCCAAAACATGATGCCACGGACCTCACAGCTGCAAGCAGGTGTCCGGGCGCATGGTTTTGCAGGTGAGGTTGGAAAATGGGACTTGAGAAAACGAGACTAGCAGTGTGCGAGAGGAAAGAACGAGAGGAGGAGAGGAGACAAGGAGGGGAGAAAGAGAGAGGAAAGGAGGAGGAGCAGAGGAGACGGAGCAGGTGCCACGCCCAAAACACTTACCGAGGTTGGGAATGAGCGCCATGACGTCTACAGTAGCCTAGTTTTGACGCGCCCCAAAAATGGGCTATTACAATTGGGTTGGGAATACACTTACCGAAAACACTTGGGTACACAGCCTAAAACACTTACCGAGGTTGGGAATGAGCGCCATGACGTCTACAGGAGCCATGCAGTATGGGCACACCATCTGCACGGAGAGGGCGCGGGAGGAGTGAAAGGAGGGGCGGATGGAGGAGTGGCAGGCAATACACGCGTGGGTGGAGATATTGAACGGCCACTCGCGTATTGCCGTTCACGCGCGGATGGTGAACGGAACACCAAACCACGGCAAGGTGGCTTCAGCACGTATCTAAAGGTCAGGCAGAACACCATAACCTCCCACGGGAAGGTGGGTACAGCGCGGAAATGAATAGCCAACCATAAGCAACCACGGAAGGAAGACAAGCATGAGGGAAGGCGCTACATACCGAGTCCATGACTCTTTTTTGAGTGACTTTTGAGAATTCTCAAAAGTCACTCTAATATAACGCGCCTCAAAAACGACCTCAATGCACGCGGAAGGAAGTCAAGCATGAGGGAAGGCACTACATACCGAGTCCATGACTCTTGCGAGTGTTGCTCCGCCGAAGGAGTGCCCGCATTGAGCCACCATCGCATCCTCAAGCAACGACCCCCTGCAACACACACAACAGCGGTACATGACAGCAGCACACAACAGCAGCACACAACTCAGCACGTCATTCCAGCACTCTCCGCCCAAGGCATGGGAAGCAACACAACATCCCCACTGCACCACCATCGCATCCTCAAGCAACGATCCCCTGCAGCACACACAACAGCATGCAGTTCACTGCGCCATTCCCTCACTATCTGCATCACTCCAACCCTCCCTCTACCTCCCTACATCCCTCTCCTCACATCACCCTCTCCACTTCCCTACCTCCCTCTGCTCCTCCGCCTCTTCCCGAACTCATTCCACTCTTCCTCACCCCCCCCCCAACCCCCGTCCTCAATCCATAAAGCCGCTACTCCTGCGCTCATCCCTCCCTCCCACAAATTCTCTCCTGCTGCTTCCCTTCCTCGCGTCTCTCCCCCCCTCAACGTACGAAACGGGGTCCGAGACCATGGATGCAAGAGAAGACTTCTCCAGCTTGCATGAAACCGCCTGGTGACACACACGCACGGGCAATGTGAGCAAAAAAAAGGGGGGGGGGGGGGGGGGGGGGGGGGGGGAGGAAAGGGGAGGGGAAATCTGATTTGATGAATGGCAATAAGGAAGGATCCTATTGATCATACCCAGCATCCACACGACGTTTCGGGCGAAGTGCAACACTTGGAAACTCATGAGTTGCTGCCCAGCCATGATCGCCCATCCTCGCCCATCCGCGCGCATGATCGCCCATCCTCGCCCATGCTCGCCCATGCTCGCGCGAGGACGGCGCAGCAACCTATCTCCGGAACCAGTGACTCACCAGGCTGGATTCTCTGTCAATGCTTCCCGGGTCAGCGGAGGACGCGGAGAGAGAGTCCATGAAAGCCCCCGCGCACACACTCTCGCGCACGCCCGCAGGCACAGCGTGCCCCGCGTGCGCCAGCACGGCGCAGTCAATCACCGCGGATGGGCGAGGCATGAGGCGGAACGAGAGCGCGCACCTGCAGCAGGCGAGGGCACAGTAGACAGGGTTAGAAAGGCCGAATTGAAATCAGGAGAGTTTGTGGAAAAGGAGGGGGGGGGGGGGGGGGGGGGGGGGGGGGGGGGGGGGAGGAGGAGGGGAGGAGAGGGGGAAGCACGGCGCAATCGATCATGGCGGCCGTTTACGGCATAAGGCGGAACGAGAGCGCGCACCTGCAGCAGCCTGAGGTACAGCAGCCCAAGGCACCACAGCACAAGGGTCGGAAAAAGAAAAAGACTCGGACGGGAGCGTCAAGCAGAAGGAATGACATTCAACCATTAACGTTGAATGACAGTCAACCCATTTCACGACGTTGCTTCCGACGAAGCGAGCGGGAGCATTTAAAAAACAAAGATTTTTAACATAAACTTCAGCAAAAGTTACCGAGTGGTTCCCGAGGAGGCGGGCGGCAGCACGCGGTAGGTGGAGGCGGGGCAGAGCCCGGCCGTGGCGCGATGGAGGCAACGGCCGGCCAGAAGCAGCAGGCTTCCCGGCGGCACGCCCTGATCCGCCGGCGACCACACGCCCTCGGAATTGCAAACCTGCGCGACAAACGGCGAGTGTTACATGTTTACCGAAATCCCTCGAATTTCACACACCTGCCAGCGGCGTGGCTCGCAGCAATGAACATCCCCAGAATTTCTCAACTGTGCGTTGAACAGGGCTGGACAATCCGCTGTACCCCCCAGGTTTAATGGTGTATGCGGGTACCTGGAGGCCTGGAAAATCGGCTGTGACGAGCATGAGAAGGCCCTTTTCAATTTCAGTGGCTTCTGGTGTCACTCTGGCGGAGCCGTCTTGAGGAGATTGGCTGCGCTGGCACGATGCGGCGAGCACGGAGGAGGACACCTCGCCGATCGGCAACGGGCAGTCGTCGAGCAGACTCGAGAAGAAACTGCGAGGAAATGATAGGAGAAAAATGGCAATTCATAAATGTTCCGATGAAAAACACGCACGAAACAAAAACAAAAAAAAAAACAACAACAGAATCGTTGTTAACTGGTGGAACGGGCCAGGCGAAAGCATGAGAAACGCACTCGACGGCGAGAAGACGATACGACATTCTCGGAGCGGACTTTCACATGGCGACTTCTGAGTCGCCTCAACGACACAACCGTCAAAACGTCTCAGAAAACGTTTTGATGCGGGAATAGGAAGACGTACTCGCAGCGGACTTTCAGGTGGCGAGCGAGAGCTGACATGGCGGACCGCGAGACCTTCCCCAAGTACTTGAACGATTCCGCAAACCCCGGCGGGCATGAGTCGCTGATTGCTTCGTTCAACGACCTGCCGGCCTTGTAAAAGTACAGGTCCTTGGAAGGTGCCTGGAAGTATCCGCCGCCGTCATTCCACGCAGGCTGTTCGGGGAATGACGGCGACGATGACGACGACGGATCTGCGCGTCGGCGAAAGTAAAGCCGCGCGGATTCCAACGTTCTACACAACGACGCTGCATCGTGTCGCGCGGGTTCCAAAATCACTGCTCCGTTCTGTGCGAGCGAGAGATACAACGTCTCGGCAGCGCGGGTGAACGACGACGACGGCGGACCGTCTTCTAATAAAAGATCGTCTACGCATATCCTCGGAACGGCACGTGGCGTCGCGAATGCGGCGGTCTGAAATGTTTCAGTAGGCGGTGGTCCTACGGCATTAGCCTGAGCTCTAGCTTGCGAGTTTCGGCCATGAGAGCTACGTTTCCTTGCACTCTTGGGCTGGCATTGCTTGATCACCATTTGCTTGGCAGGAGGCGGTAATATGGCTAGAGGATCATCATGGACTGCGGACGAGGTTGGGGGATGTTGCTGAGTGACGGAAGCGATGGCGGAAGCCATGAGGGAGGATGGGGGAGGGGAGCAAACAAGGGATGGTGCTTCAGATCAATCATGAGATGATGGATGGCCTACAAAACGGAACAGATGCTGCTGCCGTGCTGCTTGACGAAACCCTAATGGATGAAAATGATGATGGAATGGATGATGATGAATGAATATGGATGTGGAAAAAGCGGGAAGAGACGGAAAAGCGGAGAAACGCGAAACAGAAGCGCACTGCAGCAGCGAAGTGAAGGAAACAGGCGACGCTGAAAACGAGGGCTTTCCACCAGAGCAACAGTTCAAGATGCCGCTTCTCCGTTTGCGAGGAGCTGTAACCAGCAGACTTACGTTTCGCGATACTGGCTCGGGACAGAACCGTCAGCCAAAAGCTGCACGCGGTGTCTGAGGGCGTGGGCCCAATCGGGTTTGATCGCGACTGATCTGATCGGGGCGGATCTGATCGGGTTGCTTGTGATCACATTGCCCGAGCCGCACGATCAGCAGAAATTTTCGTAGAGCATTCGCGTTGGCTGCACAGCAAGCGGTGACCAATTACCAGGCATTTTCTGCCCAATTTTAGCGAGAATTGCGAGCAGACGGAACCTCGCGAAAATTTTTGCATCCCTGTAATATCGCCAAACCCACTCCGCACGTCTTGTTCTTTGTGGAATCTTCCACCAATTCGTGAGGGGTTGACGAGACCTAGTAATACAGAGTAACATTTCGCAAGCGTCGCTATGGCCCCGATCAGTAGCGATCAATTGATCGTATGTGATCGAGGAAAATCGACTCTGATCGGGGTGGAAATCGGGTCTGATTGAGTTTGGGCGATCAGCTGATTGCGATCAGCTGATCGCCCCCGATTGCCTGAAAATGGCTTCCAGGGTTCCTGGAAATTATTGATTGCGGCTGATCGAGGCGATCAAACCCGATTGGGCCCACGCCCTGAAAGAGAGTTTTGGCTTCGAGAAACCTGTGGCGAAACCAAGGAGGTCTCGAGATCGCGGTTTTGTGGTGAAGGTCGCGATGACAAACGCGTGGACGACATGCACCAGGCCAAAACGGCAGCCCCTCACAAATTCTGATGGCTCATTCGCAATACAGACCTGTTGGAGATAACTGTCTGTAAAAGGCGCTCTAAGGGCGTGTAACATCGCCGAACCCAGAAATTCGGCCACCATCCGTCGGGCCACCATCCGTCGCTGATTAGCGAGAGTACCCATTGGAAACCCGAACCTCTAAGTACCCGAATGGCCGAAAATCCGGCCACAGGCAAAATTCGCATGTGTGCGGCGATGTTACACGCCCTAATCAGTACAGCGCATGGATAGAGACTTATCACTTGTAATGGCAGGTTGTAGATTAGTAAAAACCACACACAAGATAGAGCAAGCAGAAGCTCCAGCAGAAGCTCCAGCATTAAAGTCTCAATGACAGCTCACAAAAGCAGCTGCCAATCCAAGCAACCTGAACCAGATAAACCCCACACAAAGAGAACCCCAATCGGTTGGCACACACTGACTGCAACGTACCAAAAGACTGATAAAAAACAATGCACTGCAGGTCAGTCAATCAGTCAGTCAGTCGGTCAGTCTGTCAAGTCAGTCAGTCACCAAACTAGACTACAGATTAGACGAGATTAGATGGTCAGAAGCTGGCAATCTCCTGCAGTTAGCCACCACCATGACCTGAATTGTTAGCACCATCCGAGATTGCCTGATGGAGCAGCGACGTAGCTGTTATTGGTGACATCCAGAGTGGGAGAGGGCCAGATTGCTCTGATCTTTGCCTATTGGCCAAATCCGGGGTAGCAAAAACACCCTCCGGCCTGTTGCCCACAACCCCTTCCAAATTCTGCTCTTCACGAGAAGCAAGCAAGGGCTGGTTGGCACGAGGCAAAGGCTGGTTACCACCAGACACACGGTCTTCCCCAGACACCTCTCTTGATTCCTCTTCCATGGCTGCTGCTGCAGCAATCAGTGCTTGAGTCTGCTTGGCAAGGCTTGATCCATGAGCTCCCAGGTATGCATGGGAGTCACGCGGTGCTGCCATATCCGCAGCATTGCTCACAGCAAGATGGCTGGCTGTTGAAGAAAAGGGGGGTTGTTCAAGACGAGCAGCAGGTGCAGGCTCATGAGTACTGGGTTGTGGGGCAGATTCGTCCAGTAGTGCTAGCGAAATCGGTCGGCTAAATTTGTCCTCTTTCTCGTCTTCTTGCAACAGAGCCGACATTTCTGCTGTAGAGTCTGCTCCGTGCTTCCTTTCCATCTGCGCATCTGGACTGCTAGAGAGACAAGTGTCGCCAGTCTCCAGAGTTGTTCCATCTGTCCAAAATAAAATAACATATATTAGGTGTCCGGAAAACAACAAAATAAAACAGATTCAATATGGAATACAGGCCGTGTGACATATCACGGATGGAACTCACCACTTTTCTGAAGAGAGCGGTATTGCAGGCGAACACTTTCCCCAGTGTCAAGCATGCGAACCAAGTACCTGCAAACCCAAGGCAAAGCTAAATCAGTACACGTGACTCAAATTCGTGTGGTGGTGCAGGAGGAAAACAAAGAACATACCAGCCATTCAAGCACTGAGATGTAATGATTGCCTCCCTGCCAAAAAACTTCTCAGGAGTGCGCTTGTTTCCCTGCAACACTTAAGTAGTCGTTAGTAGCCAAACATATTAGAATTTCAAGAAGAACGAAACCCAAACTAATGCCTACCTTGATTAGTACTTTGTCATTCACAGAAAATGGAAACTGTACTCCTTTTGGACGCCCAAACGCATCTCCTTCAAACGAGCCAGTAAGCATTGCATCTTCAGTCTGCTCATGAAACGCATCCAAGCAAGTCAGCATTAATGACCTCAATTTCATTTTATTTCTGAAAATCTGTGAATGTCAAACGCGCAAGACTCAAACCACGGATGCATCACCTTGGTTCTGCGTTTGACAGCTTCAGACGGGTCTTTCCCTTCTCCGAACTCCTTCACCCGTTTTCTCTTCGGGACCTTGACGCCAGCTCCATGTGACAAACCAGGGCGGAAGCAGGACGCCACTGACCTCATGGCTGCAACACAACACACAGCATACAAGATAAATGTTATCTCCGCTGCCTTGAAAACATGTTGGAAATCCTATACACAGAAAGTGAGGGATGTGGATGGGTGGGTCGAGGAAGCAAGGCAGCTTACCTAAGTTGGGAATTAGAGTCATGATGTCTACCGAGGCCATGCAGTAAGGACAAAGCATCTGCATATGGATCCGAATTTGTGAAACATATTAGAATATTTAAAAAGAAAATGCGTGCATGAGGAATGAGACAACTGAGTTCGTCACGCCCATGAAAACATCCGAAGGATAGAACGTTTGAAGGGAAATCTGACAACGCCTGAGCATCTTACAGAGTCAATGACCCTAGACAGCGTCGCTCCACCAAAGGAATGGCCACACGGAGCGATCATTGCATCCTCAAGAAGAGACCCTCTGCAAAAACAGAAACAAAAATGTTTAGGTTATGTATCTGAGACAAAGCCAACATGAAACTGAATATTATGCGTATAAGATACAAACCGCACACTTACGAGGCAGGATCTACAACCATTGAGGAAAGCGAAGCCTTTTCCAGCTTGCACGCAACAGCCTGAACGTCCAAAGAATAAAAGCAAACGTTAGCAGAGTGACACAAAAATTGAAAGACAATGAAATATATAAACGCAGGAGACGCACCATGCTCGACTCCTTCGAATCGCCAGCAGCATCGTGAGCAAACGAGCTTAACGAATCGAGAAACGGGCCAGCGTGAACGACGGCTCGCATGCTCGAGGGGACTGCGTGACCCGCGTGAATCAGCGGAGAGCAGTCAATCGGCGCTGCAGGACGCGGCATCAGGCGGAACGACAACGAACACCTGCGAGAATGTAACAAAACGCCTTAACAATAAGCCACAACATACAGAGTAACCTTTGGAAATAAAATATTTTTACAAATTCATAAAACATAAAACATGAAATGAATGTCAATTTCGCATCTCACCTGGTGGTTCCCGCGGAGGCGGGCGGCAGCACGCGGTAGGTGGAGGCGGGGCAGAGGCCGGCCGTGGTGCGATGAAGGCAACGGCCGGCCAGCAGCAGCAGGCTTCCCGGCGGCACGCCCTGATCCGCCGGCGACCAGACGCCCTCGGAATTGCACACCTGCGCGACAAGCGGCGAACGTTACATGTTACCACTCATCGATAACGAAATAGCGACGAAAATGTAAGCTAATTAAACGGACGGGCTACCTGAAGGCCCGGGAAATCGGCCGTCACGAGCATCAAAAGGCCCTTCTCCGTCTCCGATGCCTCGGACACGCTTCCAGCTGCGTCGTCGGGTTTGGAGTAGTCGCTCCTTTGACACGTCGCGGCTAAAACGGACGACGAAACTTCGCCGACCGGCAACGGGCAGTCATCGAGCAACGCTGAAAAGAAGCTGCAAAAACGCCAGGAAAGAAATAAACAAACAAACAAACGAACACGGAAGTATTAGCGGGCTGAAGCCTTGGGACGAAGAAAACGTAAGGCGCTGTGTACGGATGACTTACTCGCCGCGAAGCTTCAGGTGCCGAGCAATGGCGGACATCGCAAGCCGTGACACGCGTCCAGTGTACTTGAAAGCTTCAGGAAAACCAGGAGGACAAAAATCGTTGAGCCCCTCGCTCATCGACCTGCCAAACACACAAGAAGAAACAGAGATAAACGGGAAAATAAGGGGAAAAACAGGGAAAAAACAGGAAAGTATAAACCAGTATCCTTGTTCTACAGTCTGCAGTATAACAAGTAACTTAAGAACTGAGTGGCGATTGAAACGCATGTTTATGTTCCACACCTTCCAGCCTTGTAGAAATACAGGTCCTTGGACGGAGCGGTGAAATAACCGCCACAGTCGCTCCATTCCGACGGTTTCAGGGCCGACGACTCGGACTCGGCTCTTTTACGAAAGTAGAGACGCGTCGACTCTAACGCTCTACACAGAAGCGCTACATCCTCGCGTGCCGGCTCGATAACCGCCGCGCCGTGGCGAGCTAAGGAAAGGTATAATGTCTCGGCGGCTTTGGTGTAGGACGATGTGGGTGGGCCATCTTCCAACAACAAGTCGGTTGCGGATATCCTGGGAATGCCGCGAGGCGTCAAGCTCGGTTTCGGGAGATTAGGCGGAGAAACTAATTTTCGGACGGTGCTTGGTTGACTGCGTGCTTGCGTGGAACGAGCTAAGGCGCCATGCTTTTTGCTAGACTTGGTTTCTGTAAGCGGTTCGGAACGATAGGGAACTACTTGCTTGACAAGGGACGGGGAGGGGCTGGGCTCGTGGGGAGTAGATGTTGGGGGATGCTCTAGGGGAGGAAAAACAGCCGCCATAGGGGATGGTGGGGAGGAGAAACGGGGAAGAGGGAAGGGGAGGAGGAAAGGAAAGCGGAGAGAAGAAACTCAAGAAGACGGAAAACGTGGCATGGCAATGGCGAACTGAGCAAAAACAGCACGATGAGGGTTTTTTACATCATCTCATGGCAGACTTGGTCACAGACTCCGTTTGCGACGTCTGTAACCAGCGCAGAAAGCCGTCGCTCTGCTGGTTCGGTCGGCTGGGCGTCAGGTTATCGCTTGCCGGGCCTGGCACTCGGCTTGGAACTGCCGTGGGTTCGCGATTTTTTGGCGCAAAACAGCTTGCGTGTTGAGTCATCGAGGGGCAAGAGGAAGATTTTGGCGCGAGATACGTGTGGTTGTGTGGTGACAGTGTGCAGAGAGCAAGACCCTTTTCGTGACGAATGCCACCGAACCATGGGGCCATCAAGTCGAATCGAACCGAGTGGTTGTTGTCTTTGTCAGAAGCTGGACCATGGCTGCACGCTGCACTGCGAATCTGCCATTCTGCTTCGGAAACCCCAGAGCACTCGGAAGTTTTGGCGCCAGAGGGTGGCAGGACCTAGGGTTTCATCACAAAGGCGATGTTCGGCAGCTGGGGATGATGGTGAGGGGCGATATGGATGGGAGGCAATGACGGACGGAGGAGGAGGAGTCACACACGAAGGACATCCGCGCACGCGGTGATTTGTTGGGCCCCCATGGCCTGGATGGGGTTGGTGCAGTTTGATGGCGAAGGGTCCTTGTGGGGATGGCGGCGTGCACGCTGACGTGAAGCTGACGGGGATACTGTATTGGCAAGTTCCGTTCCGTGATTTCAGGCGGATTCACGTGCTGATTGGGCAGGCACTGTGTGAACCAGAACTTTGCTGGGAATGATTCGTTGCAAGTTTAAGACACCTGAAGTCGCAATATAGAAGTCACTTCAAACAACTTCATCTTTATCACTGATTGTTAATAATACTATGGGTGATGTATAAATGCTCCCTAAAACGCACATAATACAAAATCACCAGGCACATACATGATACACAAATACTAACAAACGTATCAAGGGCTAAAAGCAGATGCGCTCTTTGGATGTCGAACCGCATAAGGCCGGTCATTGCGACTTGGGCGTGGAAAATGCAGCAGCCATGGAAACCGACACATACACCACCACAAGATGAAGCAGGGCTCCTGCACCAGTCAAGGAGGCATTAGGAAGAATATCTACGACAATACATTGCCAAACAGCAAGCGTTACGAAAAATGTTAACTCTGGTGGTTACCATACCTGCCATGTCAATGGCAATGCTGGCCGTGGCTATAGCAGTCCAAAGCTGCTCCAGATTATCTGCTCCATCCGCACTGTTGCTGCTGCCACTGCCCCTCACGGTCATCCATTTTTTCTGTCCAAGGGGGTATTGTAATAGACACACAAGAAGGGGGTGACACTTGGGACAACTCAGAAGTCAACTGCGGGGTGTTTTTCTGGTCGATTTATGAGAGAATTTTTGTGCTTTTCCGATGATTAGAAAGGCCCCTACAGTACAAAACGGTTAAGTTTCCCTGTCCAAGGATGGATAGTTGGGCCAACACGAAGTAGGTGGCTCGTGTGCTGGGCTTCTGGGGTGTGTTGGGCTTCTGGGGTGTGCTGGGCTTCTGGGGTGTGTTGGGCACTATGTTGCGTTCGACAACATTCACACATGCAAACGTGAACACTTGCACAGAAGCGCACATGGACACATGCACATGCACGAATGAACACATACGGACATACACACATGCACACATGCGCACCTGCACATATGCACACATGCATGTATGCACACATGCACAAGCGCATACTGACACTCAAGTATACACCAATTCATCTGAAAGCATGCAAAGATGCAGCTGAGCAAGCAAGGCAGAGCGTACCGGGTAGACAAGGGGGCCAGTGAGGAGGGGGAGGAGAGCAGCGAGGCAGGCCATGAGGGAAAGTGTGCCGTACAGCTTGAGCACTCGCGCCCGTGATGTGCCAGATGCTGCAGTGAGGCATGGGGCGGGAGGGCAGGGAAAAGGCGTGGGATGAGGAATTGAGTGGGGCAAGAGGACGCTTGATTGAAAAGACCGATGAAGAGAGCAGCACAGGAAATGAGGGAGAGTGTGGCGTACAGCTTGAGCACTCGCGCCCGTGATGTGCCAGATGCTGCAGTGAGGCATGGGGCGGGAGGGCAGGGAAAAGGCGTGGGATGAGGAATTGAGTGGGGCAAGAGGACGCTTGATTGAAAAGACCGATGAAGAGAGCAGCACAGGAAATGAGGGAGAGTGTGGCGTACAGCTTGAGCACTCGCGCCCGTGATGTGCCAGATGTTGCAGTGAGGCATGGCATGGGACATGCGAGGAGTGGGGCATGGCATGGGACAGTGGCTTTTGATTGGAAGAACTGCTGAAGTGATAAAAAAGGCAGGCCATGAGGGAACTACTCAACCCAACCCATCCCCTAGTACTTCACCACAACTTTTATTTGAAAACCCCATTCTAGGGTTTCCAAACAACAACTCGATTTTGGACTTCTCTACAAGCAAGTTCTAGGCCTACTAGTACCAACCAAGGTTTCCATGGCTGAAAAATTGAATACAACCCCACCCGATGGTATTGATCCAGTAAGCATGTCGAATCTGCACCACCCCCTCAACCTCTCTTACTAACCCTCCTGTTCCAAGATTTTTTTACCCCTGCCCGGGATTTTTTATGCCTGCCCGCCAGAGCGTCAAAGTGGGAGTACACCTCGGACAGGGGGTGTCAAGAGCGTCAAAACGCCAGCCGCTAGCGTTTTGACTAAGAGTCAAAACGCTGAGGGCGTAAATCCACCATAGGTAGGGATGGCGCATAGGATAGGGGCATGAGAAGAGTGCGGCACAGGATGGGCCGGATGGAGGCATGATAATGACCTTAACTAACAGGACCTTAACTAACATGACCTCAACTAACATGACCTCAACTAACATGACCTCAACTAACATGACGAATGGGCAAAGAAGGGGAGGACAGCATAAAGCTTGAAGGCAAGGAAGAGAAACCTGTCTGGGTCCGCTGTGGGGGGAAGGAAGGCAGGAGGGGGAGGAAGGAAACGGGCCATGAGAGTAGTAAGCACCTGTCTTGCATTCACAAATGCTCATGGGCGAGCGTGGAAGGCGTATTTCTCACCTCGCACAGAGGCAGATGTTTGCCACGACCCTGAAGAAAGGGACACTGTCTTGCGACATCAAGTGAAGGATATCACCAATGGGGTTTATGGGTGTTCGATGGTGGGGAAGAGGTTTAAGGTTAGGATTGAGCCGAGCTTAAGAAAGGACGTGGAGAGTCTACTTGGTGACGAAAGACATGATGTAGGCATTTACGATGAGCAGAGTGAGGCTGGCAGGGCGTCCGAACTCAGACATGTTCTTTCTAGGGCGCAAGCTGCCAGTCTTTCACAAGTTCATCACCCCCGGGGAGCTTTTGACGGTTTCCTCAAACTCCACGGGGGCGATGAACTTGTGAAAGGCTGGCAGCTTGTGCCAAGAAAGAATGTGTCTGAGTTCGGACGCCTTGCCAACCTCACTCTGCTCATCGTAAATGCTTTCATCATGCCTTTCGCCACCAAATAGTCTCTCTTCTCCGTATCCTAAGTTTGGCCCTATCCTAACCTTAAACTTCTCCCCACCATCGAACACTCATAAACCTCATTGACGATGTCCTTCATTCGACGTCACAAAGCGAGGGACCCTTGCCCCAGGATCGTGGGAAGCGTATGCCCCCGTGCAATGTGAGAAATACGCCTTTCATGCTCGCCCATTAGCATCTGTGGATGCAAGACAACCGCTAATTACTCTCACGGCCCGTTCCCTTCCTCCCCCTCCTGCCTTTTGGTGAGACTAAACGGGTGCCTTCGAAACTGAACGGGTGGATTTTTTGTGAGACTGAATTGGTGTCTCAAAAGTAACCCAGTTTAGTGGCACCTAAAAGCTACCCAGATTTCCAGTGAGAGCCGCAGCTGCTCCCAGTGCTGCTGCTAACGACTCCTTCACATCCACCTGCAACGCCACTGCTCGCCCACCCGTGCTGCTGTGCTCTGCTTGTGGTGTTGACTTGACACACGTACCTAGATTCCCCGTCAGAGCTGCTGCTGCTCCAAGTGCTGCTGCCAGCGACTCCTTCACGTCCACCTGCAGCGCGACCGTTCCCCCATGCGTGCTGCCGCGCAGTCGTGCTGTGATAAGAGGGCGGGCCATGAGCGCGGCTGCTATGAGGACACGCAGGAAGGAGTAGATCGACTGGCGGGGGTGGGGGGGAGGTGGTGGAGAGGGGTGGGGAAAGGCGAGACATGACAGTATGAGCTCAAACATGACTGCTCCCCCATGTGCTATGAGCGGGAGAGGCCACTATGAGGACTCGCAGGAAGGAGTAGAGTGAGAGGCAAGGGAGAGAAGGTTGGAGGGACGGACAGGGTTGGCGGATGGGAGGAACAGATTGCTATTCGGTGATATCTCCGTAGGTGCAGAACGATGCTGCTTGATTTTGTTATGACCCTCAGATCCCATAGTCACCCGAAACTGTGCCGGCTACGTGAATGATTTTCCAATGTTGTTGGAACTCTCAAGGCTACAGGATTCGGGTTTTGTGATGCTTCAGCTCAGGATTGGATGCGGTGATGCCGATGTTGTTCAGTGTTGCTCAAAATCCAACAACATTCAGATGTCGCACGTTGATTCCCACCTGCAGTGTCGTCAGTAGTCTCAATCTGCGACGACCCTCAGCTGCCTTCTTGTATCCTGCACCACACCACACCGCACAGCACCGCACAGCGTCGCACAACAACGCACAGCACCGCACAGCACAGCTCAGGGAACACGCAAGATGGCGAGAGGCGACAACGCAACCGGCAACGCGTCGCACGCAGACTTAAAGGAGCGTGAGGATCAACCAGAAGGAGCGAGCACACTAGAAGGTCGCTATTGTCACATCGCACTAGGCACAACTCATTACTCTCACAACTCACTGTTGTCACAACTCACTGTTCTCACGACTCACTATTGTCAACGGACATGCGGTACTGAAAGTCGAAGCCTTCATTCTCCCGCTTCACCCCGCCGAACCTGCCTCTCGCCGCCATGCCTGCACGCCTTGTTCGACTCTGGTGATGCTCCGTGCAAACTGAAACGCTTCGGTGAAAAATTTTATGTTGGAGATTTCACAAACACTCTGAGTCAATAGTCGCCGCTTCTTCGAAACGAGGTGGCGATCACTTCACATCGACTCAAAAACAACCTCGGGTCAGCGCAAAGCCCCGTCTAACACGCTATCACCGGACTGCACCGACGCGTGTAGAGGCTAGCAGGAACGATCGGGATCGGGCCAAGAGGAAACCGCGCGTTCCTGACTATATCGACGCGGGCTGCGGACTGCTTTCAGACCAGAATTCGGTATTGCCGAATGATGAAGTGCAGACTTGATTGTGGGTGGGAGATCTGTTGCGAAATTTGAACGCGTTATTGTGAGTCTCTTTTGCGTCACTCGGTTGCGTGATTCGGAAATTCAGTGGGCTTTAAAAGCGGGTCGATGCAAAAATTCTTGGTCTGGTGCCTACAATCTTTACCTGCTGTTCTTTTAAGCATATATAGTTGTCAAAACCATTCGAAGCATCATCGTCTTTGGCCTAACATATTGTCCCAATCAACGTCCCGCACATCCATAGTCTCACCTACAACTATCCTATCCCTACCAACAGCAGTATCGTCTTTTTGAGCAGCTTCAGCCTCCTTCCCTGATAAATGACTAATACCATTCGTTACAGAAATCAATCCGCTGTTCCTAACACTTGATTCAGCGCCAACAGTGGGCTGCGATGGAGGTACGTCCACGGGACACAAGCAATCGGGAGCAGGATACGTGTAGATGGATTGTCCAGGACGCCTCGGCTTTATCTTGCCCATCCGCGACCGATGCCCGATCCGAACTGCGCGAACGAACTCGTTCCAGTTGAGGGCGTTTGGAGGAGCCGCAAGCAGCGTTGCCAGGAGTGTACCATTGAAGTTTATCGTCTTTAAACCGCCAAAGTAGGCACGATGTGCGGCCTGGAAAACGAAACGTATCAGGAAACAACATGCCAGTGTAATATACGGGGATGCTTTGAGCAGAGGGTAAATATACGACAATGACTGCTAGGGAGGCCACACCTGCGATTTCATACTTCATTTCGTGCCATTTCTCACGTCCAGCACTCCATCCATCGCCGCATGAGGTTGTACCTTACCATATTGCTACCATGCCATGCCATGCCATGCCATGCGACTCACCATCACACATTATCTCAGCATACTATGGTGATTGCCGGCTCACGTAGAAGTCCAGCGCAGCCAGCAGCGACGCCCTCCCTTGCTTACCCTTCCTCCTCTCCCCACCTTCCCATCAAGGTAAGCCTAAGTGCCTCACCATCACATTATGCATGTTGCCCAGAGAAGCAGACACAAACACGTCGCTGTAGCGGCTGACATAGAAGTCCAGTGCTGCCAGCAGCGACGCCTTCCCCAGGAACGGCCTCAACTCCTCCTCCGTCGCCAGGCTCGTCTTGTCCTCCAGCCACGGGAACAGGCGGCGTAGGGGAGCAATGCGCTTCTCACCCCCATACACCTGCAGGGGAAGGGGAAACAGAAGTGACATATGGTGTTGAGAGGCCGCAGCTCTTGCTCCCTGGCCGGGGCCCAGGCTCGTCATGTCATTGGGTGTGAGGGGGCACTTGCCCGCCAGGCGCAGCTCAGAGAAAGCTGCACGCACCCACATTCAGCATGACCGGGTACCAACAGACTCACCTGATAAGTTGCCACATAGAGCCTTGTCTTGGCAGAGAAGCCGAGAGCTGCCAGCACGAGCCCCACTTCTTCTGGTGTGAGCGGGCACTTGCCCGCCAGGCGCAGCTCATCGGAGGAGAAGCGCAGCTTGTCCACTCGGCCCAGCCATGCATACTCCCTATACTTCGAAAGGGCTTCTCGCTCCGCCCAGGTTTCGCCATAGTCACACGCCGAGTGAGCCACCATGTCCTGGGGAGGTGAGGGATGGATAGAGTTTGGGGGCGGTTGGAGGGGGTTGGGTTAGTGGTAAAGATGGATTATAGACGGAGAGGTTTGTGTAGTGATGTTGAATCTCAGGTGCCTCCCATCCTCACCATGTCGAATCTCAGGTGTTTCCCATCCTCACCATGTCAAACCTCAGGTGCATGGCCACATATTTCTTCCTCTTTCCCTCCTTGCGCCCCCACCCCACTCCCTTATTCAGCAGCGGCCGACCACTCAACAACCCACTGCTGCCACCCCCATCACTCTCCTTACTGCTGCCACTGCTGCCACTGCTGCCACCCCCATCACTCTCCTTACTGCTGCCACTGCTGCCACTGCCGCTGCGGATCCCGCCTGGACTGCCCTCCCCATCACCAATGTCCCCCCCTTCATCACTCTCTTCTATCTGCGACAAACCATCCACGGGACCCCCCTGTGCATCCAGCACAACGCCCACCTCCACTTTCCTGTCTCCACTGCTGTTCCCCACACTGCCGTTCCCAGTTATCACACTCCCTGCACTCGCGTTTCCTGCTCGCTCTGTCGCCGCTCGGCCCCCTCTCCCTGCTCGCTCTGTCGCCGCTCGGCCCCCTCTCCCTGCTCGCTCTGTCGCCGCTCGGCCCCCTCTCCCTGCTCGCTCTGTCGCCGCTCGGCCCCCTCTCCCTGCTCGCAACGCCCGTCTCACTCTCTCCCTCGCCGCCTCGTCGATCACCCCATCTTCACTCCAAAACGCCCCCTCACTCCCCTCCTCCGAGTCCTCCTCTCCAATCCAGCCCACCACTGCTCCACCTCCTTCACCTCCACCTCCACCTCCACCTCCCTTCGCCACCACACTTCCTCCGCGCCCCTCTCTCCTCTCTCCCAACTGACTCTCCTGCAGCAGCCTCCTCTTGCCCCCACCACCGGCAGTACAACCCAGGCCTCCATGGCTAAAGAAGCCCATTAGCCTCCGCCCTGCATACCCTCCCTTCCCCCCTTCCTCATCCCCATCCGCCTCCTCCTCCCCTTCCCCCTCATCCTCCTCCACTGCTTCAATACCACCTTTGCTCCCTTGCTGCGAGGCACTAGTAACAGCAGCAGCACCACTTGCACCAGTTGCACCACCACCACCACCACCACCAACGCCCCCACCACCACCACCACCACCACCATCACCACCACCACCACCACCACCACCAACGCCCCCACCACCACCACCACCACCACCACCACCAACGCCCCCACCACCCCCATCACCACTATCACTCTCACCAGCGTCGTCACCCTCATCACCACCACCATCTGCACCAACGGATGCCCCAGTCAGGCCTTTTCCATCTTGAATCACCTCCACCCCAGCAACAGCTGTCCCATCGCTTCCACCCATGCCCTCCTCCTCCCGCCCTCTCTTCCTCTCGTCTTCCCCTGCAAGAATCTCTTGAGATGTTTCCTTCGACTCCCCTTTGGCTTCACTCACAACCTTCGCCCTCTCTCCACCCTCTCCTGCAGCATCTCCAGCAGCAGCACCAGCACCAGCCTCCTCCTGCAAGGCTCCCACCATCTCCGCTGCTACCTCTGCTGCTTTCTCTGATTCCTCATCTGCTTCTTTCTCCGCTGCTTTCTCTCCACCCTCCCCAGCATCAGCACCAGCAAGACCCTCCTCCTGCAACTTCCCCACCATCTCAGCTATTTTCTCTGCTGCCACCTCTGCAGCTTTCTCTGATTCGTCCACTGCTTCTTTCTCTGCTGTTTTCTCTCCTTCCCCTGCTCCCTCCCCAATCCCTACCACCTTCCCCTTGCCACCATAGCTCGAGACATCGCCTCCCTTCCCAAACAGCACGCCTCGCTTCACATGCCGTCTGTTGGGGTCCCTCAGCCGTTCCACTAAAATCTTCCTGGGAGGAAAAAAAAGTTACATTATGGGGGCCCAGGACAAAAAAAGAATGAGTGAGAGAAAGTAAGGGTTGTACGTTTGAGCCTCCTCCACTCACCCGAGCCTACTCCACTCACCCGAGCCTACTCCACTCACCCGAGCCTACTCCACTCAGCCAAGCCTCCTCCACTCAGCCAAGCCTCCTCCACTCAGCGGAGCCTCAATCACTCACCCAAGCCTCAATCCCTCACCCGAGCCTACTCCACTCACCCGAGCCCCCGGACGGGCTCCACGAATCACAGTGCACGGAAATTGACAAGCAGCGCAGGCGCTGCACGTCTGCGCTAAACATCTGGTCACCCTTAAAACCGTTTTTTACCCGAGCCTCCACTCACCCGAGCCTCCTGACAGGCTCCACGAATCGCAGCGCATGGAAGTTGACGCGGCAGCGCAGGCGCTGCACGTCTGGAGGCAAGCCATCAAAGGCGAGGCGGTGGGTGAAGGGGGCTATTGCCACCACGCCGTGGCTGACAGGGGTAGGTAGGAGAAAGGGGGGAGAGAGGGGGGAGAAGGGGGCACAAGCGCTATACGACTCGAGGCGGCTTTTGAGTCGACTCAAAAATCACGTCTGGAGGCAGGCCGTCAAAGGCAAGGCGGTGGGTGAAGGGCGCTATTGCCACCACGCCATGGCTGGTGATTGGTGGGTGGGGGGTGTTGGAGCGAGAGGAGGGGGGAGGGAGAGAAGGATGAGGAATTAGGGGCAGTCTCTAAGCAGCCCGTCAAAGGCAAGGTATGGGGGGAAATTTTCCCAAACGAGCTCAGAAATTCATCACTTAGCTAAGTGATATCCCAGCACTTAGCTAAGTGATATCCCAGCACTTACCGCTGCAGCTTTGGCAGCACGTTCTTGAGGTACCAGGCCGGGGAGGCGTGGCGTGCATGAGGGCGAACTTGATGCGGTTCTCATGCACGCCCGTGCTGTAGAACTGAGAGACTAAACACTTGCTCAGTGCCTGCCAGCACTCACCGCTGTAGCTTTGGTAGCACGTTCTTGAGGTACCACTGAGGCGTGGCGTGCATGGGGGCGAACTTGATGCGGTTCTCATGCACGCCCGTGCTGTAGAACTCCCTCGTGCTCCACCGATACTTGTGCGGCAGCTGCCTCACTATCAGCACGTCTCGCTTAAGATAGCGCATGAAGTGCTCTATATCGAATATGTCCTCGAACTGGCTGGGAACGGGGGAAGAGGAGAAGGGGAACAGGGGGAAGGGAGGGTAGGTGGGGAGGAGAGGCACATGAGGGGCTCGTGAGAGGAGGGAAATGGTCCGCTTTGGATCCAGGAGCTCTTTTATTTTCTTAAGGATGAGAGGCTGCCGGTGTTCTGCTGCACCTGGTTCAGGTCTGTTCTGCTACACTTACTGCTCTAATTTCCTTCTATGAGGCACTGCTGTTTCAATCATGTCAGCAGCAGGCGATGTTCTTCCTGTAATGTGTTCTCTACAAGCACTTTTACCTGTCGTCGAGCCACACAGGGTTGATTTGAAAGTGCGGTATGAGCAGCGTGGCGTTGAGCAGGCGCGCCACTGCCACTGCGTTGCAGATCTGCCACGCGCAGAGAGGCAGCGAGGGAGGAGTGGAGAGACATTGACATCTCGAGTCGACTAAATGAGCCATAACTTGCCCAGGCGAGTACCACAGGAGTTTGAGTTGAATTGATAGAGATGGGTGCAAATTACTGGATATGGCTCCAGAACAATACAGATGGGTGGGGTTGTATACAGGTGGGTGCAGATGGATAGAGACGGGTGCAGCACGGCTTACGCTGATGCGTTGCTGGTTGAGGCCGCCATCTAAGAAAACCTGCAGGTACCCTGTTGACTCGTACAGAGGCGCTTCTACAGGCAGGCACGGGAGGGAGGCATGAGGGGGGGGATTTAGATTTTCCAGGAACACCTGCAGGTATGTACCCAGTTGACTCGTACAGAAGCGCTTTTGCCGGCAGGCAGGCACGGGAGGCCAGGGTGGCAATAAAAGGGAGTTTCAGAGTCTCAAAGAACACCTGCAGGTAGGTACCCTGTTATGTTGTCTCGTACAAATGCGCTTCTGCAGGATGGAAAGGAAGGGCAGTATGCCAAGGAATCTTTGAGATTCCTAAAGAATGCAGGTAAGGGGTGCTTGTGAGAGAGAGAGATATCAATAGATTATCCAAGAGAAGACCTGCAGAAGCGGGTCTGCAGGTACGCGACGAGGGGTGCCACAACAGTGGGAGAAGGGACAAAAAAGGCGTTGAATGGGCAAGTCTGTAAACGGGGAACTTGTGAGTTCAAAAAGCCTTTCCTCCAGAGAAGCGTTAACGGGCAGGCCATGGAGAGGCATGGTGACACTGTGTGAAGACCCAAAAACTCCTGACTCTAAAGAGGTAACTTGGGGAGTATAGGGGAGGACAGGTAACAGGCATTGGAGTTGAGGGAGAATAGGGGAGCTCAACCGAGCACAAAAAAATAACACCTTTCAAAAAGGCAATTTGGATCTTGGTGAACGCAGGGACACAAACAAAAAAGCCAAGAATGTGAGTGAGCTGTATTGTTATTCAAATCTCACTGACTCACCAGCGTATGCTGGGGAGGGTCGCACACACTGCTGCCACTTGCCCTTCACGGGGTTGTCCCACAACGTTGCTGGCTCACGCGCTCTCTGCAACCACAGGGAGTGGCGCACGACACAGAGGGTATGGAAAACAAACGGCCGATAGATAGACAAGAGGTGGAGGAATTGGGCGCGAGGAAGAATCGGCAGCGCAAGAGAGGGAGGCCCATGACGCGGAATTGAAGTGTTGAACGGAGGTAAAACTGCAGAAGCAGGTAGAGAATGGTCTCGGCAGACAGCTGCGAATGGTGGAAAGGAATGCTGCAAGGTAGTACGGTGCTTCAAAGCGGTGCTGCAAGGTGGTACGGGGTGCTGCTGTGGTGCTTACACTGGCGAAGCGGGCCTTGATCAGCTCAGGATGGTCGCCCGTGGACAGACCCCACCACCACTGCAGGCGGGGCACATAGGGTGATAGGGAAGGTGCACGAAGAGAAGAAAGGTAGTGTGTTTTGAGTTGATTGAAATGGTTTATTCAACTTGTGTTTTGACTCAAGGAGCACGCGCTCCCCCGTGGACGCACCCCACCACCACTGCAGGTCACACGAAGTCACAGAGGGGGGTGTAGGAAGAGGAGGGACAAAGTATATTCTGAGTACTTAAAGCCGGCAGCCCAAATTGCACATGTTTTAAAAAGTTGACGGGAGGGGAGTTTTACTGGGTTGGGTTTTGGCGAGCGTTACTGATTTCGTTCAAGTCGTTTTTTTCGCCAAACCCAGCCAGCCTCTAGTGTTTACACTGGTGTGAGTGTGTGAGACCCGAAAGTCCCAAATTGCAGCCGCGCTTCTTTTCAAAAGCTTGCAGAACCAACTTCGTCAAGTTTTAAAAACTTGACCCGCGCGGTCCGCAATTTGGGCCGCGGGCTTTAAGCTCCTCATGAGGCATGTACGTGAAGCAACACCGTAGGCATGCATGGTCTGGAGCCCTTGAGGAAGATGACCCATGTGTACGTACGCATAACGTGAAGTCTTTGTGAGAAATGACCCAGGCGTACGTACATATGGTCTGGAGCCCTTGAGGAAGATGACCCACGCGTACGTGACGGAGCAGAGCGCGGCGACGAGGAACGTGGAGCGGATCGTGCGGTAGCTCAGCTGCTGCCGTCGCGCCTTCGCCTTGCGCTGCAGCCGCCGCTGCAGACGGATGTTACCGGCCATCGTGACTGTCTGAAACTTAAAAAATCCTCTCGGCCTAAGGAAGTGAATACTGAGTCAATCTAGGAGTCACCCTGCTGCAGAAGAATGCTTCCGGGCATCGTGACCGTCTGGAGCTTCAGATTTCTCTCAGCCTAAGGAAGTGAATTTTGTGTCGATTCGGAAGTCACCCCCCTGCAGACGAATGTTGCTGGGCACTGAGGCTGGCTAGAACTCTATATTCTCTCAGCATATTTGCTAACAAAAGTCACAAGTTTGTTACAAGTTGTTCTAAGCGTCTCAGACTAACTGCATGTGAATGTCAACAGGCATCGTGTGTTCTAGAATCTAGAGTCACTGACTGGCACCTAGGGACGCATCTGGACCACATACGACTTTTGCAGGCGATCTACAGATGAATGCAACAGAAACGTTACTCGTCGAACATCCGAAGTCTGAGGTGGCCGATATTACTGGCCATGGTTTCTTTTAGCCGCTGGTTCTCGGTAGAGCTAGTCCAATTCGTGTTACACGCTCACAAGTCAACTTGACGACTAGCTGTCAGCGTAGCCAAAATATCAGCTGCGACTACAGCGAGATCTAGTGCGAGGCAATGAAACGACAAGTCTACGTAATGCTCCGAATAACATGGCTCCTACTAGGAGCAGAAGCTTACTAGTCACCGAATGGGAGTAGTAGTCACGTAGTAATCAATATAGTCTCTGCTTTCTGACAACAGGCTCCTGTCAGATATAACCAGAAACGATCACACGAAAACGACCACAGGGAACCGATTTCGAAACGGTTTGATGCCCGCAGGCTCCTGTGAACGCTACTGTCTCCTCAATCGCTTAAGACTTCCGGGCGAACGGACTGGCGAGAGAGCAACAGCAAATACGGACACAGCCGCGAAGTTGGCCGAGACGCACTGGCGATCTAATGTCATCAAACGAGAGCCTTTGGCGCTGCTAAAAGGGTGTTTTACATTACACATTAATCGTAGTAATCGCCTTCACCTGGCGGAGTGCGCGCAAGCTCGGGGACAGATTCACAAAGCAGCCTAGCAACTACGCTATCACTCTTGCTGGCTTCATATGAGTCCGAGCAAGTGAGGTTGATGAATCTGTCAGAGGTTTCATGCCGCTCTGCCTTCAGAGTAGCGAGCAGCAGCAGGTCTTGGACAGCCTCGAGAATTGAAAGCTGATCGGACAGAGCAGGGACGGTCTAAAACGGTACAGTACGATCTGGTCGGTCTGGGGTCGATTTTTGCGATTTGATGACGGATCTCGTGTGCACGTCCTAGAAGATGCTGCCTAGTGTCTGATCCGCCAATCGCCTTCTCGACCCTGAACTCTTCATGCTGTCATTCAGTACGGAAAAAGTACGAATGATAAAACTTAAGTAACATCTCCATTCCAGCATTTTACATCTGGCTGATGCTAACCATCCGATGGATATATCTAAATGATGAGAGACATTTATTTTAGTTTTATTGTGATTTTTTCGCTGATATGACTATTGTATTCTTCTTGTTTGATAAATGGAATGAATGAGGAGAGCAAGATAAGGAAGTGAAGGTCCATCGATCCATACCTTGAAATTAGAAGGCTTCACCTTGTAACGAGCTACATTTGTTCCTCATCAATCCGATCGCGGCTCCCTAGGTAGGGTGCATGCACCTGGCCGCATTGTTGTTGCCAATTCCCGCCAATTTTGTCTGGTCCTCGTAGTAGCCGCTAAAATCCTGGGAAGGCTCGCTCCTTCAGAGCTCTTCCTTTCTGTGCCACGCGGCAGGCTCGCGCGATGCGGGCTCACGCCGCGTCTTTCGCGTGTCACTGATTCTATTGGAGAATAGCGAATATGGACCTCCTTCTTAACTCCCAGTCGTGACTGGAGAACGAAATGCTCGTTTCCATAGCCGATACTCTTCCGCCTCGTCACTAGCTTTCAGCATCCTGCAGTCAGAGCTCCCGTTAGTTTATCCATCTCGTCCTACTATCCCTCCGCATTGCATTATTCAACTCTTTAGGAAAAACGAAATGGCAGTCGAAGCCATGCTGCAGGCAGTCGCTGTACCATTTTCTCCTACACCGCATTTCGCCAGCGCCAGATTGTACCAGCCGTCACTCGCTACCGCAGCGCCTCATAACGCGTACAGAACTCTCACCGCCGCGCAACGTCGATGTCTCGTTCCAAAGCGTTCCAAACCCGCGGTCGCGCCGCCAGCCAGGCCACTGGTGGTGGCGGCGGCGGGTGCATCGGACTCTTCCAGGATTCCCGCGGGCAACGTCAGCGAGTCCGACGTGGCATTCGTGCGGCAATTGCGGGTGGTACTCGCGGAGAACGGGCTGTCGGAGCAGAACCTCCCAACGATTAAGGAGGTCGCGTCGCTCGGCGGGTAAGGCGCAGTTCGCAGTGGTACTAAGTGGTGCACGCAGTGACACTCAGGGGTGCACGCATTGGCGCCTAACGCTTTTCCTCCTTTCCCTCCTCCCTTCTCCGCTCCATTTCCCCGTACCTCACCCTTCTCTTTACCTTTACAACTCCCCTCTCATACCACCAACCCCACCTGGTCCCCTCCCCTCTCCCCCCGTCCCCCAGCGCATTGCTGGCGGGGACCATGCTCACAAGGGGGTACAGGCGGGTGCACTGACGCCGTGTCCTATTCCGCTTCCCCCCACCCCGCACTCTCCCCTCTTACTCCCCTCTTTTCCGCCTTCCCGCGTCCCCCCAGCGCCTTTCTGGCGGGGGCCATGCGCACGAGGGGGTACAGGCGGGTGCACGAGCTTTTGCAGCTGGTGGCGGACAATGGGGGGAAAGGGGAGGAGGCGGAGGGGGCGGAAGTGGTGGATGGGCAGGGCGGGAGGGTGGAGAGCTGGTCGTTAGGCTCGGGGCCTGGTTCGTTAGGCTCGGGGCCAGGCTCGGCAATGTCCATGGCGCAACAGAAGGCGAAGGTGCTTCAGCAGCGGATGCAGCAGAGGTGAGTGCGTGGGTGGGTGGGTGGATGTATGCGTTGTTAAAGGAATTTCTGGGAGGGTGTGTGTGTGTGTGTGTGTGTGTGTGTGTGTGTGTGTGTGTGTGTGGGGTGGGTGTGTTGTTGAGGGAAGTGCCTCTGACGGTATGTAGGAGGAGGCTCTGAGGGATTTGTGTCTATTTCATAAGTAAATCTATGGCCGTCCATACCATACACATCCTATCCCATTTCCCCCCACTCCCTCCCTCCTTCCTGCCATCTTATCTTGACCTCCCTCCCACCCTCCCCTCCCTCCCCCTTCCCCCTTCCGCCTTCCCCTTCCCCCTTTCCCCTTTCCTCTTCCGCCTCCCCATCGTTTTCTTTCCCCAGGGGCCTTCTATCCTCGTCTGAAGCACCTTCGCTACAACCACAATCCAGCAACAGCGAAGCAGGCCTTACCTCCTCAGCACCCTCGTCTTCTCCACCTCCCTTCCGCACTCCCCCCTCTCCCTCCGCCTCCTCCTCTCCCCCTTCCCCCTCCCCCTCCCCCTCCTTCAACCCCTCTTCCACCCCCTTCTTCTCCTCCTCCCCTCCCTCTACCTCTACCTCTCCCTCCCCCTCTCCCTCCGCCTCCCCCTCTCCCTCTCCCTCCCCCTCTCCCTCCCCCTCCCCTTCCGCCTCCTCCTCTCCTCCCATCACCCCCATCTCCCTCTCAAGCACCCAAGGCACCAGCAGCGGTGATAGTGACACTGACGGTGGTGACAGTAACGAAGGTGAAGGCTACATCGCACCGGAAGTGGCCTGGCTGTTCCCGAGCCTGAATCTCGACCTGAGCAAGCTGGACTCAGCCAGCGAATCAGAGAGTGACGCTGGAGCGGAAGAGGAGGAGGGAGCGGAGGTGTGGGAAGGAAAGGGAAAGGTGGAGAGGGGTGGAGTGAGGGCGCAAGAAGGAGGGATCAAGGAGGTAGAAAAGGAGCATGAGGAGGAAGAGGCGGAGGAGGAGGAGGAGGAGGGAGGAGGAGGAGGAGGAGGAGGAGGAGGAGGAGGAGGAGGAGGAGGAGGAGGAGGAGGAGGAGGAGGGGGGGGAGGGGAGGAGGATAGCTTCTGGAGGAGCAGAATGTACGATGGTATGCCTGACGATGCACGCTCGCAGTACCAGGAGGCTCGCGAGTCGTCGATCAACCGGTCGGCCATCCAGTCAAGCGACACGTTCCTCTCCTCGCCTGCTTACAACACGCCCCGCGCCCGGCCTCCCCCTCCCGCCCCCGTCACTCCTTACGAAGCTTCCTCGAACCTTTCATACGATTATAGGTATGAATTGACAGAGGGATGCTGAGTGTGTATTACCATCCCTACACTGGTCCCCCTACACTGGTCCCCCTACCCTTGTCCCCCTACCCTTGTCCCCCTACCCTTGTCCCCCTACCCTTGTCCCCCTACCCTTGTCCCCCTACCCTTGTCCCCCTACCCTTGTCCCCCTATACTGGTCCCCCTACCCTGGTTCCCCTACCCTGGTCCCCCTATACTGGTCCCCCTACCCTGGTCCCAGAGGGACGCTCAAAGTCACCTCGAACCTTCTGTACACTGATCCCTCTATTTCTAATGAGGTGACTTTGAGTCGACTCAAAGGTGTACCCTGGTCCTCCCTCCTACCCCTGATGACTCTCTCCCTCTCCACATATTCGAAGTTGACGCAAGTTACACACTTTGATTCCGTTACGTATTATATGTCAACTCAAAACCTACGCCCCTCTCTTTGCCCCTCTCTCTGTGCCACTGCGTCTCAACCTATACACCACTGGCAGCAGCAGGAGCGAGGGGAGCGGGGGCAGCAGTGGGGGTGCGGGCGAGGGGGAGTGGGCAGGGGGCATGGAGGCGTGGGAGGCGGAAGCAATGGCGGAGGCAGAGAGGCTGGCGGCCAGCAAGGGAAGGTACAACAAGGTGGGCAGGCAGCTAGGTGTGCAGGCAGCTAGGTGTGCAGGCAGGCAGAGAGATTGGCGGATAGACTGGTAGACAAGTGGACAGTCAGGTGGGATACCAGGGGGCAGTCAGGTGAAAGAGCAGGGGGCAGGGCAGCTAGGTAGGAGCGAACCCGGCAATGTGGGAGGGTGAATGGTGGAGGCAGAGAGAGACTGGCGGCCAGGCGGGTGAGCGAATGGCAACCATTTGTGTGAGAGGGAGGGGAGCAGGTAGGCAGGTGAGAGAGGAGTGGAGAGGCAGGAGGGAGAGGAGTGGAGGTTGGGACTCCTCTCGTTCTGGAAAATGTCCGAGGATCTGCGAACAGTTGGGGTTGGGACTCCTTTCATTCTGAGGTGCCGCGACTGCGAAAGCAGTCAGGTGGGGAAGGTGGATGAATACTGGTTACTTGCTTGCTTGCTCGCTCGCATCACCTTTCTTGTCTTGTATTGCTCAGTGTTTCCATCCCACCATCCCTTCTTCTCTTCCCTTCTCTTCTCACCTCCGCTTGCCCAATTCAATTGCCATCCAGTCCATTCCATTTTTCTCCTTTGTTGTTTTCCATTTCCCAATGTCTTTCTTCGCAACACTACCGTTCCCCTCGTCCATCTCCCTCCAGGCGACTCTCTTTTCAGAGGAAGCAGAACTGGAGCTCGAGAGAATCAAATCCCTGCTGGTGAGCTGCAGTGATTGCTGGTGAGCTGCAATGGTTGCTGGTGAGCTGCAATGATTGCTGGTGAGCTGCAATGATTGCTGGTGAGCTGCAATGATTGCTGGTGAGCTGCAATGTTTGCTGGTGAGCTGCAATGATTGCTGGTGAGCTGCAGTGATTGCTGGTGAGCTGCAATGATTGCTGCTGAGCTGCAATGATTGCTGGTGAGCTGCAATGATTGCTGGTGAGCTGCAATGATTGCTGGTGAGCTGCAATGATTGCTGGTGAGCTGCAGTGATTGCTGGTGAGCTGCAATGATTGCTGGTGAGCTGCAATGATTGCTGGTGAGCTGCAATGATTGCTGGTGAGCTGCAATGATTGCTGGTGAGCTGCAGTGATTGCTGGTGAGCTGCAGTGATTTCTGGTGAGCTGCATAGATTTCTGGTGAGCTGCAGTGATTGCTGGTGAGCTGCAATGATTGCTGGTGAGCTGCAATGATTGCTGGTGAGCTGCACTGCAAGTGACTGGGTGCAGAAGTTTTTGAGCGAGAGAGCCCAGTCACTTGAGAAGCAGACGTCTGCTTTACCCTTACTGTCCTTGCACGTTCCATCCTCCTCTCCCATACCCTCCTCGCCCATACCCTCCTCTCCCATACCCCCTCTCCCATACCCTCCTCTCCCATACCCTCCTCTCCCATACCCTCCTCTCCCATACCCTCCTCTCCCATACCCTCCTCTCCCATACCCTCCTCCCATACCCTCCTCTCCCATATCCTCCTCTCCCATACCCTCCTCTCCCATACCCTCCTCTCCCATACCCTCCTCTCCCATACCCTCCTCTCCCATACCCTCCTCTCCCATACCCTCCTCTCCCATACCCTCCTCTCCCATACCCTCCTCTCCCATATCCTCCTCTCCCATACCCTCCTCTCCCATACCCTCCTCTCCCATACCCTCCTCTCCCATACCCTCCTCTCCCATACCCTCCTCTCCCATACCCTCCTCTCCCATACCCTCCTCTCCCATACCCTCCTCTCCCATACCCTCCTCTCCCATATCCTCCTCTCCCATACCCTCCTCTCCCATACCCTCCTCTCCCATACCCTCCTCTCCCATACCCTCCTCTCCCATACCCTCCTCTCCCATATCCTCCTCTCCCATACCCTCCTCTCCCATACCCTCCTCTCCCATACCCTCCTCTCCCATACCCTCCTCTCCCATACCCTCCTCTCCCATACCCTCCTCTCCCATACCCTCCTCTCCCATACCCTCCTCTCCCATACCCTCCTTTCCCTCCTGTGTGGGCGGGTGTGAGTCACCACCTCTCCTCACTTCCCCCACTCTCATGCCTCCCTTGCGTCACCCCCCTCCCCTCCTCTCCCATCAGGCGTCACGAGAGGAGGAGCATGCAGTCATGATGCGGGACTTTTGAGTCGACTGAAAAATGCCCTTTTCCCCTGCCCCTCTTAACGTTGGAGGGAGCTTTTGAGAATTTTAAAAAATGCCCTTTTCCCCTGCCCCTCTTATTAATCCTCACTGTCTCCCATCAGGCTTCACGGGAGGAGGAGCTAGCAGTCATAATGCGAGAGATGGAGGAGGCCTACACACGAGTGTGTGGGCCTGTGTGGTACCTGTCCTCACCGAACCCCACACCTCCTCAACTCCCTTTTCTCTCCCATCAGGCATCGAGAGAGGAGGAGCTTGCAGTCATAATGCGAGAGATGGAGGAGGCCAAGGTAGGTGTGAGCGTGAGTGTGAGTGTGAGTGTAAGAGTGAGTGAGTGTGTGTGTGAGTGTGGGTATGTGTGAGTGTGAGTAACTGTGTGGTGTTGAGTGTGTGTGTATGTGGCTGAGAGGAGCTTTCACTCACAGGTTGAAAGATAAAAGAAGCTAAGGTAGGAGTGTAGGTGAGTGTAGTGTGAGTTGGTGTAGGTGTGAATGTGAGTGTCTGGCTGTGTGGATCTGTTGCCTTATCCTCTATTGCCGCTCTCAATGCGCCATCGCTCACTGGACCATGCTCGACCCATTCAAATCAACCCATTCAGGCGCAGCTTCATCTGATGAAGGCGGATGCAGAGAGCGAGCTGGCGCTTAGTGCTCACTCACTCACTCACTCACTCACTCACTCACTCACTCACTCACTGCATCGTCCCTCTTTGCTCTTTGAGTCGACTCAAAAGTCACCTACTCACTCACTGCATCGCTCGTCCCTCTTTGCTCTTTACTCACGCCATTTATCACTCACCCCCCTAATCCGTTCAGGCGCAGTTTCATCTGATGAAGGCCAATGCAGAGAGTGAACTGGCGCTGGCACGGCAGGCGGTGCTGGAGAGAGACGTCAAGCTGGAGGCCGCCCAGCAGGCCATGGGGGCTCTAGTGAAGGTGATTGTAACGAGTATCAGGTGTATTTGTGCTGCACAATGATGTCAAGCTGGAGGTTGCCCAGCAAGCCATGGGGGTTCTAGTGAAGATGACTATAATGAGTAACAGATGGTAATAACGAGTGACTGGTGTATTGGGGCGAGGGTCCTACCTCTGTACACCACGGCAGTTTTTCTGTATCCTTGACCCGACCTTCTCCTCCTCTCCCCCATTCAGGTGGTGGTGGAGTATTGGGGAGAGGGCCACGAGGTGCTGCTAGCGGGCAGCTTAGAGGGGGCCTCTGACCCTACCTCCCTACCTCCCTACCTCCCTACCTCCCTACCTCCCTACCTCCCTACCTCCCTACCTTCTTGCCTCCCTACCTCCCTACCTCCCTACCTCCTTGCCTCCCTACCTCCCTACCCTTACTTCATTACAATGCCTCTCCCCCTTTTCTCCCCATTCAGGTGGTGGTGGAGTATTGGGGCGAGGGCCACGAGGTGCTGCTAGCAGGCAGCTTCAACGGGTGGCAGAGCCACGTGCCCCTGGTGCCTGATGAGTCGTCACACATTCCCAACCACGACGGCAGCAGGTAACTGTAACACACCATACGGTGACGGAAGGTATGGTGGAAAGTAGGTAGTACCTGCAAGTACTGTGGCAGAGCCATGTGCCTTTGGTGCCTGATGAGTCGTCACACATTCCCAACCACGATGGCAGCAGGTACGGCGACCACTGGAACAGACGGTACGGTGACAGAGGTAAGGTAAGAGCAGGTATGACGGCAGAGCCACGTACCCCTGGTGCCCGATGAGTCGTCACACATTCTTAACCACGATGGCAGCAGGTGGGTTGTAAGCAGATGTGCGGTGCGGTAGGCAGATGTGCGGTGCGGTAAGCAGATGTACGGAGGTATGGTGGAAGCAGGTGCTGGGGCAGAGCCACGTGGCCCTGGTGCCCGATGAATCGTCGCACGTTCCCAACCCAACCACGATGGAAGCAGGTACGGTGGACAAGGGTGCGGTGACAGAGGGTGCGGTGACAGAGGGTGCGGTGACAGAGGGTGCGGTGACAGAGGGTGCGGTGACAGAGGGTGCGGTGACAGAGGGTGCGGTGACAGAGGGTGCGGTGACAGAGGGTGCGCTGGAAGCTGGTATGGTGGCAGAGCCGCCTGCCCTTGGTGCATGATAATTCCTCGCACATTCCCAACCGCGATGGCAGCAGGTATGGTGGCAGCAGGTACGGTGGAAGCAGGTACGGTGGTATGGTGGAAGCAGTTACGGTGGAAGCAGGTACGGCGGAAACAGGTTCGGTGGCAGCATGTCGTGGCAGCGGGTATGGTGGCAGCGGGTACGGTGGCAGCAGGCACGGCGGATGTGGCGTGCCTTGTGAGGTGCTGATTGCTTCATGTGCTGATTGTTTCATGTGCTGATTGTTTCATGTGCTGATTGTTTCATGTGCTGATTGTTTCATGTGCTGATTGTTTCATGTGGAATCCTACCATCTGAAGCCTGCTCACATTCCACATTTTGCCTGTCGATTTCTCCTCCTTCCCCTTCTCCCCCATCCCTTACCCCTTTGTTTTGTCGCAGGGGTGCCATGATTTGGTCATGCACACTTTGGCTCTATCCGGGCCACTATCAGGTACGGTACTGTGCGGTTCTGTGTGGTTCTGTGCGGTTCTGTGCGATACCTGTGCAAGATATAAATCTGAGGGTACTCTAGGCATCAGCCGCCCAACCTCATCCAGTATTTTCTGTCCTCCTCTGTGTAGCCTGTCGCTACCTCACTCCATATCCTGCTCCTTCCTCCTCCATTTTTCATACATTCGGAAAGCATGCAAGCAACCCTCTTCACCCAATCTTGTGTCTCGCACCATGCAATTTCCATCCCCAACCTCCCCAGATTTATATCTTGCACTCCCCTTCCGCAATGCACCGTCCTCTTCTTATATTGACATGGCTTTCTTGATTTCAAATGTTTTCTGCCAGGTCAAGTTCATTGTGGACGGTAGATGGACGCTCGATCAACGGAGAGCAGTGGTGGAGGGCAACATGGGGCAGAATAATCTTTTGATCGTGAACTGGGAGGATGAGGGGTTGAGCAGTGATGGTGGCTCCCACATGGCCAGCAACACTTTCCCACCCACATTTTTGCGATAACAACTAATGTGGTCTTGGTGGTGATGAAGAAGGATTTGCACTTAATTTACGTGCAGGTTTTAACACAAGTAGGGCGAGCGGATGCATCTTCTGATGGTCCTTTCACCGATACACACACCCTTCATATCAAGCTAGAGGAGGTGTAGTGTTGCTGTGATGGATGCGGTTCCAGCTTGGAATAGAGGCTGGATGGGTTGGATTGTATGTGTAACAGAACGTCAAAATGGTCAGCAACATTTTTGTCAGCACTAAGCATCCATCAAAGAATCAAAGGATCTGGCACTAAATGATGCTACTTGTGACGCTTTTCCGTTGACGACGTTCATTGCATACACAAAGCAGGGTGCGTGTGAGTGCTGAGAACAAAAGCTTTTCGGGTTTTGCTCAGAAGCGGGACATCACCACTGGGATGGCGAGCAGGGAGGGAAATGAGCTTTGCGCCAAAAGCAGGGACACCGTCAGGTGCTAGATTGACAATCCCGTGAAAAGTGGTGCGGCTGACAGCGTGCGCTTGGTGCAGCCAATCAGAACGAGTGCAGCACCCTGCGAAATGTCAACGGAGAAAGGGGACCCGCTTGGGCCACTGGAACCACACTTCTACAGTAGCCTCTATCCTGTCCCGAGATTACGAAAGCAAAAGTTTACCTCAACCCTGGGAAGCACCTCCCGCGCTCGCCAAGTTTCGCTTTTTATCGTTCGGCCCGCCGATGATTCGGGCGAGCGAGAGGCGTCGGCGAAGCGACTCTGAACGACTTCCACGATTGGCGATCAACGGGCGATCCGCGCATCATCCATCAACAACACGCGCAGTGCCAGCGCAACATCACCGGGTGCCCTACACCAATCATGGGGTGCTTCATTTCCGCCAGTTTGGCATCTCCCCCACCTTTCCGAGCTCTCCCCTTTACGTCCTCCCCTGTTTCCCCCATCCCCAACCTCTACAGTAGAATCTTTTCTGCCACCCCTTTCCCCCCTCTTCGTTTCCTCCCCGGAGAAGACTCAAGCCCTTCCCCCACTCTTTCCGCTCAAACCAAACCCCGCCCGCATAAACCCCGTCGGGTTTGCGCATGTGGCTGATCACACCTAGATCCTGATCCTCCCTGGTCGTGAAATCATTTGTTCTAGTCTCTGGTTTTGATGGAACCATGGCGGAAAACGAGCGCGCGGCTTGGACGAAAGTGCAGGACTGACGCCGTACCTGCAATAAACGATGAATTCTTCCCGCTAATAAAAAAAAAAAAAAAGCGCGGCGAGCTCAGTGAATGTCTGCGTGACGGCGAATATCATCTCAGTAAACTCAGTGATGACCTGAAATAGTGACGGAGTTTAGCGTACGCACTTCCTCACCGGAGGACAAGGGGCTATACATGATTATCACTGTCTGCCGGAAAATGGCATGAAGCGACAACACAAGCTCGTCCAAGATCGCCGGAAAATGGCACAAGGAAAAGCTATGTGAGCAAAAGAGAGGAGTACGGGAAAGAGAAAGTTCGCACGTGGCGGAATAATGCTTCTCTAAAAAATGCACTAAGAAATAATAATTGGGCCTAGTACATGTCAAAAGTGTTATGTTACATTGAATTCGTATAGGGACCTGGAGTCTCTACTCCTTTGAACTCTCAATGCAATCCTGACGGCTACTATGACGCAGCCACTAAGCAGATATCCTGAGGGCTGGCATATCTTCTCAACTCCGCTCTTTGCTCGGGTGTCTGCACCGCATCCCCACTCGACGACAACGCTTTATTCATCGCAGCAGCAGTGGCATAATCGTAGGCGTATTGTTGTTGCATCTGAACCTCGTGAGCCGCTGTTGTCGCCATCACGTATTGCATCTCCTGCGGCGCCTGACACAATGTCCACAGCTCGTTCTCTAGAAGCTTGCAGTACTCCATGAACTCCTCGGTTGTCACATTCAATCGGAACTTGATCCGGAAGAGAAACTCCAACTCTAATCTGTTCATCTCGCTTGTAGCAACACCACCGACCTTGGCGTAGTACGCGTTATTGTAATATCTGTAGGGGAAGGAAGAGAAAGAAAAAGGGGAAAAAAAAGTTAGCAACTCGTTTCACTGGATTCGAAAGTGTGCGAATGAGAGAGCCATGTCGCGTAAAATTCGCTCGAATTCGTTCCAATGTGAATTGGTGAGGTAAGTTATGTTGTGGTAACTTACTCGTCATCAAGAAACTTCGCGGCGATCATGACGCTCGTCGCCAGCAGGCGATGGACGTTCAGCGACGTGATGACCATGTCCGGTTGCGACTTGATCAATCGGTCGATGTAAATGTACGCGATCACGAAGCACGACGGGCTGCAGTTGGCGTACTTAAATATCCGGTCCAGGTACTTGGCGATGCTGATTCCGGGCGCTCTGAGCCCGTGAAACACCGTCAGCTGCTGACCCGTCTTGCCGCAGATTCTGGGAGGAGCTTGTTCGCTTACCGCGACAACTCTATCGAGAATCGACGCCAAGACTGTGATGATTCCTGGTCGTTCGAACCCCGCTTGGCAATTGAGGCCCAGAGTTGATGTGGCACTTAGTTGCATTGCGCACTCGGGAATGGGCCAGCAAGAAGCCATTGGTGATTCTGAGGCGTTGGCAGGAGAGAGAACGAGGAGGAGAGGGAGGAAGACAGAGGCAGCTTCGAAGAGGTAGGCGCGAGGAACGTGGATTGCGAAACGACGTCGGCTCGAGTTCAGCGCTGGGCGGAAAGCCAAGTGTGCTGCACGAGCAGGAGCTAGAGCTACTGAGCGGAGAAATCGAGACAATTTGTCACGAAAGATTTGAGTAGAAGCGGGCGAGATTTTCAAGGAGACTGGTTCACGAGTGACTTGGAATCCGAGTAGGCTGGAGTGTGTTGGAAACACCGAAGGCCAGAACTCGTGAAGGAGAGGAGATCGTGGGAGTGTAAGATGGATATTTCAGACAAAGGATGCTCCGCTTTATGTACTCTCTTCCCCAAACATCTCGACTGCGCTTTCACGGGATGCCCGCGTTCGCGGGATGTCTCCCCGTCCCTCTGCTTGCATCCCACTCTCTGTGCCTGCCAGCGGGAGCTCCTGCGCTCGGCTGGAGATCCTGCGACTGCCACGAGCGCACGGGGCGCACAGAACCGGGCAGCAGGTGACGGGGCGCACACGAGGACACAGAGACCTCCGAGCAGAGCTCATTTTGTGGTGTGCTGCTCAGGTACGGGAAGCGGCTGTGCGAGGCTTGGCTGTGCGAAAAGGCGCAGGCGACATTCTCCCGGGCAGACGATGGAGCCAGACGAATGTTTTCGTTTTTGTTTCGTTGAACACAAAGAAGCCGACGGGTGAGTGTTCCCTGCTCCCGCCTTTGGGCTCTTGCAAAAATTTCGTACCGCGGATCTCGGTTATCCACAAATTGTTTCGCGACGCCAGGTCAGCCCGTGCCACGCCCTAACCGCGATGGGAAGGGGCAAAGATCGTCGAGATTGTCGCTTCAAGCTACGTTTTGGATGGGCAATTTCGTCGGGCACAGGCCTCGAGGCGCTTGCGAATGGTTCGTTGCTTGGGCAGGTCGCACACATGTTCCCCCCGAGGCTGATAAAAAAAAAAGGTCGTCGAGATTCGAGAAGCACAGTTTTGCACAGCGAACGACGAAAGTTGTCGCCGGCTCGCAGCGCCAGTCAGATGAAACCTTGTTGGCAGACCGTAACGAACGGAAACAGGGTGCACGGGGAAGCGACAGACACAAAAAGATGAAATGGCGGTTCGGTTTGTAGGGCCAGAATCCAAGCCAGTGCCAGGCCAGATGATAACTATTCCGCAACGATCGGAGAGGGAAGCCATTGTCGCACATTTTGAAACATTCACATCACCCCCCAAAGCAGGTCAGTCGGAAAACCAGTGCCTGCCGGCATCTAACAGAGTTTTCGCAGCCCAACGAGCGTCGCACAGATGTGCCTTCCGCCTCGGGCAGAAAATGTGAAAAACGCCAGGCGACACTATTGGCAGAACGACACGACAGGATCAAGTGTCCAGCGTCCAGTAGCTGCGTCCAATCACAGTAACCCCGTGAAATGTGGCATCCGAAACAGTGTGCCACTTGAAGGTTCCCGTAATTGCTAGGCGGCACTCTCTCTCCCGCCGGATCAGCACATGGTCTGTCCCCTGCTTGGATTGGCCGAGACCCGATAGCAGCAAAATTCGAATTCCTTATTGGTGCTGCGTTTCTGGTTCTCCTGCTTGGCTCAGGCCCAGGCCTGTCGAAGTCCCTGGGACCAAAACTTAGAGTCCTGAGCTGCTCGAATTCTGGCCCTGATTTTCACGGGCGCGAGCCGAATCTAAAACTTGAAATCCGGGCTACTTCGGAAAGTGTACTTAGCCCTATTGTAAGAAAGGAAGATGTCAACCAAATTCTGTGCAGAAGGGAGAAGAATTACTCACTGCTCATCTACGCACCTACAGCCTATTCATTGTAGGCAAAAACAACGGGGGAGGGTGAGGGGCGGGGAGGGGAGGAAGGGGCAGGACTTGGGGGCGGGGGTCCTTCGAAACAGAAACCAGAACTTGGATTCAGGGAAAGGCCCAAACGAGGCCCTTAACTGTCACGGGTGCCATGCGAGTCCAACACTTTAAACGGTCGAGCTGCTCCTAGCATAGCCCGGAATGTTCAGGGCATTAAGGGAAAATGCCCTTACTTCGACAGCCCTGCTCAGGCCAGTAGGACCCGACCTGGAATATCGCACTCGCCCCCGCTGCCAGAATGACAATTTTTTCCTGCTGCCTCTTCGTTACAAGCTGATTTCCCGCTTTACTAGGTGAGCTCAACTCTAGAATGAATTTTAAGTCAGCAACTACGTTCCACCTCTTTAGACCACTACACCAGTATGAAGATTTGAGAGTTAATTTTGCTAGGAATCAAATTGAATGTGTTGCTTGCAACCCCATATCCTCACCACAACAGCATCAGACCTTCCCTAGCATATAGAGCATTAGATGCAATGCAACATGTGATAACACAAAACACAACTGCTCCACAATTGTGACTGACCTCACGCTTGTACTGTTTTTTGTTGATCAGTCAGCGTGGACTAAACAGCAAGAGAAAATAAATGTACACACATAAGAAGGAATTGCTTGGGCAATGGGAGTGGGGAGGGAGGGGGTGGGAGGTGGAGGTAGGGATGGCAGACTGTTCTAGCTTATGATACAGCAAGGCCAAACGTTGCATTTCCTGTTGAAAAATCAACTCCTTCCCTCCCCACCCCCCTTCCCTCCTTCCTTCCCTCCTTTCCTCCTTGCACTGATACGGTATGTGCATTGATGCCCACCAGCTGACGCACCCCAACCACTCACTCATCCCTCCTCCCCTGCTCAATCGCCATATCAACACACAAGAAAGCTCTCCTCTCCCCCTTACACACTCCACCTTGGCATCTATCCCCATGCAGTTTCCCTAAGGAAAATCAGGCAGAGTCTCCTGTCCAACACCTCCAGGGCCCCAGACACATGCGGCCTCTCCGTAACAACACACACACACACCACGCATGCTGTCTTGCCTTGCGCTGCGTCCCTTGTTTTCTAATATGCACCCCTTCCTCCTCACTCCGCCTCCCTCACTCCTCCATCCTCACTCCACCTCCGTGGGGTCTATTCCCATGCGGATCCCCTTGGCAAAGTCGTGCAGATTCTCCAGCACCGCCACGGCTTCAGGCACGTGCAGCCTGTGTAGTCATAACCACACACACGCACACGCATACACACACACACGAGGGCTCTCCTCCTCCTTTCTCACTCCACCTCCGCCGCTTCTCGTTTCTCACTCCACCTGCTTGGCATCTATCCCCATGCAGATCCCCTTGGCAAAGTCATGCAAATTCTCCAGCACCTCCAGGGCTTCAATTTAGGCACATGTGGCCTTTGTCGCCGTGACCACACGCACACACAACAGAGAAATCTCCCTACCTCCATCCTCACTCCACTTCTTTGGCGTCTATCCCCATGCGAATCCCCTTGGCAAAGTCGTGCAGATTCTCCAGCACCTCCAGGGCTTCAATTTAGGCACATGTGGCCTTTGTCGCCGTGACCACACGCACACACAACAGAGAAATCTCCCTACCTCCATCCTCACTCCACTTCTTTGGCGTCTATCCCCATGCGAATCCCCTTGGCAAAGTCGTGCAGATTCTCCAGCACCTCCAGGGCTTCAGGCATGGAGGGGCGGTCGGCGGGGACTGTCTGGGTGCACTGCAGGGCGAGCGTGACGACGCCCATGATCTCGTCCTCATACAGCAACGCGTCGTCTATCCTCTCGTCCACAAAGGAGGCTACAGTGTGCATCCCCACCCACCTGCGGCACGGGGGGATGAAGGGCGGAGAGGGAGGGAGCGGTTTTGTGGGAATTGGGGGCTAAATGAAGGAGGTGTAGGAGGGTTGATGGTGTAAAAGGAGGGTTGATGGGGAGGGAAGTGAAAGAGTGAATGAAGTAAGGCACAGCACTCGTTGGAAACAGAACAGCACGGACACAGAAAGCTTGCGTTAGCCTGTTCGATTGATATCATCCTCATCCAGCATCTGCCATGAGGAGTTCACTTTTGAGAATTCTCAAAAGTGAACACTACACAGCATGCACACAGAAAGCTTGTCTTAGCCTGTTGATTCGATAGCATCCTGATCCACCATCTGCCACAAAACATCCTCCTCACCTCATCAGTATCACATGCATCATCACCACCACCATCAGCACGAGTCATCCATCCACCTCATCATCACCATCCACCTCATCATCCCCATCACCCGCATCCTACCTGGCGAGCCCTCGTTCCGCCACGTCACTGTCCGTCGGAAGCTTCCCGGTAATCACCTGCAGCACCAGCACTCCGAACGCAAACACATCGCTCTTAAACGACAGCCGCCCGCGCTGCGAGTACTCGGGCGACAAATACCCCACCGTCCCAAACACACTCGTGCTCATATGAGTCCGGCTCGCATCCGCCTCCCTCGCCAGCCCAAAATCCGCAACCTTAGCTTCCAAATTCTCATCCAGGAGAATATTCGCGGGCTTCATATCTCGGTGAATGATCCCTGGGGTGCAGTCCTGGTGCAGGTATTTGAGGGCCCGTGCCGTACCCTCTAAGATGTTCCTCCTTACAGCCCACCGCCGCATCGGCGAGTCCTTGCCCATTTCGCGTGCCAAGACCTGGTCTAGAGAGCCGCCCGGGAGGAAGTCGTAGATTAAGAGGCGCTCTTGGGCGGGCGGCGGGGAGAGGTATGCGGCGACCAGGACTACCAAGTTGCGGTGGCGGACGTTGCCGAGGGTGTTCATTTCCGCTTCGAATTCCCGCTGCCCCTGGCTGCTTCCCAATGCCAGCCGCTTTATCGCGACGGACCTGCCGTCCTGCAGTGTGGCTCTGAGTGAAAGGGGAAAGGGGGTGTGTTTGGGGAGGGGGGATGGGACACAAGCAGGGGCATGGGCAGAGGCAGGGGAAGGGGCAGAGGCAGGGGCAGTGGGGACGGAAATGAGGGAGAGGTATGCGACTAGATCTACTAAGTAGCCGAGGGTGTTCATCTCGGCTTCAAATTCCCGCTGGCCCTGGCTGCTGCCTAGTGCCAGGCGCTTTATCGCGACGGACCTTCCATCCTGCAGTGTGGCTCTGAGTGAAAGGGGAAAGGGGAAAGGGGGTGTGTGTTTGGGGAGTGTGGTAGTGGGGGGGGGGGGGTGTTGGGGAGGGAGAAAGGGCAGGGGCAGGGGCAGGGGGAATAGGAATGAGTGAGAGGCGGGGAGAGGTATGCGGCGACTAGGACTACTGAGTTGCGGTGCCGCATACTGCCGAAGGTGTTCATTTCCGCTTCAAACTCCCGCTGCCACTGACTGCTTCCCAACGCCAGGCGCTTTATCGCGACGGACCTTCCATCTTGCAGTGTGGCTCTGAGAGAAAGGGGAAAGGGGGTGTGTTTGGGGAGGGAGGATGGGACAGGAGCAGAAGGGTATTTTTGAGAATTCTCAAAAATACCCTTCAGCTGTTTGGGGAGGGGGGATGGGACGCAGGGCACGGGGCAGACGCAGGGCACGGGGCAGGGGGGGTGGGAATGAGTGAGAGGGGGGAAGGGGAGAGGGGCGAGTGGGTTGCGGTGCCGCACGTTGCCGAGGGTGTTCTTTTCCGCTTCAAACTCCCCCTGCCCCTGGCTGCTGCCCAATGCCAGGCGCTTTATGGCCACTGCCCTTCCATCTTACGGGGGGGCCTGTGGGCGGGGGGGGCAGAGGGATGGGATGGGGCGGGGGATAGGATGGAGCGGAATGGGGCAGGAGCATGGGGTGGAAATTGTTTTGAGACGTCTCAATTCAGTCGCAATTACACATCTATCACCATCAGCTTAAAGCCCAGCTTCTCAAACACCAGCACCGCGACACTAGCTAACATGGGTAACAGCTCGTTACCGCTTGTTACCTCTCATTACTACTTGCAACCAGCCGGATCTCACCTGTAAACGGAGCCAAAGCCTCCTCGGCCCAGCAGGAACTTGTTGCTGAAGTCTTCAGTCGCATCCACCACATCTGTCACGGTGAGTTTAAAGCCCAGCTTCTCAAACACCAGCATGGTCCCCCCGTCCAGGCTCGGCCCCCGGCGCCGCGCAAACAGCCACAGCCACAGCAGCACCAGCAGCACCAGCAGCGCCGCCACAAACGCCGCACAGCCCAGTGCAATCCCTGCAATCGCTCCGGGAGAGAACCCCCCTGTGCTCTCATAGGGTGCCACTGGGCAGGAGGCATACCCGAACCCTCCGCACAGTCCCAGGTTGCCTTGTAACGCGGATGCAGACAGGGGAGTGCCGGTGCCGGTGGTGTTAAAGGGAATTTGACCTAGGAGATCGTTGTAGGAGAAATCAAGGGCTGTAGCAGAGGTATTAGTGTTGGAAAATCCGTAGGGGATAGCACCAAAGAAGTGGTTATGAGAGAGGTTCAAGTAGAGGAGGCGGGGGAGGAACGGAGGGGCTAACTGCGGAGGAATCGGGCCGTTGAAATCGTTCCTGCTAACGTCCAGAGAGGTGAGAAGGGAGAGGGCGCTGAGTTCTTCTGGGAGGAAAGATGAGAGGTTATTCCCGCTGACACTTAGCGAGCGGAGCACCTGCAGCTGGCTAAGTGTCAGCGGGAGGGAGCCCAAGAGGCGATTGTCTGACACGTCGATAGCCCGTGCTGTCGTCAGGTTTCCGATGGCGGCCGGAACGGGACCTTCCAGGAGGTTTTCGGCGAGGCCGAGGGTGAAAATGGGGGAGGGGCGAAGCTGGGTGGTGATAGTATCGAGCGTGCCTGTAAGGGAGTTGTGGGAGACGTTGAGGGATTGGAGTCTGGGGCAGGGAGAGAGGGAGGGGAAGAGGAGGGGGCCTGAGAACTGGTTGGAGTCGAGGAGGAGGGTGGTGAGGGAGGAGCATTTGCCTAGGAAGGGAAGAGGGCCGGTGAGACGGTTGAGACTCAGAGAAAGGTACTGGAATGCTGGTGCCTTCTGTTGCGGTGCTGCTGCTGCATCAGGTGCTGCTCCTGCTCCTGCTCCTGCCGCTCCTCCTCCTGCTGCTGCCGCTACTGCTGATGGTGTTGATGCTGCTGCTGCTGCAGCTGCCGAAGCCGATGGTGGTGAGTTTTGTTCAGCTGGCCTAGCATCGCCCAGAAGGATTTTGGGCAGGTCCCCGGACAGAGAGTTGTTGCTCAAGTCTAGGGCTGTCAAGGACGGGCAGATAAACCCTGCCGGAATCCTGCCCGAGAAGGAATTGTTCGCCAGGTAAATCATCGACGGGCAGGATTTGAGCTCCGGAAGCTTCCCGGAAAGCTGGTTGCTGCTGGCATCCAGCACGCCCAGCGTCACAACATCTCCAATTTCCGCGGGTAAATTACCCTCGAAGCTATTGTTCATAAGGTAAATCTCCCCCACCGACGTCCCTGCCAGGGACGTGAAGAAACCCGACGACAGCTGCCCTGAGAGTAAATTGTTGGACACGTCGAGCGAGTAAAGCAAGTAGCAGGACGAAAGGTCAGCAGGAAGACCACCAGTGAACCGGTTTGAACCGAGCTGAACCAGATACAAGGACATGCCACAGCCGTTCTGCAGTGGCAGGGGGCCCGAGAGCTGGTTGTGGGATAACGAAAGGAGGATAAGGTTGTTGAAGGACGTGAGGAAGGAACCTGCTTGGGGGATTGGGCCGGATAGGCTGTTGAAAGAGAGGTCCAGGGCTTGGAGAGACGAGAGGGATGAGAGGGATTCGGGCAGTGGGCCGGAAAGTAAGTTTCGGTGAAGGTACAGGCCTGGGTATGGGGCGACGAATGGGCCGTTCCCGAGATTTGTCAGCTGCCCGAGCTCGGATGGCAAGCTGCCCGAAAGGGAGTTTTGCCCGAGATTTAGATTCACGAGCGTTTTCGCGAGCCGGGATATCTGTGGAGGAATTCCCCCTGAGAAATTGTTCGCCTCCAGGTTAAGATTCGTGAGGCGGGAAAGCGATGCCAGGGCAGTGGGTAACTCCCCAGACATTAAATTATACGTAATCTGTAAGTGCCTAAGGGAGGAGAAGAGAGAGATAGAGTCTGGGAGGGAACCGAGTAGCCGGTGGCCTGTGAGGGAGAGGACTTGGAGGGAGGAGCAGGCGGTGAGGTGGGTGGGAAAGGCGCCTATGAGCCCAGCCATTTCGCGGTAGTCGCGATTGCTGGAGAGAGAGAGGTTGGTGAGGGCTGTGAGGGCGGAGAACTGCAGGGGGATGAGCGGGAGACTGGGGGAACTGGGGGAACTGGGAAGAGTGGGGGAAATCTGAAGATTAGATCTGCTGCTGCTGCTGCTGCCTCCGCCGTTGCTGTTGCTCACACTGCTGCTGCTGCTGCTGCTGCTGCTGCTGCTGCTGCTGCTGCTGCTGCTGCTGCTGCTGCTGCTGCTGCTGCTGCTGCTGCTGCTGCTGCTGCTGCTGCTGCTACCAGCCACGTCACCGCTGCTCCCCCCGCCACTCGCCGCACCTGATCCGTCCCAATTCTCCTCCAGAACGGACCTCCGGGTGAGCATCAGCACGGGCCTCTGGTCCAGGTCCGGGCCGAACCAGGTCATACTCAGCCCCACCACCCTCCGCGCCCCACCAGGGCGGGCGGGGGAGCAGGTGACGAAGCGCCAGGCGCAGAGGAAGCTGTAGGGGTCGGGGGAGGAGGCGGAGGAGGCGGAGGAGGAGGAGGAGGAGGAGGAGGAGGAGGAGGAGGAGGAGGAGGAGGAGGAGGAGGAGGAGGAGGAGGAGGAGGAGGAGGAGGAGGAGAAGGCGGAGCGGGGAACGGTCCATGAGGCAAGGAGATCATTAAACACGATGACGGACGCCTTGAAGGCCAGCAGCGCGTTCAGCTCCGCCAGGGCTTGCGGGTCAGGGGGGGGAGCGGAGGAGGACGTGGGGGAAGACGGGGCAGCCTGCGATGAACCTCCGGTTCCTCCGCTTCCTCCTGTCCGCTGGTTCACCTCCAGCTGGCTCCTCATTGCGCCTACAGCCTCTCCCGTTCCTCCTGCTCCTTCGTCTCCTCCGTCCCCCCCCGCTAATTTTTCCCCTCCTGCCCCGGCTGCTGCTGCTACTGGTTCTGATTTGAGAAGGCCCACTGCCCGGCTCACGCCTGCCACCTCCCTCAGCGAAACCCCCCTGTGGCCGCCGGACGGATACGCGGAGCCCGCGTCATCCTGCTTTCCCTCGACAGGGAAACCCGCCGGGACTTCGCCAGGGGAGCTCGCTCCGAGTTCCCTCAGCGAAACCCCCCTGTGGCCGCCGGACGGATACGCGGAGGCCACATCACCCTGACCCTCGACAGAGAAACCCGCCCAGCCTTGGACGTGATTACTTGCTCCGACTTTCCTCAGGTGTGCTGCCAGCCGAAACTCATCCTCGGGAATGCACGCGCCCCCGCCCCCATCCTCCTCCTCTTCTCTGACATTCCCCAGGAACGCGCCTGCCTCGAGGAACAGCGTGTGCGGTGGACAGTGGTGCAGCGAGGCGAGAGCCTGGCTGGAGCAGCGGAAGTATACACTGGAAGGCGGCGGCACACGAGGGAGGCGAGGGGGAGAGAGAGGAGAAACGGGGAGGATGGGAGAGGAGGGAGGGAATGAGAGGAGGGAAGGAATGAGAGGAGGGAGAGGAGCGGATACTTGAAAAGGGGAGGAGCAATAAAACAACAAAAAGGGTCGTGAGAACATAGAAGGGCATTTATGTCAGGCTTTTTCGTGATAGGTTTTGAATCGCGCTGTCACTGGAAGGGGATGGAGACTTCTCAAACGTCTGAAACGCCGACTTACCTGTACGAAGGGTTGGACAGGGGGTCTGCGTTGCTCTTGAGAATTCTCAAAAGATGTCTGAAACGTCTGAAACGCCTGAAACGTCTGAAACGTCTGAAACGCCTGAAACGCCGACTTACCTGTACGAAGGGTTGGACAGGGGGTCTGCGTGAAGGCCGTCCGAGAGCCCTCTGCACCAATCGTCGCTCTGGATTCTGTCGTGGAGAACCTGCTGACGTGGAAGCATGAAGACGCAGGGGAGGAAGGGAAATGTTGCGGTTTTCAAAAAGGGATTTAAGCCGAGAAAATACAAGGAACACGGCTGGACGGTTAGGATGTAACCTATTCGTGAGGCGTTAGGGTGCAAACCATGCAGACATCCGCTACCAAAAAGGCGGCGAGACTATTCTATCGGCGCGAAGAGACGAACCTTGAGTTGACTCAAGGTCGGCCGGGCAGAGACCCTAGACGATTTCCGTCTCAACCTCTGCGCGTCCAGCTTCTCCCGCAAAGCGCGAGCCCGCTCCCTCAAGGCTTGGTGTTGAGAGACTGAATCTAACGGCTCTAGTGTTTCCAATGGCTTCAACGGTTCTAATGGCGGTTTATGTTGTACTGATGTTTGTGATGGTACTCTCTGCTGGTGCTGCTGCTGCTGATGCTGCATCTGCTGCTGTTGCTGATGCTGGAGTTCCATTGACGAGGAGAGAACGGCATTGGTAGATGAGATTGAGAAGAGGATCAGTAGGGAGCAGCAGCAGATGAGAGACAACAGGTGCCGAGACCGTCTGTAACGAGAGCCATGCTGTAGCTTTACGGTTATGGCGTTTCGCGACATGATGCGAGTCGCAGCTACCGAAGGACTTCAACAGGAACTAGGTAGGAGTTGGCAAAAAAAAAAACAGACGACGGACGACAGGCAGAACACCTCGTAATGATGCACCTCGTGATGATAAGATGTTGGCCACTAGGATGTACACGGAACGTCAGGCGCTAATGGCAACGCGACACGCTACTGTGAAGGCGAGGACATTTCCAAATAAGCTAGAAACTTCTGGGCTTGGTTTCTGAACAACGAATAGTCAGAGTAAGATGTTTTTTTCGACGCAGAGGTGAAGTGTCTCTGAAAAATCCATCGCCTAGACATTCCAACGCCTCGCCTCACTTTTCCGACTCGCCGGTTTCACTCTGCCCCTTGGTCCCTCGACTCGCATTCCAACAGAAGCTACTATAAACAGAAGCTACTGTCACCATGCCAACCAAACATTCCTAGTGTAGGTCTGCAGTCACAGCTTTCAGTACACGCTGGGGTTCTCTGGTGCCCAAAAGTGCACTTCCAGTGGTTAAATGAGATGATATGCGCGTCAGAATGGTTCATTTGCATTCTAGATGGGTTGGGACACCGTTTTGAGAATGCTACCTCCACCCCTCAAACCCGCTCTCGAACCTGGTTGCTTCAGCTAGGCCAACCGAAACCGTCAGGTTAGAACGGAGCTGCTGCCAGGCCCAACGGAAATGGGGTTCGCCTGGGGGAACAGAGCTGAAGAGCAGACGCGAAACGGAACGCAGAACCGCCAGCTAGGACTGTTGCTCGCAAGTCAACATGCCCACTCGTTGTTTTTGTCCTGTTTGTCGGTTCAGGAGGAATCGCAGCTGTCCGTGAGTTCTTCAGCTGCATGTGAACCGTCGATTCAGGGAACTGCACACCGCAACGGAAGTCGTGCATTGTGGACTGATTCGACCACCTGTAATTCGCTAACCAGCACTTCATTTGTGTTAAAATGAACTTCGTGCTCTTCTTTATAAAAAAACCCAGTATGGTTCCACATGCAAATATACAATATTTACCATGACCCAGTTTGATGCTTTCTGACAATGGCTTCACATTCAATAAAGCATGAGTAGCTTGCAAATGCGACGCACTTGTTTTCCCTGTTGCCGTTCTCGCCTCAACGAGCAATTCTTGTGGTAGCATGCTTACGGTTTTCGGACGACGGCGACAGTTTCTTGGCCATTTGGCACGATTGAAGGCGGTGCACAACGAGACACTTCCAAACCGTTTGGCATCATCTTTAGGCTTCCTTGCACGTGCATGTGGTCAGCTTCAGTCGGACGAAGTACTGCTTCGATCTGGCGTACTCTTTACGAGCATTACGCTTGAGAACAATTACCAGATAGACCAGCTGATTCGTACGAACAGCTGCTGCGCATCTGCATCGGACTCTCACCTACTCGCTTCAGCACCGTCCGATCATGCTTCAGAAGGTATCCACGATCCTTCCAGAGCGTCACGACCCATGGCAGAAACCGAGAATGCGATGATAGATTCAACGTTGGCACCATCCCCGACATTAGCTTCCTCGTTTCCAACTCCTGTAACCCCACTTCCTCCTCCAGAATCTTCCTCAGTCGAGACCCAACGAGCTCAAGCAGCCGAGGCAGCAGCAGCGGCCGGCATCTCAATACACCCGGACATGATTCTGTTGGAAGACGACTGGCTGATTGCCGTGCAGAAACCGCCAGGAGTGTAGCGAGCACATCCTATCAGCCGTGGGTGCCATGCTGATCATGCGAGACCGAGCTACTGACGCCAAACGATCAAGTGCTGAAAGCGTGAACGAGTCGCAAGTGCCATCCGGTGTACCTGTCATCAGAGAGCTTCCAGAGCAGAGCACACGTCCTGTGGATGGGAAGACGGCATTGGGTGTGGAGAACTTAGCAACAGAAATGCAGGGTTCGAATTCCACCAGCAGTACGCCAGTTGCAGCTGGCAGTCAAACGGAGTTGTCACCCACGGGGTTACCAGCTTCCACCCCGTTTCTGGTGCACAGATTGGATCGCGACACCAGCGGTGTGCTGCTGCTGGCCAAGACCGCAAAGTCAGCTGCCACTTTAGGGAAGGCGTTTGAGAGGAGGGACGTCAGCAAGTCATACTTGGCTCTTTGTGCTCTTTCAGAAGCCTCTGCCCTTGCACCCAGCGGGGATCCTCGCAGAATGACAGGGACAGTTGGCCCTGTTTGTGTTTCCGCTTCTCCCCCTGCATCTCCCTCTGCTTCTGTGTCTGCTTCTGATGCAATTTTTGCCTCTGCCTCAACCTCTGCAGCATCTGCTGCGAGCCCTCCTCCGTGCAAGTCTTGCAATCTGAAGGCAGGCGACGAGATACTATCTCCATTTTCCAGCGTCCCAAAGTTGTCCCCAAGAGTCCGAACGGACTCTTTCTGGACGGATTCCGGACGTGCAGAAAAAGAGACTTTTTGGACCAAGGCCTGCTACATTCCGGAGTCTGTTTTAGGTCCGACCAAAGAGTCCGCGAAGAGTCCATTTGGACAATACGAAAAGCGAAAACTAGTAGTTTTGGAAACAGGCCATGGCAGATCACGGCACGGGCTATGGCGTGTGTATGATGTGAAGGATATCGGGAGGAAGCTTCCTTGTGGGTCAAGGGTACGGGACATGCAAACGAAACTGGTGGTTCTGGCAGTGGTAAAGAGGATGGACTTACTCTCATCGTATGCAGAACACAAACGAACAGCTCAAGACCGTTGTGCAACTACTCCATACGCATCATACGCTGTGCTGGTTCGGGCCTTCCCCCATACGGGCCGTTCCCACCAGATTCGTCTGCACTGTCAGTTTGCGGGTTTTCCCCTAGTGGGGGATGTCAGGTATGGAGGACCAACGGAGTGGCCCATAGAAGGTAGAGTATGGTCGCATCATCTGTAGCACGCAGAGCGCTTGGATTTTCCACATCCAAGCACTGGGGAGCGGGTTGTTGTGCATGGTGTATTGCCTTCTTGGGCTCAGGAGGCCTTTCAAATTTCCAGCACATGCGATCTTCCTGATCATTAGTAGGCTTGGTGTGTGTGTTTGCATTGTTCAACAAATTTGCAAGTTTGAGAAAAAGAAGGTGGCTGTTCGTGTTTTTATGGTTGTCATTTCAGTTCTTGACAATGTTCAGTTCCTCTTGGAGAGTTTGAATACTCACAATGTAGCACAATTACGCAAGGAAATTGAGTGGGAACAGGAAGAGAAGAGGAAAGGAGGAATAACGTGAGGAGAAAAAAGGAAAGAAGAAGAAAGAAGGGAGGGAATAGGGAGAAAACACGGGGGTTTGAATCGTGGGAGTCTCTGATTTTGAACAAAAATTTCCCCCCAAATTAGCACCATCAACCCAGGCGCACTGACATGTGCAGAACATACTCAGTTTTAGATAGGTTCTCCTCGGCGCGAAGAATTATGAGGCGGTGCTATACTGTACTGTACTGATCTGAACTGTTTCTGTCTGGAGGGACAACCAGACTAGACAGCCCGACTCGTGAGAAACACGGTCAGGTCAGGCAGAGGCGAGTGCGGTTGGGGGAGCACTTCGGGTCGGAGCCACCATGGAGGTCTAGTCTGGAAACGTCAGGAAGAGCCCAAGAAGCTACAGTGAATCTGTCTCGGCTCGGATGGAGTTTTAGGGTTGGTGTTCTTTCTTCTCACGACGCCTTTTCATAAATTTAAATGGCCACTTCATCGGCAGGCCATTTCTCAAGAAAACTGTCACATTTTAGCGGCACAGCGTAGTACATAGTGCGACTATTTGTGCGACCAGTTCAACATTCTTCTTCGTTTCTGTGTATTTTCTGAAATCCTGCCTTAGGTTAGAGTAGCTGGTGTGACTACTTCTGTCACTTGATTCATTTATTGATTATTTTGCTATGGATGTAGACGAGTGTGCAGAAGCTTTAGGGAAGCCGATACGGAAGGAGCGGGAGGGGAGGAAGGAGTACCTGCTGTTTAGAGCGCTCAAATGGCAAGGCAATATATACAAGCTCGTAAGATTCTCACTTTCGTCTTAAAGTGCAGGTATGTCAGCTTAGGTTACTTCCAAGCGTTGAACTATGGTATATTAGGTTAACGTCCTTTGCATTCAGTGTTTTATCAGAGACAGCAAGAGTTGCGGATTTCCCTCCTCATGATAAACCTGCTGTCTGCAACTTCCATATCTTTGGGAACCGGTGTCATCGTAAGGTTATCTTTGGAAGTACGTGTTTAACACAAGCCGTTTCTTGCCATCCTGTTGTCTTCGTTTCCTTTTCAGGGAGACCCTGTCTTGGTGTGGTCGGATGAGAGCTTAAGCAAGACGGATAACGACAGCCAGGAAGAGCCAGTTATCAACGACGAACCTCCGCCATTTATTTGCATCATTCGGGTAAAACATTCATAAATCTAACCTTCCACTTTGTCATTAAGTATGAATTAAGGATTTCATAATTCTAATATTTGCTTCATGATATTCTGCAGGAAATACGCCAGCGAGTCAGAGCTGGTGCTCTGGCTCCTGTAGAAGTCGTCGGTCAGTGGATGTACTCCGTTCACGAGATTTCGGATGACAGGCGGAAGTTCCATGGTTTCAGCAGATCCTCCTGCTCATTATTACCCTACAACGAACAAGAGCTAGCGGATCGACGGCTCCTCTTCTACTCCTTTCACACGGATCCGTTCGACGCTGAAGCAATTGCTGGTAAATGCACCATTCATATGCTTCCACGAGCCAAGGGATTTCCTAAGGAGGAAGAAGCAGGGGGATTTGTGGTGCACTTCGTCTATCGCCATCTGGATGGACGGATCGTGGCCGTTGATGACCGGAGTAGGATGGAACGGGGAGAATGGAAGGAGGTTGAAGCGGCTCTGCTGGAAACCAGAATCAGGCTGAAGAAGGTGCAGAAAAACGATTCTGTCAAGTTGACGGGTTTGGTTCAGAGTAAGCGTGACAGGGAGGAACGGTCTGGAGAGGGTTTGGAATTTGAAGATGAGCGAAGTAGTAATGAGACGCTTGATGCAAGGATGGGTCATTCGGCAAAAAGAAGGCGGGAAGCTGATGTGGAGACTTCAGATTATGATGATGATGATGTTCCAATAGGAGCGAGGGTCAACAACGAGAAGGCGAAGAGAAGAAAAGTCGCCATGCAGAAGAATCCGTTGCAGCCCGATTCAACTGTTTCCATGCGTCATCCAGAGGCCGTCAGGAAATCTAATCCAGGAAGAGTGAAGGATGATTCCAGGCATTTCAAGCGTTTGAGGAAGATGAAGCAGCGAGTGGTAAGTGATGAGGAGGAGCAACAGGGGGTGCAGGAGATGCAGGAGAGTGAAGAGGATATTGGCGGTGGGGAGTTGGACGAAGACAATAGCAAGGATCGGAATACGTATGGTGTTTACCCAGGAGACCCAGGAGACTACTTGTGGAACCGACGAAGCAGGGGTGAAAGGCTGGATGAAGGAGGTGGTGCGGATGCAGCAACCACGAAGCAGCAGAGTAGGGATTCGGTAGAGCAAGTGCGTGGAGAGGCAAGGACGGCTGTGGCGGAAGGGGGAGCAGTGAAGAGGTCGGCGTCGTTTAAGAGAGGTGGGGAGGAGAGGGGAGGGAAGGAGGACGGGAGAAGTGGTGCTGTTGCCCTAGGTCGCCCTCCTTTTGTTGAAAGGGTAGAGAATGTCGGTAAGAGGGCGTGTTACACGCAGGGGAAGAAAGCGGGTGAGAGGGAAAGTGAAAGAAGGGGAGAGAAGGGAACAGAGAAGGATAGAGAGAAGGGTGGAGAGAAGGTAAGCGGGGAGACGGAGCTGGGGAAGTCACAGGTAGGAGGGAGGGTTCTTGCTAGATCACAGAGTGGAAAACGGTGCATGGCAGCCAGCAATGCACCTCGTAGTAGTGGTGCTGCTGCTGGTGCTGCTGGCACAAATGGCGATACCTCTCATGATCCTGCTGCGCTTGCCAGATCACACAGTGGAAAACGGTTTATGATGTCGAGCAGTGCACCTCGTAGTAGTGCTGCTGCTTCTGCCGCGGCTGGCACTGCTGATGATACCTCCCATGCGTCTGGTGCTGGCGCTGTTCCAGCCGTTGCTGGGAACGGTAATCTCAAGTCTCCAGCAGTAGCAGCAGGAGTCGCACCAGCAGCAACAGGAGGATCAGGAGCAGGAGCGGGGTCGCAGTCTCGGAGTTCTACAGCAGCAGAGATCCTGGAGCGCGCTGGTTGCTGCACTGGCATCCCCAAGCGGGACCACATGCTGGAGTTGCTGCTCTCCGCTCTTCTCTCCGCAACTTCCTCGTCCCCATGTGCCTCACCAAGGGCCTCTGCCGCTGCTTCCATGCCTGCAAACGCCTCCTTCACTGCTGCTGCTGTTGGCGGATCCTCTGCTGCTGCTGCAGTTCCCACAGTCAGTTCCTCCGCAGCTGCAATTCCAACAGTCGATTCTTCTGCAGCTGCTGCAGTTCTTACGGACAGTCCCTCTGGTGCTGCACCGGATTCATGTGCCCGCGAGAAGCAGCGCAACTGGGAGATGAAGGCGGCGAGAGCGGTGGCTGAACTGGAGGAGCTCGCGAATGAGAAGCTGGGAGATGGCGTGGGGTCCAGATATACCGTCAAGCTCCGATCCGTGCGAGCAAATTTCAAGGTGAGTAATTTTGAGAAGGTCTCTAAAATTGCTGGGAGAAAAGTCCAAGAATGTTTCCAAGCTCTGGTTCGTGCGAGCAATTTGCGCTCTGAGTCTAGTCTGTTGCCTTCTTCCTTCTTTCTTTTGCTCTTCTGTTCATTTCATCTCCTAGCTTTCGTTCGAGCTGTGCACTGCGTGCTGTCATCATGCTTCCTCCACGTGACATTGTTTCCATGTCATCTACAAACACACGCCTTGCATCTGGCACCTCTATCTATGCACTCCTGCAGAGCGGGAACTGCCTCTCGCGGCGCTTCGTTCTGAGAGAGCTCTCGCCATCAGATGTGCTCTCCATGTCACCAGAGGAGCTCAAGGTGATTGCCCTATTCGTCTCACTTCCCCCAGCCAGCATCTGTTTTTTTAGGCGCCTTAAAAGTACACTTTTGCCATCAGTTGTGCTCTCCATGTCACCAGAGGAGCTCAAGGTAATCATCTCCTTCGCCCCACTTCCCCCAACTAGCATCTATTCTAGAGATGCCTTAGTAATAAGCTCTTGCCATCGGCCTTGCTCTGAATGTCACTAGAAAAGGTCAATGCTATTATTCTCGTTTTCCCAAATCCCTCAGCCAGCATCTGTTCAATCACTATTTTCCTGGACGACTTTGAGTGATGTCTTCACTTAAAATGTTTTTCTTTCTTACTCTGTGTTCCCCCTCTTCACCACTCCACGCTCCACCTCTCCACACCACCCACCCAACCCTTCACCACACCACCCTTTTCCCCCGTCCTCCTTCCCTCTTTCTCTAGGACGGTCTGACGAGGCGGGAGAAGGCACTGATCGCTCCGCCTGTTGCCAGGCCCGGTCGCAGCGAGTGCTTGCAGTGGGTGGGGATACGGTGCTCCCAGTGCAACTTGCGGGGGGACAGGCAGGTGAAGATTCTGGATATCCTCAACAGCCCCAAGGGCCAGCAGTACAAGGTGAGGGGCAGCAGTACAAGGTGAGGGCGGCAAGTGAGCGTTGACACGTTTCAAAGTGCAGTGGGTGAAGATGCGTTTGCTTGGGGGAACCAGCAGGTGAAGGTTTGGGATATCCGCAGCAGCCCCAAGAGGCAGCAGTACAAGTGAGTCCGCCCCTATTTTTTTTACCTTACTTCCACTTCCACCGCTTGCTTAAGGCATATTGTTTTGTCACGAGAGGTTGGTGTCTGCTGCCACATTCTTTGATAACATGATGAAACTTTATTCCCCTCCCCCCACCATCCCCCCCGCTCCCCCCCTCCCTTCCTCGGCACAGTTGGAGTGTGCAACGTGTGGTCACGAGTGGTTCCTCTCTGCTGACGCGGTTCTTGCTGCCTCCTCTCCTGCAAAACCTGCTTCTCGTGTCCCGACCGCCACTCCTCCTGGTGTGACAAGTAACTCTGCAACAGCCGCTGATGCTGCTGCTGCTGGTGCTGCTG